TATCATTATTTTTTCCAATAGTATACTAATCTAATGATCACTATCGATATAACTATCTCTTTCTGTGTGAGCAGAAGAACAGAGTAGAACAGTTCTCGGTAACATGTTGGAGCCTTCTCCTTGTGGTGACCAGTGCCTGAAGCAGGACTAAGATCTTACCTTGGGTGGTTTGAAGGGGTAGTCTGTGGGGAAGTGAATGGTGAGGAAGAAGACCCCTCCTTGATAAGGACTGTCAGGCTACGACACATACATCATGTGTTAGTTTGACGTTAACAACAGTGTTATCTTTGAAATGGCAGATACTTACCGGACCCATTATAGTGGCCTGCCAATGGAACACTGAAACAACAAAAACAGGTTAGAGAACAATTACACAACCGTTATCAAAGCACCTGTCTGCCCTCTCTCCAGGAGGTTAGGTAGAGAACTAGAGCCGATTTCCCTCCACTCTGTGGCACATATGGCAGGTATACATTAATTACAAGAGACACATTCGGAAGGCTACAATTACTGTGTCAATCCAAACATGCAAAACCTAAATCCTTCAATGATATGTGATCTTTGTTTCACTGCCACACTGTGACAGGAGCCTGTAGGAATTATTTTTCTATGTCACCAAGTAAACTGTCCGAGTGCAGACATGTCGAGGATGGGGATGAGCAGCATCCTTTACACAGTGCATTAACAGAGCTTTTATTTCACCAGCAGGGGGAAGAAAAGCAGAAAAGATAGTTTTTTGTTTGAGTAAAATACCTCCCAAGTTCTTACAGACCAAATTTGTTTAAGCAGAGCCCGAGGATAGTTGACTTGAACAGATTTTGTTTTGTCACACCTAGATGTAGTGCTGCAGGAGTAGGACTGCCGCTGGCACTAGAGTGAAGACTGCACTGAGAAAGCAGACAGGTCATGAGATTTTTTTTCCATTTTGTCTCATAGTTGAGGTATGGTCCTATTAAAATTGCATCTTTCATCTTTTTAAGTGGGAGGACTAGCACAAAATGTGGCTGACTAAATACTATTTTTGGGCTCCGATTCCCCGTTTCTTTACATGTTGCGTTTCCATCAAGGTTTGAGACCCATTCAGTCTTTTCATTTTTAACTTCTGTCTTTTATTGAACCGTTGCTGTTGTGATTTGCAAAAGCACGTCTTTACAACAAACTTCTACCATCTTTAATTTTGATGAAATAATTGTTATCAAAGCCATGTGTAAACTTCCATCTTCAAAGTGATTCATGAAAGTAACTAACTTTAATGCGGTAACTTGAGGCACAACTACACCTGTAAAACCTAGTGACACAGCATGGACTTTATAGACCTTTCATTTATTTTAAATTAGCTAAATTTTTGATCGACCATGGACAGTCCCTGATTAACTGGAAACAGCTGATGCTAATGGGAGCTAGCTTTGTTCAACATACAGTTTCCTTGTCTAGAAATTCAGTGGATGCATGTCAACCTGCCTTTTCCCTTGTTAGCGGAGTGTGAGGTTTTCATCTCCTTTGGCTGACCAACAAAAAGGACATGAGGCTTTGAGTTTTGTGGGATGTTCAGATGGAGCACTCCTTTTGAAGTATGAAGCCCAATCAAGCAAAAGGACAGAGGGACTAGATCAGAGGTGTCCAACCCGGTCCAGAAAGGGTTGCTATGGCTGCAGATTTTCTATCAGACCCAGCAGGAGCAGAGCAGACTTCACCCATTTCCTCAAGGGAGTTCAGTCTTAACCTGAAGATCTTAGGAAATGGGAGGAGTCTCCGCTGCTTCTGCTGGGTCTGATAGAAAATCTGCAGCCACAGCGGCCCTTTCTGGACCGGGTTGGACACCTCTGGACTAGATGTGATGTCCGTACTGCCAAAACACTTTTACGAACTTAAATTGAGGTTCCAACAAAATTAATATATTTTAAATGCATTACATAAAGACCCTGTGTAGTACTGATCCAGGCCCATGTATCACCATTTCTCTGTTACGCGCAGAGGAATCTATAGTGCAGATGTTCGGTGTTTGTATTGTCTTGTAATCTCACAAGACGACAAAATTCCCTTCGGGGCAATACGGCTGATTTTGAGCATTCATCAGTGCATCCCTCTTGAAAAACACTCAACACAATCTTTTTGAGATTGGAATTCAAAGCCAGGCTCAGTCACAGCAGGGCTCGAGTATCACACAGTAGTGTCCTGGAGGAGGGGGCCTGTAACTTATGGCTGCTCTGAAGCAAAAACGTCAAGTCTTACTGTCTTCTCCCACTGGTCCAGCTGAGCACTGAGCGGGAGGGTCTTTTGACAGGTCCGTTAGCTCCTGAAAACAGAAACATCATGTGTTAAAGAAAGAAGAGATTACAAAAGACAAAAAAACACAATAACAAATCCTGTTTTAAGTTCAAATCAATCCCAAACAAGAAGTAAAAGGTCCAATCATTCAAATTAAAGAATGATCTCATGACGAGTCTCTGGTTGGAGGCTTGTCGTACAGTTACAGTGGCGGCTGATCTCCATTTAGTCCTGGACCTGGTTTTGTGGACTCAGCGCTGGGATATATTTACACTGAGACAGGACCCAGAGCCAGTTTAGACCCGGTTTAGACTTTCACACTTTGGGTATGTGGACCCTTCAGCTGAGGGAAGGCCTCGTGGACAGACTAGTGCTGGAGGTGGTTTGAATGTGACACAGACCTAGCTCAGCTCCTGGTTTAGCTTCGGTCTGGCCTGTTCTACACCTTTGGAATACTTGTTTACATAACGCGTCACTGTTGTCATGTAGTCTGGAATGTTCCCCAGTGTGTCATAATATAGGGGACAAGCAGATGACAGGTCGGATCTGCGAAGGTGCAGGCATGCTCAAAACACGCATTCTCAATATACTTAAAGACACAGAAAGTAAACGAAATGTAATCAAGAGGCATTCATTTAGCTTTTTCTGTCACAACAAATTCTCAATTTCCGGGCAAAACACATGCCTTACAAGTTTAAAGCCATTACTATAAACAATCTTAAAGCTGGTAGACTCCAATGTTCTTATGTCACTAGTTCCTCGCTCTCATAACAGTTTAGATGAATTTTTATTTGGCCTGTGACACTTTTCAGGCAGAAAAGTGAAAAAGGAGACCACCCTCCCTCAGCCAAAATAGTCAAATAGTGATTCATATGATTGGTAGATGTTTTCTAATAAGACATGACAGTATGTTGTGGTCTGTTTTGGGACAATTCTTTCAAAATGTGTTAATATGAAACAAAGCGAGAAGCACCCCAGCTTTGAATATACGGCATAATACAAAAATACTAGTATCTTGATGATTTAACAGTACTTAAATCTTTTTAAAAAATGGCAAAACACAAGTATGGCGTGTCTTGTTTTACATAGATCACAAATATTATCCTTGTTTTAGAAAGTGGGCAAAAGATTTAAAAGGTATATAGGATTTTCTACTTCCGGGTGGATCAACAAGACTATTGGTCCTCCCAATCGTCAATCATCCTGGTTATACATAAACGTGGGGAGGGTTGTTCTTTCATAAAAAAAAATTGTGTGGATTAATTAGTTAACTACACCCTGGCAAATTGCTATTTCGATTCGATTGCGATTAATCTACAGCTCCTGGATACGAACACGGAACGCCCTGTCCTTTCGTTTTTAGAGCAATTATGCAATATTGCTAAGGGATCTCTATAACCAGTCTAGTCACCAAAAACGTCTAAAATGCGTCAATAAGAAGCGGCGAGATGATAATTTTGGATAAAAAAACAGTTCACAGATCATTAAATAACAGGCCCTGCGCCATTTTGTTTGTCTAATGTAATTATTTTGCTATACAAACGATGTAAAGACAGTTTATTATTGTGGCTTTTACACCTGCTGCTAACGCCGCTTCCACACGCTAGCATGTCAGCTCCGCGGTGACTCGGGGCTAACGCAGCTAGCTTACCCACCGCGGCCCTTCACATCCCCGCGGGGAAAATAAAATAAATAATAATAAATAAACTCAACCCCAACTTCCCGATCTCCGTACGGACGTCCCAATGCCTTTACCTTAGAGATCCGCTTTAAAGCCATGATGTCTGCGTGAAGGAGCAGGTGAAGGAGGAAGAGGAGGCCAGGCCCGGGGAGGAAACAGCGGTGCTAGCAGGCTAACAACACTAGCATTAGCTGACTGTGCTAACCGTGCTAACCGCGCTAGCTGAGGTGGAGGCAGGGGAAGAGGGCAGCAGGATACTCGCTGTTCTCAACGTGGATGGAGGTGGATTCAGAGACAAAAGAGCCCGCAATGCCCCGAGGTTTGATCACACACAGGGACCGCGGCGCAGGCTGATCACAAGGGCTCAAAATGTCCTCCGGTACCGACACACGGAGCAGCTGTCACACGGAGGAGGAAGAGGGCTCACTCTGCGGGGAGTGCGCGGAGAAGCAGCGGTGACAGACGTCTCACTCTGATGCGCCACTTTACACAACAACATGCTACTGTATATATTATCTTCTTGATCTATGACAAATATACAAAACTATAACAGCTATCACAATATTGATAATAATAGGAAATACACAACCTAATTGTTTTGATATTGTCACAAAAATAATAAATAACCAATATAAAAAGACAAAACAGAAATAATTTGTCAAAAAGGGGTTAGTAGAAAATGTAAATAGGAATGTGCTGATTGTTTAAGGATCCAATGTCAATACTTGGTTCCATGGTGGCGACAAAACATTTATAAGAATTTCATGTTGAATTAAATCTATATATTTTACATGTGTCCCCAGAAAACAGGTCACATGTACAAATCATATAGAACCTCTTCTCAACAAAGGTTTAAAGTGGAGTTATTGTCCATTTATTTATGTATACAATTTTTAAGAATATTATCCAATCAGAAGCAGAATGAGGCTCTCATTTGGGTTGCAAGTTTTTTTAGAACCAAGACCATCTAAATTCGATCTATCTTCTTAAAAAAAAAAAAAAAAAAAAACGACAAAAACATTCAGATACATACATAATTTGTACCGTTTCTAGTTCAACCCCAGCAGGTGGTCTGCATCAGTAAGCAGAGTTGAGGTGCTACATGTGTAACATCATGTGATATATTAAAATCATTTAGAAATGAACTCCAGCGTCTGCTACTATTTTTTTCCACTCACTTGAGTTTTTTTTTCTCAGTCCCAGTTTCACAAACTGAAACTTGAGAATTCAAAGGCAGGTGATGCAGATTTGTTGTCAATATAGATCAGTTTGAAAGGTGCCTTATTACACATCTCCCCTGCTGTTTGTCGGTGTCAAATGTAGTAGTAATAGTAATCTTTATTTATATACCGCCTTTTCACTGCACATTGGAGTCTCAAAGCGGTTTACAATTGTTATTTTTTTTTTGGGAGTGGGGGTGCCAGTACAGGAGGCACATGCCAGACCTATTGTACATATTTTTAGTGGTAGGGGAAACCGGAGCACCCGGAGGAAACCTACACAGACACGGGGAGAACATGCTAACTCCACTCAGAAAGGCCCTGGTCCAACCGGGATTTGAACCCAGGACCTCCTTGCTGAGAGGCGAGAGTGCTATCCACTCAGCCACCGTGCCGCCCAGTGTAGCAGGGATGGGTCCTTTCTCTAAAGTGAATGAAGGTCCCACTGTACGCAGCAGGCAGGCATTATAGGGAAACTTCTTATGTGTAATTTTGAGACACAAACATTTCTGTTTGATGAGATTAACGCATAAATCCCAGCACTTTGAGTTGTCTTGTGTATGAATTGTGCTATGCAAATAAACTTGCCTTGCCTTGCCTAAAATTTGGTTTTACTGCAAATGGCAAATACATTCTTGAATCTATTGCTATGGCAACTGTCTATCAAATCTGACAACTTAACTTTGCTTGAGTCACGTTGTGTTGCATATTATATTAATTTGACAGGAACAATGCAGTCATATTTCCAAAGTCTATGGCAGTACTTTTAAGTCCATCTTTTATTGTATGTTCAGAACTCCATCTAAACTCATAACTTGTAATAAAATATCCCCCACAATTTACATTTTTTTTGGAAAAGAACTTTTATTAAAAAACATCAAACCATGAAAAGCAGACACCTGTACACACATTTGTGCTTACGTGACCACATTAGCACCATGTCTCCTCACACGTCAGAAAAGCTGCACTGAATCATAAGTACAGAAGAAGCAGAGTAGACGACCACATGTTTCAGTCCCGTTTTAAGAAAACACACGAGGAGAAACTTTGCTGAATTTAAATGACGGCCATGTTCTATTTCCAGTGAAGCCCTCCCTAATAATATCGTAAGTTTAATCTTTTGAGTCTATAAAGTTTAACAGCTCAAAAGTCTAGAATATGGGGAATAACTTGAATAACATTTTCTGAAATAACAAGTGTTTTTTAGATTAATTACAGAGGGAAATGTCAAAACATGTTACATGTGACTAAAAATAGCATAACTTCTCACTATTTTCAAATCTTTAGAGTATGTTTGTGTTCTTTCACTCTAAATTAAACCGTTTCAAAGTTCCATACAAGATCCTCTCACTCTTTGGTTTGTATTATTCCCATTACTCTAACATTATTTTTATGACCCAACATCCTTTCACATTAGTTCTTAACTCTTGTGCTGTCCTCGAGTCAAATTGACCCGCTACAGTGACTGAAGAATACCCCAAGTCATTTTTTTTCAAGCTGAATGTTGTAACCCTAACCCTGACTAGATCAACCCTGGGTCATTTAGACCCTAATTTAGGATAATTTTCTTATACTTTTAATCACCGCGCAGCAGCTCCTCCACCTCTGCTGCTGTGACCTAAAGTGCAGTATACTATTGTTAGCTACTTTTAGAATGTATTTTTTTTGTTTTGTTTGTTTGGATGCATAAAGTATCTATCTGTGACATGTAATTTTGACCAGGGTTGCACAAAGGTAGAGGGATAAAGACTCTTTTTTCATAGTATACAAATATACTGAAGAAGTCAAACTAATGTGCAGAGGTTAAACATAGATCTGGACCAGGGGGCGTTCTTTTCTCTCCTTGTGTAGCTCCGTGGACCAGCCACTCACTGTGAATAAGTCCTTCCAACACAACAACAGTTCAAGAAGAGTGTTCCTCTCTTGACTTGTGTCCAGATCTGTACCGGCTCCTTTCCTTTGGATTCAACATTTACTACAAAAACACATTCAAACATCATTAACTCATTGACTACCGTTGACGTAGTTGTCTGAGACCGGTGATTTCTGTCAAACTTCTCTATATTCCATTGGGGATTACAGGACAAAAACAAAAATAGCTATAAACAAACATATTTTTGCTGATGACAGTAGACAATCCAGTTTTTCAGAATCTGGTTTCATATTTCACATCGTCATAGCATATAATATTCTGTGGGTCTTGAGAATCAGTGAAATCATCAAAAACAGCTGGTAGTCAATGAGTTAACAGCCCTCTGGTGGACACGCTCCAGCCAATACGTAAGGACTTTGAGAGTTCACTCAATAAACATGTGTATTTCTAATCTCTGCATTTTAAAACCACATTAATCCTCAGTAAAAAGGTTACATAACGAATCACAATCACAATTCCATATTTAAATGCAGCAGAATGAGCCTCTTTCTTGTGGCTCAAAGTTCAAATCTCCACAGGTTTTCCTCGTGTCCCGGACTTTTCATTCTTAAATATCACAACATGGGCATAAATAATAAAATGGTAGAATGGTTTTGGTGTAGGCTCATCAGATGTGAAGTACGGCCATGTGCATGACTCAATAGGGACGGTAGAAAATGCAGTTCGTTGGAAGTACATCACGCCAACAGCTGTTCGAGTACTGCCTGGTTCTGGACGGAGAGTGGAATTGGAAAGGACCATGGGAAGGTCCAGTAAAGGGACGGGTCAGTGGTGATGGCCTCTGGAGTTAACCTTTAGTACTCCAGCCGCTGCAGAAGTTCAAAAAGGCAATGTATTCTTTGGTTCCAATTTACAGTAAGTTCATATTTATATGTTTATATTTTTGATGCGTTTGATTTCCCACAAATTTGCAATAATAATGATTGTTCATGATATTGATGTAGGTCTGTCTTTTGACTTGAAAATAATAAAACGACTGGGAAGTTTAGGAAGCTGCACAGCCTCGCATTGGTTTTGAATCTACAGCAAAAATATCGTTTACCAATGCGTGATAGTGACGCAACTTTAAAGCTGGGGTGCCAAACTTTCAAACCATAAAAAAAAAGTCCATGTCACTAGATCAGTGGTGTCAAACTCATTTTGGTTTTGGGCCAAATCCAAAAACATAAAAGCTAGTTGGGACCAAAAGAGTTTGCATATTCTTTTCTGGTAGGTTTAGATTCAACCAAACTGGGTCAAATATCAAGAAGAGATGTATTTGAAGACTGATAGTTTAAAGACTGATTCCCGTAGGGCAATTCAATCCTCTGCATTTGACCCATCCTGATGCCGGAAAGGCTTACGTCAGGAGCAGCGGTCGCCGTAGTAACAGCGCCCGGGAACCCATCTCCAGATGTTGATGCTCGGCTAGGTCAGGACTACCGGAGCTGGAGGATTTAATCTCGTGAGCATGTTTTTAGTGGTAGGGGAAACCGGAGTACCCTGAGGATACCTACGCAGGCACGGGGAGAACATGCAAACTCCACTCAGAAAGACCCTGTTCCGACCAGGATTCGAACCCAGGACCTTCTTGCTGAGAGGCGAGAGTGCTATCCACTCAGCCATCGTGCGTCTAAATATAGGCCTGTGAACATTTCAAAATAGATTCACTTACATGGTTATTTTCCTGATGTTATGCTTAATTTAAAATCAAGTATAACGTGCCATAATGGCCCATTTACATCAAACGCTTCAAGTGAATGTAAACAATGACCACTGAAAATGATCTTGTGGGCTGGATTTGGCCCTTGAGCCTGACTTTGACATACCTGCACTAGAACCTGGTCTTCACTACAGCTTATGGTAAGTAGCTGTAATTGTAATTCATTTGCTTACAATGCAATATTCCAGGTAATTAACAAGACACGGAGATGTGCACTGCAACATAATCACCCGTTTACTTGGTTTTCTTTTGCATACTGGTAAGAGCCCATGGGAGTCACTATTTTACGCTTTGGGTGATGTGTGATTCTCGCTTTTTAACTTTCAATTATAGTGACCTGCACTGTTTATTTCAACTGTATGTTTATATGCAAGCTTCAGGATTGCATTGTCAAGGACTACAGATGGAAAGTAGCACAATGTCCTTAATAAATTCAACTTAAGCTTTAGATGTGACAGAGGGCAAAAATACATGCATGTGAAAACTAGCGAGTAACTAGTTTCATACTTTGAATTACGTAGTTACACCTTTTTGTGGTTTTAGAGTTAGGTACCTCAGCTTTAATTATACAGACAGGTTTACCGACTTCCTGGTCAAAAACCCTGCAGAACTGGTGAACTGAATCTCCTGTATTTTTAATGACGACCTCACATTTATGACGGCAGGTGTGAGAATGTGGGAATAACCAAAGGAAAAAGTGGGCGGGGATAGGTGATGGGTGATGCTCTGAAAAGTCTGCATTTGTAGACATGGACGCAGAAGTGTGAGGTCCGTCGTTCCTGCTCCTGCTGGTTGGATTCGGCATTCCCTCTCTGATTGGCGGGTGGATTGTCCTTTGGGGCCAATCAGGCGGCAGACAGCTCCACACCGCTGTCGCACAGGCCGCTGTCCATGCGAAGGTCCAGCTTGAGCTCCTGCACCAGCGCCGGGACGTCCTCTGGAAACACGGAAATGAGTCACGTGCTTTTTATACCGACAAAATATATAGTTCTTTTCTGCACTATAAGCCGCACCACCTACATTTGAAAAGAAAGTTATTGTTGTCCACATATAGGTCGCGCTGGAATATAAGCCGCAGGTTTTCATGCAGAACTCTGAACAATTGTAACGCGCTTTGGGTGACCTTGGTCTGTAAAATGCGCTATATAAATAAAAAATACTTACTTACGACTAGTAATGTAGCAGATAGACGACTGTTTTAACAGCTTAACTCAGGGGGGTTTCCAGCCTATTTCAATGGGAGAGCTACTTTTATGCAACAGAAGAGGCAGAGAGCTACTCCTTTTTGCAGTCGTAATTACAACAAAACATGGAGAACACATGTAAAATGTACCATAATACAGCATAACCCTATATTTATACTTATAATAGATATGATGACTCATAATGTATTCATCCAAGATCATGTGTTAAATTCTAAATCCTTTGGGGAGCTACCTGAAAGGATCCGTGGGTACTACTCATTCACTTTCATCTATGTTGACGATAAACCAGTGTCTTAAAGCGGCTAAAACTTGACGAAGTAAAAATGACTTTCCTCTGATAACACCCCGATTCTATCACAAGTAGTTTCCAGACTAAGTTGCTACTTTTTCTGTTTTTTTAACCCTGCGGCCTATAGAGCAATGCGGCTAATGTGTGTAATTGTATTGTGGTAGTGGGTTGTCAGAGTTAATGGACTTACAATTTTGACTCCCAAGTTTTAGTAGCTATAGGACACTTGTTTATTGGAAGCTAACGTTTAAGCAACATCTGCTACATTACAACATGAAAACGTGCGGCTTATATTCAAGTGCGGTCTATATGTGGTCGTCTCTTCCTTTCACCCTGAGCAGCACGGGCTGGTGTGTCAGTCAGAATGATTCTGCATTTAACCTGACTCCGCGACCTTGTCTTTCTGCCGAGGGGTGTTTAGTGCAGTGTTTTTCAACCACTGTGCCGCGGCACACTAGTGTGCCGTATGATATTGTCTGGTGTGCCGTGAGAAATTCGTCTACTTTGTCTAAAAATAGCTGCATTCGCTGTTGACGAGCGGTGACTTGTTTTGAACTGTGAGTAACCATGTAGTACTTTTTCAAATCAGTAGATGGCAGCAGATAGCTAAGTACTTTGAAACTGAAAAATTGGATGCGACCACTGGCTGTGCATCAGCATTGTGGCATCAGCATTGTGGCATCAGCATTGTGGCGAGAAAGGTAAAATTGGATGCGACCAACAAATGTGGGAGGGAGCGAGACAAGAGCTTTGTGGCGAGTGAGAAGTGAAAGTGATAGAGACGTTTTTGAAAATGAATTATGCCGTTTCTGAACAGGATTAACATCCTCCGCTCTGCCCCGGGGTAGCTGTGGCCGCGTTGTAGTGGTTTAACTATGAAATGTACAATTTTTGTACAACAGCTCTCGCGAACGCACTTCTGAACTGGGTGCCGAGCGCAGACCATAGTCGAGTGGACAGAACCACAGACATGCGGACCGGACAGAACCATGGACTCGCGTTCAGGACCTCCCGTGTCCCTCATCCAAAACTCCTGAATTTAAAGCTCGGATACCAAAATTTTTCCCATGCACTAACAATGCATGTTCTTTGTGTGAGTCATTATTTGACTATTTGGGCAGAGAGTGGATTTTCTTAGTTTTTTTCCACACAGTTAGTGCCACTTTATTCCCAAACTCTTGTTAATTGTATCGAGAAATATTAAATAAAGCTTAATGTCAAGGCCTGGACTTAAGCATTTTGATGAGAATAACTGTATATTGTGAATATAGGCTACAGAGTATACTGTATACATTATAAGATAAGATATACTTTATATATCACACAGAGTATGTACAGTATATATTTTTTTACATTAGTACTGTATACATTTTTACATTTTCTCCTGGAGGTGTGCCGCAAGATTTTTTCAGTGAAAAAAGTGTGCCTTGGCTCAAAAAAGGTTGAAAAACACTGGTTTAGTGTAAGCACTCCACCCAAGTGTAGCAGTAAAATATCTTATTAAAGTAGCAATATGTGAGATTTTCATGTCAAGTCATCAATAAAAGGCCCAAATCTGTCAAAAGGCATTAATAAACCACGCTCTTTTCAAATACTTCTTTAACTGATAACAGTAGTTCAGCCGAGATAATCGAATTTCAGAATTAGTTTTCCAGTTAGTTTGTTATTGTTTTCATTTTGATGTCCCGCCCTCCACCGTTTTACCAATCAGAAAGTCTGTGATCCGGGTTGCCAGAACTCATTAACTTTCTTTTAAAATCTGGCTTTATATACAGGTGCGGTAACTCGGTGCTACTCGGATGCTAATGTAGCAGTGAAGCTAACTTCAATCCTTAACTGCAGCTTTAATGGGCTCGGAATCAGGGATGGACAGAGCACCTGAGGAAGTACCTGATGAGTGCACATGTGTATCGGGTTGTAGTTGAGGCGCCCTCTTCAGGACACTCAGGGCAGTGCAGTCCCCCACAGACGATAGAGCGGAGCACAGCTGCTTCACTGTCCCACCAGAGACCTGTCACACAGACAAGCAGAGCCCGTCTTCAGGACTTCAAAGTATACATAGTATAATAATCAACCCTGGAAAAAGACTGAAGTAATTCCCTCACTTCAGAGTAAGTTTGACGGACAAAATACAAAACAAATTATATATATAATGCACATACCATTAGATACATGGATATATACATTACATAGCTTTACTTCTGACTCATAGCCCAGAGTAAACAGACAAGTATGTGCACACTCCTGACAGGTGATCTGTCAAGATGTATCCAAGATATTTCACAGTATAATGTACATGTACAAAGTGCAGAATACTGCTGCTTAAAGTCAGGAACCACCAAGACTTCTCTTCGTTTGACAGATCATAACTTTTCACATGATATTTGACGTTCATCATTATGTTCATCACAATGAGCACTGGGAGTGAAGACACCAGGTCCAGTGGACTCAAGTGGTTGAGGATTAGTGTAAAAGTTGTTTTTTAAGCACATGAGGGTAGTTCGTATGTGTGACTTATTCAAACAATATATTCAAATGAGGTCCCAATATCAACATATAAATTAAAATATACGTTCATGTCATATGTGTTTGTAAACCAAAAAAGCAGCGGTACCTCGTAGCTGTCCAACAGGGTTTTGGCTGGAGACGGACCAAGTCTGAAGGCATTGTTTAAGATGCCCAGCCCCAGAGTGTGGGACAGCGATTCCCATGATCCTTCAGTGTCCAGGGCCCGGCACACCTCCTGTTTGAGAGAGGGCTCTAGGCTGCTCAGGTCCCCTGCTGGACACACAGAGGCGTCACATGCGCTCGTGTACGGCCTTACACAGCATCATGAGAATGTTCACTTTGGCCTTTCAACTTTTACAATGTGAAGAGTATAAAAGAGTATTTTATCTAGTGGTAGAAATGACTGAGTGCTGTGGAGAACTGGATTTGACTGTAGAACTTTCCAAAACTGATTTAAAATACAGAAAATGCTCTTTCCATGACGCCATAGTCTGAGGATTCATCAGTGTTTACAAACTGAGCAATTAGACAGAAGGGGCGCAAAGACATGGTCCAGATATCATTAACAAGGTCTGCTTATGAGGAGTGGAGCAAAGAAAGAAAAAGATAAGTGTTGATGATGGTGGGTGTTTATAGAAACTAAACCAAAAACAGTGAAAGGCAGGACTAAAGGTGCCTTGGAGAAAGATAAGAAAACCTAATTAAACAATGAAACTGTTGTTCTAACCTTGAGCTGTGATCTTCGGAGGTGGCTTCGGTTCGTACTCTTTTCCATTGAGGATCTCCAGGACCTGAAAACACCCAGCGCCGACACAGCAGAGGTGGGATCAGAAACAGGGCACATGGCACTGACACACACATGGTACTGACACACACATGGCACTGACACACACATGGCACTGACATACACATGGCACTGACACACACATGGCACTGACACACACATGGCACTGACACACACATGGCACTGACACACACATGGCACTGACACACACATGGCACTGACACACACATGGCACTGACACACACATGGCACTGACACACACATGGCACTGACAAACACATGGCACTGACACACACAGGGCACTGACAAACACATGGCACTGACACACACCTGTACATCCACTGTCTTACAGGGGGGAGAATAAGGAAAAATTAACGATTCCATGGTATTGATATATTTGGGCCACAATTCTGCCATGTCCCTAATAAAGGCATTATAAAAATTGAGGAAAATAAGACTGCTCAACTCAAATGCCACATTTACTATGATCTACACACTAACTGAAGCGCAAAGCTTAGGAGTGTAGTGCAAACCTGGAACTGGACTAAATATCATTCATCTCTGAATAAATAATAAGAGTATATAGTAAGTAAACGCCAAGAAAACAAAGGTGAAACAGAAAAATATTTAATGAAATATCTAAAGTATTTAAGGGTGAAGAGTGGCACCTGTGTGTTGGCAGCCATGTTGAGAGGAGTGGTCCCTGGGACGTAGCCTTCGTCGACCTCCTCCTCCTCCTCCTCCTCACACACGTACAGCGGCTCCAGGTTCTCCCTGAGGGGGTCTGCTCCTGCAACACACTCCCACGGATCAAGATTTCATCTGAACTTCACTTCACTTAATAAACATTTAAATTAAGGCTTTCAGTTATGCAGTGATAGATCTATTTGTGCTGATTTAACTCCAAAATGAGTCACTGATTTGTAATAATAATTTACATCTTCAGATTCCATTGAAGAGAATTTGAGCCAATTCAATAATTAAAGACTCATGAAATTACTGAATCAGTTAATGAGCCATTAGTGAATAACGTGACGTCGTACGCACACAACATCAATTGTGGTTAATTCACTGCTGCCCCGAATTAAAACCATTATCAATCAAAGTATTTACTACAACTTGAGTTTAGTCCAACTCTCCAAAATCAAACAAATAACTGAAGTCATGTGTGATCGAATGGTGTGAGGATAGAACCAGCCTCTTCAAGCTGCACCTGTGAAGGTTGCCCACGACCCGGACTTAAGGGCTGCCCCTCCCCCCTGCCTGGGAGCCTCTTCAGTCCTGGATCTGCAGCCTGTTCATCTGTCGGAGCTGATTCCCCTCGTGTTTTTTTTAGGATTTTGCATTTCCTGTATATCATTGTTTGATTCGCCAACAACAGCTCTCTATTCCGTTGTGAAGTCCTCCGAGGTGAAGAGCTCTCACCTGCAGCCATGAGCAGAGCAGTGAGTTTTGCATATCCTCGTCCTGCTGCCACGTGGAGGGGGGTGGAGCCATCGAACGTGCAGCTGTCCACCTGAGCGTTCCCCTGACACACAACAACACATTTCAAACACCAGCAATCACATTAGAAAGAACCCTGGATCCTGAACTCAAATAAACTTCTGTGAAAACTGTCAAATGAGACTGAACAAGCAGGTTACACTGTCCATCTCCAAATACAGTCTACAGGACACACTGCTACAGTCTAGAAGTCACATTATACGTCACTACAGTCTATGGTAGAGTCCTCAATGTGGTTCTCCCCGAGGTCTCCCACTTTATTCCCAGTGGATTTTAGAGTTTTTCCTTGCTGATGCAGGAGGGTCTGTTGGACTGAAGGTAACCTTCTAACAGAGGGTCTAACAAAAAGGACTGTGGTGATGATCCAGGATACACAACATTCAACAACATTTATGGACATATATGGACCAATACTAATGTGTTCTCTGTATTTTGTGTTTGAGCGGTTTGATTCTCTGATCTGTGTTGGCAATTTCAACGGTTTTGTAAAGTTCTCTAATTACTGTTTTGATTAAGGGCTACATTCAATACATTGAACTAAATTGGACTGAATTGTGCGAGTTTGTGGTGGGCACCTCAAGCAGCAGGCAGCCGGCCAGGGACACGTTGTCTGCCTCGGTGGCCAGGTGCAGGGGGGTGCGCCCGCTGGTCCTCTCCTGGAGCTCCACGTCGGCTCCGCTCCTCAGCAGGCTCCGCACAGAGGACAGGCGGTTAGACAGGACGGCCACATGGAGAGGGCACAGGCCTGAGGAGCACATGGTTCAGGACTAGTCTGAAGCCTCATTCCCACTGAGCAACAACACAGGTTTATCGACTGAAAACACCAGGTCGCCTCTTCCTTTCAGCCTGAGCAGCACAGGCTGGTGTGTCAGTCAGAATGATTCTGCATTTGACCTGACTCTGCGACCTCGTTTTTCTGCCGAGGGGTGTTCAGTGTAAGCACTCCACCCAAGTGTAGCAGTAAATTATTTTATTAAAGTAGCTATGTGTGAGATTTTCATGTCAAGTCATCATTAAACGGCCCAAATCTGTCAAAATGCATTAATAAACAACGCTCTTTTCAAATTAACTGATAACAGTAGTTCAGCCAAGACATTCTTATTTCGAAAAATTAGTTTTACAGCCTCTAAATCTTGTTATTGTATTCATTTTGATGTCCCGCCCTCCACCGCTTTACCAGTCAGAAAGTCTGTGATCCGGGTTGCCAGAACTCACTGTAGCTGCGTTTCCATTGAGCATCAAATTTCGAAATTTCAATTTGCGCATCTTAAAATGTCTAATGGAAACGCGCAAATTTCGAATTTATTACAGTTTTTCAATAAAAAGTTAATGCGCTTAAAATCAGTGTTTTTTTTGGACGTATCGAAATTAAATTTCGCAAAACGGCAATGGAAACACTTATTTCGATATAGCGGAGGAAGCCGGGTGTTGTTAAACCCAAAACACAGAAGAACAAAACAGGAAGTAGCAGGTAGCAGCATCTCAAGGAAACAAAACATGACTCGCTACGTTTGGACTCACGAGAAAACTAATTACTTTAATTTAATTCGGGAAAGGGGGATTACAAACATATTGGACACAAAGCAGCAAAGGAACGCAACAATTTATAAAGTTACGCTTGTTATTTTTATACACACATTATTGCCTAAATGTTGCGTTCTAATGTTTTTAGAAAATACAACCCCCTGAGCGTCATCACGTTCCTACGTTGCAATATAGTCATGTTTATTGGCTGAACTATTTTGTCCAATAATCTGCATGATCATATAACAGCTATTCCTCGTCTTAAAGATTGACAACGCTCTCAAAACATTCACAACAGAGCAGCCTTTATCATTTTAGTTTTAAGAAAGTTCAGCGTGAACTTTGTGAGGTAGAGGAGCCAGAGGCCCGGGCCCGTAGGTCCCAGAGGAGGAGAGCGTGGTCAGGCCAGGCTGGCCTCGCACTGATGAGGTAAACTCTAGGCCTGTGTGAGACACACTGTGGGCCTCATGTATGAAACTTGCATACGGCCAAATCAGGGTGTAAATGAGGCGTACGCAAAATATTACACTTTTCCGCATTTATCTATCTGGACGTGAGCGTACAATACGCAAAAAATATACGCCAGGTCTGGAGGGGGAGTAAATCTATACGCTGATCTCAACCTTCGGCACAACACGCCAAAACACGCATGAAATTTAAGATATGGACAACAATAAACATATTCCCTCTGGCAAAATTATATGCTGTGTTTTCATGGAGCATCATGTTTCAAAATTTGCGCTTCAGAAAAAGTCTAACTCTCTGGAAACACGCAAACTTTGAATAAATCACAGATCATGAAGAGGAGCCTCTTCTGTTTCTATGATTTTAAATCTGACTTGTATGTGTTTTATTTTGATCTGTATGTTTTTAAAATGTGAAGCGCTTTGTGATCCTGGACTGTGAAAGGCTCTATACAAATACACTTTACGCAACAGGGATGTGTGACCCAGCTATTGCTTTGGCAGGCTCTGCGCTGCGTAATTACGCACGGCTATTTGATTCCTCACATCTGGTAAAGCAATGTATGTTTTCATTAGATTTGTTTAAGCCTCACACAGACACACACCTTATTAACGCATGGACCGATGGACTATGGTATTGCTCACTCCAAATGTCTCACTGCCCTGTCCACCGGCTGCACACTCTTGGGAGTGCATCCACAGCAGGTGCCATGAGAGACGCGCCACATAACTCCTCAAATGTGCAGAAGTTTTGGCTTCAGAGTTTCTTTGTGAAATCTGTGTTAACATGTTAGGTTCTGTCGCGGGTTCTACTGCGTCACTACGCGGGAGCGTGAGGGGGAGAGCTCTTCCTGGTGTGAGATATGGCGGTTGAATAAAAAATTGCTCTCTGCAACAAGAACCTTGTCTGTTGGAATTTACATGGTAGCAGAGGATGGTTTCCAACTATAGAGTACCGCCGAAGTTTGACGAAGCTCGGCCGTATGAGTGTTGGAAAAATGAAGTTAGTATTTGGAGACTTGTTACGGAGCTGGACAAGACAAAACAAGCGCTGGCAGTGGCGCTTGGGCTCGAAGGGAGAGCCAGAGAAACGGCGCTGGAAATATCCGAGGTGGATTTAAACAAAGATGACGGTATGGAGACGTTACTTGCAAAACTGGATGCGGTGTTTTTGAGAGAGGAAAAGGACCGCGCGTACGAAGCGTACTCTCATTTTGACTCCATCACTAAAGGCAGTGCTTTGTCCATGGCGGACTACATCATTGACTTTGAGCAGCGGTATAACCGCATGAAAAAGTACAACATGACCCTTCCTGACGCTGTACTGGCTTTCAAGCTCCTGGACACGGCATGTCTGGAGGAGAAAAGCAGACAGCTGGCATTGACTGCGTGTACGGAGCTGACTTTTGCATCAATGAAGTCCGCATTAAAACGCATATTCGGAGGAAAAACAGCATGTGGGACAAACGCCATCGAGGAGATTCAAGATGGTGCATTTTTCACGGAGCAACGGCCCAATGTGAAATTCAAACGTAGCAATGGCTCGTCCCAGAGCGGATATCAGCGGCAGCAGCAAGGAACGAATCCACTTGACAAGTACGGTAAGCGGACGAGATGCGCTGTGTGTCAGAGTACCTATCATTGGGCTAAAGACTGTCCCCATCGCAGAAATGACGTTAAGTTAATGGAAGATGAAAGTGTTGAAGAATGTAACATCACTCTGTTCACTAAAGCAGCTATGACAGAGTCAGAAATATTCCTAACTGAGTCTTTAGGATCTGCTATTATTGACACTGCTTGTACACGTACCGTTTGTGGTCAGAAGTGGCTGGACAGTTATGCTAAGGGTCTTAACAAACGCCAAATCAACAAACTGCTAAAAACAGAACATCCTAGCAGCCGTCCGTTCAGATTTGGAGATGGTCAAGTTGTGTACTCTAGCAGAAGAGTGAAACTTCCTGCAAAGATTGGACAGACAAAGTGCCACATTGAAACTGAAGTTGTCCCAGCTGATATTCCCCTGTTGTTGAGCAAAACGTCCCTGAAAAGAGCAGGAACTATTTTAGACATGGAGAATGACAGAGTTGTCATGTTTAAGCAGACTGTGCCTCTGGAGCTTACAAGTTCAGGACACTATTGCGTGGACATTAGAGATGAACATGCTGAAGTGAGCTGTAATGAAAGTGAAGTCCTAGTTGTCACTGGAGAAATGTCCACTAAAGAAAAGCGTAAAGTTCTTCTAAAACTTCACAAGCAGTTTGGCCACGCATCTGCAGAAAGACTTCAGAAGCTCATTCAAAGCTCCGGAAACACTGATCAAGACTGCCCCATCATTCTGCAGGAGATCATTCGTGACTGTGAGATCTGCCAAAGATACAGCAGGTCCAAGCCAAAGCCTGCTGTTGGTCTGCCATTAGCTTCACAGTACAATGAGACAGTGGCTATGGATCTTCATGAGCTGGAGCCTGGCGTATGGTACCTCCACATCATCGATCATTTTACACGTTTCAGCGCTGGAAACATTGTGAGAACCAAGAAACTTTCGGAGATAGTCAACTCGTTCATTCACTCGTGGATAAGTGTCCATGGCGCACCAAAACAGATCTACACAGACAACGGCGGGGAGTTTAACAATGCAGAGATACGAGACATGGCAGAGAACTTCAATATTGAGACTAAGACAACAGCAGGATACAGTCCCTGGAGCAACGGACTGTTGGAGAGACACAACATGACACTAACTGAAATCCTTCTAAAAGTGAAAAGGGAAAATGTGTGTGGGTGGCAAACGGCTTTAGATTGGGCTCTTATGGCCAAAAACAGTATGCTCAATGTGCATGGTTACAGCCCACACCAACTTGTGTTTGGTCAAAATCCCAATCTTCCTTCTGTTTTGATTGATAAACTACCCGCTCTAGAAGGTACTACTGTGAGCACCAGAGTAGGGCAGCACATAGCGGCATTGCATGCCTCTAGAAAAGCTTTCACAGAGGTTGAATGTTCAGAACGAATTAGGAGGGCAATCAGAAAGCAGCTTAGGCCTACAGATGAAAAATATGAGACCGGAGACAGAGTGTACTACAAAAGAGCTGACAGTACAGAATGGAAAGGCCCAGGTGTAGTTATTGGGCAGGATGGGTCTGTAGTATTTATCAGACATGGGGGAATCCTAGTACGTGTGCATCAATCTAGGTTGAGTAAGGTAAATACACCTGATGCAGATACAATAGAAAATGCTACCGAAAACATTACAGAAAATAAAAAAATAGTACATACTGGTGTGTCAGAAGCACAAAGTATACATGGAGTAGATCAAATTGTTGATTATAGTGAGAATGATGTAGATGAGAACCCTACAGAAACCAATGTAACTCCTCCTGATGCAGAAAGTAATGGAACTGCTGATTTAAAACTGAAAACTGGCCAAACAGTCACATTTACAGACCGAGAGGGTATTGAGCACACTGGCAAAGTTTTAGGGAGAGCAGGAAAATCAAAAGGGCAATACAAAGACTGGTACAATGTACAATATCTTGAGCCTGATGGTAGTGAGGGACAAAAACTAGCATTAGATATGTCAGATGTTGATAACCTTCACATCAAGCCGGAAAATGCAGAGGCTGATGTTCTTATTGTCAAAGATATCTCTTTTGATAGTGCCAAACAGCTAGAGATAGAGAATTGGCAAAACAATGATGTTTTTGAGAAGGTAGCAGACAAAGGTCAAAAATGTGTGTCTACTAGATGGGTCTGTACACTCAAAGAAACACAGAGTGGTATTCTCCCTAAAGCACGGCTTGTAGCAAGGGGTTTTGAAGAGGTAAATAATAGTAGTTTACAGAAAGATTCCCCAACATGTGCATCAGAGTCTCTCAGAATGACATTAGCGGTTGCCAGTCAAAATAGGTGGAAAATTCACTCTATGGATATTAAGTCTGCCTTTTTACAGGGAATGGAACTCTCGAGAGATGTTTACATTCGGCCCCCACCTGAGGCGGAAGGAGACAATGTATTGTGGAAACTAAAGAAATGTGTATATGGACTTGCAGACGCTTCTCTTTACTGGTACAACAAGGTCAAAGAACTGATGCTGAACACAGGTGGAAAAATGTCTCAGGTGGATCCAGCTGTGTTTTTCTGGATGAATGAAAATTCTGAGGTCATTGGTGTACTGTCATGTCACGTAGATGACTTCCTTTGGGCAGGATCTGAGCAGTTTGTGACAAAAGTGATTCCTGTGGTAAAGTCTACCTTTCAAGTGGGGCGTGAAGAACATGAGAATTTTTCTTATGTAGGTATGGATATTGTCACAATTGGAGACAATATATTGGTACATCAGCACAGTTACATTGAAAATCTCCAACCAGTGTCTTTAAAGGCAGCTCGGGCAGTGCAGAGAGCTGCTCCTTTAAATGAGACAGAGAAAGAGCAGCTCAGGTCTAAAATAGGACAGATTCTGTGGGTTGCTAAACAAACAAGGCCAGATGTTATGTTTGACACATGTAGCCTAGCATCTAACATTACAAATGCAACTGTCCAATCCATACATGAAGTGAACAAGGTAATCCGTAAACTTAAGTCAGAGAAGGTCACACTTAAGTTTCAGCCTTTAGGAAACAAAGATGATCTGAGTCTTGTGGTCTTTAGTGATGCTTCACTTGGCAATCTCCCAGATGGTGCAACTCAAGGAGGGACTTTAATTGTGCTTATGGGTAAAGGAGGCACGTTTTCCCCTTTGTTTTGGCAGTCTAAGAAGATCAGGCGTGTGGTAAGAAGCACTTTGGCAGGAGAAACTCTCGCTATGGCAGATGGCATAGACAACGCTATGTTTCTGGCCACATTATTTTCAGAGCTTACTATTGGTAATGCTAACATGAATGCCCTTCCTCTTGTTTGTGTTACTGATAACCATTCACTGTTTTATGCTCTTAAGTCCACAAAGCAGGTCACAGAGAAGAGACTGAGACTAGAAATAAGTAGCATTAAAGAGCTACTACATGCAAATAAAATCAGACAGATCTGTTGGTCAGAGGCAAAGTCACAACTTGCTGATTGTTTAACCAAAAAGGGAGCTTCACCACTTATGCTTCTTAAAGCATTAGACGAGGGCTCATGGTCACTGTAATTTCTTTTTCTGTTTACACAGGCTCTTAGCACTGTTGTTGTTTTGTTGTGTACATTGTTCTGGATGTGTGTATGTCTCTCAAGCACACTTAAATGTTTTTTTATTTTTAAAGAAAGGGGGAGATTGTTAACATGTTACGTTCTGTCGCGGGTTCTACTGCGTCACTACACGGGAGCGTGGTGGAACCAGCTCTTCCTGGTGTGAGATGGCGGTTGAATAAAAATTGCTCTCTGCAACAAGAACCTTGTCTGTTGGAATTTACAGTTATTGACATGACTTCTCTGTGATCAGGGGTTTAAACGGTACCTCTCTGGTTTTCTGGTCTCTCTCTGGTCTGTGATCTTTCTGTGGTCTGACCAGTCTCTTCTCTGCCTCACCAGGGGGACCATGGGGGCCCTCTCATGTGTAAAGTAGAGGGTTCCTGGTTCCAGGCCGTGGTTCTGTCCAACAGCAGCAGCAGGAACCGAGCCCAAGTCCAGACCTTCACCAAACTGAGCTCCTACAACAGCTTCCTGACCTCCGCCGTGGGCCCCTTCCTGTCCCCGCCCTCGCCAGCCACAGCCGCCACTGCCGCCACCACCACCACAGCCGCCCCAACTACTTCCACAGGCGCCTCCTCAGGCTCCCTGCTGCTCACACTCCTGCTGCTGCTGTTCTGGGGCTGAGAATTATGCACTACTGGAAGATTTCCACTTGTTCTAGTTAGATGTAGAGAAGAGGAGAGGCCTCAGAGGTTTGATGGTGAATATAAAAAATTACAAAATATATATATTTTTGGGTCAAAATCTGATGATTGTTGCACTGATCTCGTTGTTCTGTTGTTAATCACGTTGTAATCAACAACCATCTCTTTGATACAAACATGTCTTTGTAATAATCACTTATTTTTTTAATTCAATTTAAAAAAAAAAAAAATGTTTTCAAGGTTGATGTTTTTTGGAGCAACACACACGCCTCAGGATTCCCCCAGATGAGCTGGAGGAGGTCTGTGGGTCAGACTGCTGCCTTTGTAACTAGGCCACAGACAAAGTGGAAGAAATGGATGTTTGAGAACTCATTCTTCCAAACAGCAATAGATCTTTCACTGGCTGTAAAGTCCTGGGTTTAGAATGGACAGATTTAAGCGTGTTCTGTTGCTGTAAATCAAGAAATGTGAGCGGACCAGTTGTGAAGGATTTACAGAGTCTGCAACATGGTCTGAGGTGGTTTACACCATGTGTCACAACCTGCAGACATAATAGACTAAAAACCAAACAAACTGGAAAGTCCGTCTGTGGTCTCTCCCCCTCATGTTCTGTAAGCATGTCTAGTTTAAGGGTAAAACAAACATCTATTCTAAATGATCTTGGTCTCAGCTTATGGATTTATTTAAAGGGACAAATGTACACAAACACAATGTGAAACACTAAATTATTAGCCGAGGACTTAACACAATTACATTATACAAAGACAGCAGTCTACAACTGGTTCGTTTTAAGAAATCATGGTGGTGTTTTTGAAAAGATTTAGTCTCCTGGACTGAGGATGCAGCACCCTCTGCTGGTCATACTGGTTACGTAACTCATGCCACAAAAACTGAACTTTGTCAAACCCACGTAGCTAGTATCTGGCTCTTGGTTTAGTCACCCACTGTGTTGGGGCCTCCCCTCGATGCACAAGACCCAGGAGTCACGACAGAGGAAGGGGGCATCACGTGCTCCCTCCGGAGAGTGGGCACATTATGGACTAAACTTAGGGAGGCAACAGTTCAGGTTAATTTAGCTGAAATCTAAAGTCCTCCTGATGTGAGACAGGCTTCTTCCCTGACAATGTTCAAGCCCAGGTTTAATGTGCAGTGATCATGTATGATTGATGCTTTGTGTGATTGTAGATGTCTTGAGTTGCCTTGTGAATTAAATTTAGTTTAGAGGACTAAACATGGGCATGCATCTGAAATCTGGTACAGTCTTCCTGAAAATGTGAGACCAGCTTCTTTGAAAAATACTAAAATCAAAACAAAAGCAGCAGTAAAAGTTCACTCCAGTTTTTATTAGTGAAGCTGAAAATCTAAGAAAAAGAAACACGAAATGACAGTGACGAGACCAGAGCAGAAACATAAATAAGACTAATATGTACAACAACTAGAGGCTCCAGCATCAGAGACATGCAACATCACAGGCTCCGCAGCCCCTCCCTCACGGATCACGAGGGTCAAGAGGACTCTGATGTACGCAAAGTTAGATCAGCTCCAAGTGGAACTAACAGCAGCTCGAGGCAGAAGGAATCAAAACAACAGTATCAACATTATGACCTCTTCCTGTTTGTGTCTGAAACTAAAGTAACAGTTCATCTCACAGCTTTGAGACAAACCAACGAGAAAACATTTATAGAGAGAGTGACAAGTCTCTCTAATTAAAAAATTGTGTAGAAGTGACCTTTAACCCTTAGGCGCTTTAGACTTTAATCAGAAATGTGACGTGAAGCAGATACAGAGGACGACAGACAGGAATTCTGAAGGTGTCCAACACAACTGAAGATGGACATCTGGAATAAACAAGTGTGTCAGAGAGAGAGGGGAGGCCGATGAGAGGAGGGTGATGGGGAGAAAGTGAGCGAGAGAGGGGAGGCCGATGGGAAGTGAGAGGAGGGCAGAGATGTAGAAGTGGAGGCTGGGATGGAGGTGTAACTTCACTCGTTCTTCTTCTCCTTCTGTTTCATCAGTTTGTTGATCTCCCTCTTAGCCATGCTCATGTACTTTGAGATGACACCGTGTTGGTTCAGACCCGGCAGCAGCAGCAGGAAGCTCACTGAGAGAGAGACAGAGACATGTTTATGACTCTCAGACTGGGGCCGCAGCATTGACTGAGGGTTTACTCTTTAATGGTTTGCGTCACTCAATTAGGCCTAAAATATTGTGTTTGTGCGTGTCTCACCGATCAGGAAGGTCAGGAGGAGGTTGTGGACCTGCTGACCGATCCAGGCCACGACCAGAAGAGAGGTCATGACAGAGCCAAAGTACTGAGGAGACACACAACTATTACACACAAATCAGAACTAGTCTGGACCAGTGACAGCATGAGACAACAGTTTATGGAAACGTTACTTTGGCCCAATCCCAATACCCACACTGCACTGCACATTTGTTTGAAGTGAACGCAAGGGTATGAGTGCGCAGGTTACAAGCAAAAAAGTCAGAATTGGGACAGTGCAGGTTATGTCATCGACTCATCAAGAGATGGTCATTTTCAGACCTAAACTTTATAAAAATTGAAGGTCATTTTGTCCAACCCTGTGGGAAACAAAATGAGTTGCTCCACATGTGTTAAAATACAGTGCCTTGCGAAAGTATTTGGCCCCCTTGAACCTTTCAACATTTCAGTCTTCAAACATAAAGTCATGAATCAACAACAAGTGGGACACAATCATGAAGTGGAACGAAATTTATTGGATGATTTAAACTTTAACAAATAAAAAACTGAAAAGTGGGGCATGCAATATTATTCAGCCCCTTTACTTTCAGTGCAGCAAACTCAGTCCAGAAGTTCAGTGAGGATCTTTGAATGATCCAATGTTGTCCTAAATGACTGATGATAAATAGAATGCACCTGTGTGTAATCAAGTCTGCGTATAAATGCACCTGCTCTTTGATAGTCTCAGGGTTCGGTTTAAAGCGCAGAGAGAACCATGAAGACAAAGGAACACACTGTAGTTATCTGCAGTTCCTCCAGAGTGATCATGGGCCTCTTGGCTGCATCTCTGATCAGTCTTCTCCTTGTTTGAGATGAAAGTTTGGAGGGACGGCCGGGTCTTGGTAGATTTGCAGTGGTCTGATACTCCTTCCATTTCAATATAATTGCTTGCACAGTGCTCCTTGAGATGTTTAAAGCTTGGGAAATCTTTTTGTATCCAAATCCGGCTTTAAACTTCTCCACAACAGTATCTCGGACCTGCCTGGTGTGTTCCTTTGTCTTCATGGTTCTCTCTGCGCTTTAAACCGAACCCTGAGACTATCAAAGAGCAGGTGCATTTATACGGAGCCTTACTCCGCCGAATACTTTCGCAAGGCACTGTACATGTATATTGGTAGTTTATACGTTGAGATAGTTACCCACATTTAACATACAAGCTAACTTATCTGGTAAGTTTTTATACATCCTAAGTTTATTGTACTAAGTGTAAAGTTTAAATTGAGTGTTATATGAAAGCTTGGATTAAAAAAAGTTATTAATTGTTAGCATAGAATGTGCGTAATTCTTCAGACGTTTATGCTTCTATCCAAGTAACAGCAAAACTTATTTAATCACATACAGCATATATATTTCAAAACTTACACTTAAATGCATTTTCCCAACATTTTGGTGTGTACCGCAAAGACTTATGTAGTAAGTAAGTAATCTTTATATACCGCCTTTTCACTGCACATCGGAGTCTCAAAGCGGTTTACAATTGTTATTTTTGGGAGTGGGGGTGCCAGTACAGGAGGCACATGCCAGACCTATTGTACATATTTTTAGTGGTAGGGGAAACCGGAGCACCCGGAGGAAACCTACGCAGACACGGGGAGAACATGCAAACTCCACTCAGAAAGGCCCTGGTCCAACCGGGATTCGAACCCAGGACCTTCTTGCTGAGAGGCGAGAGTGCTATCCACTCAGCCACCGTGCCCAAAAAAAAAAAAAAGGGAAATATCCTTCGCCAGAGACCGCTTGGATGCAGACTGCGGCGAAGTGTGGATCAGGGGCGCAAAGGGGGCGGGGCTGAAGACCTCCCTGGAGAATTGGGACACCCTTCGCACTCATCGGGAACGCGCAAATGAGGGGCGCGAGGGTGGAAGTGGGAGTATTGGGACTGGGCCTAAAGCTCAGCGATTCATGGTCTAAACTGCACATGGTTGTTCAGTTTCATGGTTTAACTTAATTTTCTGGAGCTCAACTTATCCTTTGGATCAATGACAGTTTGATTTTTCTACATTCTGTCCTGGTCCAGTCTCAGTCTGGTCATGTGACTGGTTCTGTCCTGGTCCAGTCTCAGAGTGTGGTCATGTGACTGGTTCTGTCCTGGTCCAGCCTCAGTCTGGTCATGTGACTGGTTCTGTCCTGGTCCAGCCTCAGAGTCTGGTCATGTGACTGATGCTCCAGTTCAGAGCTGAGAATAGACTGAATGTGGAGCAGATTCTCCTGAGTCTGAGTTGATATTAATGACAAGAGCAAAGAGCTGCTGCTCAGGGTGTGACATCACTCTGCCATGAAGGTGAAGCTACTGAGAACATGTCTCCATCCTCCTACTCGTTTGAGAGTTACCACTTTGGGCTTCTCCTCCTTCATGGTGCACAGGCGTCGGCCCCAGCCCACCACCCGCCGCTGCAGCTTCACCAGGTTCCCACAGATCTCATGGAAGCGCTGCTGCTGCTCCGTGGTCCTGTCAGACAGAAGAGGGAGAGTGTGAGACTAGCTTTTATATTAGAACATTAGTAACATTATATGTGCAGACTTTACGTCGACAGCTGGACTCACACCTGCCTCCATGGATGAGTGGCAGGAAGAAGGACCAATCACATTCAGAAGTTAATTATAAAATGTATGTGTGAAATTTAAAGATTCCTGATTCCCACAGCTGCGAGCCTCTCAGAAGTGAAAGACTTCTCCAAACTTCTTCCAACACCAGTCACAGTGGACGACGCTAACGAGGCAGAGTTTAGGACAATGATACAACGGTCGAAGGTCAAATAACGGTGAACCAAGAGGAAGTCCACAAACTCCATAGAACCAGTTTGAGAAGACTCACATCATGGTTTATCACTGAACAATTAAAGCAGAAAGTAAAAAAAAAAACAGGAAAAAGACATTTCTACAGATTCCAAAACATCTGCAGAAACCAGAACTACAGACATACAATATTAACATGAGCCAGGCAATGTGAAACACATCTCACTGATGGGGTCAAAGCCCAACGGGGAAGTGCTCATGGTCAACGTTTGTGTCATTCACCGTTTTGGGTCAAATCTGGTTCAGTGCTCTCTGATCCTACAGTTTGTCTTTGTAAACCCAGAGGAGCCACATGACGATTGACCAAAGGTCTTCACATGCTCATTTTAGGAAACTGGTCCACATTAAAGCCAACACTGAGGTGATGTCACACTCCAACATGTGCTCTGTGTGTGGGACACGTACCACTTGTTTGATCCGAAGACGCGTGGGGCCAGTGTGGGGACCAGGTAGTCTGCGAGACACAGCAGCATGGCGAAGCAGGACAGTCCTGTCAGCACCGAGGGGTCCAGGTAGTAGATCAGTCTGAGACACAGGGGAGAGAAGAGAAGGAGGAGACACAGGGGAGAGAAGAGGAGGAAAAGAGGAGACACAGGGGACATATTTTAACAGGAGTCAGTGCTCCACAGTCTGGGAGATGTAAGAATTCAGCGCATAATGAATAAGAGCAATGCATTTGTCTTGATTATAAACCTCTATCTATCTGCCCGCCCCCTCCCTCCCTCCCTCCCTCCGCAAGCCCCAACAGCAGGAGCCTGAGGTGCAGATGCAGACCTGCTCTTTATAGACAGCTGGCTCCAGGAGTGCTGTGTCAGAACAGTATAAATAGATCCAGAGGGAGTGTGCAGTTAGAGAAAGTGGAATGTTCAGCAGCAGCACTGAGACCCTGAGCTACACTTTCTACTAAAACAAACAAATGCAGTGCTCACATTTATTCAGAAGGACAGGTTTATGAGGCATAATTTGCAGCTTGCATCAAAAGGACCAGAGTTAGATTGAGATCCAAATGTAGACAAAGTGACGGACTGAAAAACCAACACTTCAGTCGTTTAAAGTTTAGTGATTTACATTCTAAAACCTGAAAAACCAAAAATCTCAGTACTGCACCACATGGCCTCCATCCCCAGTCCTGTAGCTACAGTCAGCCTGTGGGGGAGAATCCCTCACTCAAAGTGAGCCTCCCGGAGGATTTCTTAGTGGTTCCTAGTGTTGCAGGGACCCCTTTAGGTTGAAGATTGGCTCATAAAATCTTGGCCCAAAAAGTCAAATAATGACTAACAGAACTCTAAGTATGCAAACAAAAAAAAAGTGTTTGTTTTGATTTGTTCAAAACATTTTACTTTTGGGCACAACAAACATGCATTATTAATGCAAGGGAAAATGTAGGTACCACAGCTTTCATTTGAGTTTTGCACCCAAATCCAATTACAATGTATAACATAACTTTATTGATAATCACAATGAAGAAATTTACACATTTGGCGTAGAATCACTCACATTGTGCAACATGTTAAGGTTTAAAATAGGCTAGGCTAAGGACAGCTAAAGACATGGCTTTTTATGAAATGATAAAAAAAAAAAAAAAAAATAAAAACACCAATATCCAAACTGCTGATTCTCTGATTTGTGTTGGCAAATTGACATCCTTGTGAAGTCCTCCAAGAGGACTACTGTTGTGATTCAGGGCAATACACAAAAGTAACCTGGCAGGTCTTGATACATTTGTGTTATTACTCACAGAAACAGCAAAGACAATGCCCCCAGCAGAGCTCCAGGGAACCAGGGCTTCTCCCAACGAAGAACACGGTCCCCCACCAGGATCACCTCCCCCCAGGCCTGGAGCTGCTCCTCCAGCTGCGCCGTCTCCTGAGCCTGGACACACAAACACATTTAAGATGAAGCAGCAGGACAGTGTAGGGTCTGGTGCAGTAGACCCTAGTCTACTCCACTGTCAGGAGCCCATCTCCAGATGCCGATTACTCAGTTACAGATAGAGCCTGTATTTTAAAGGCCAGGGAAACGCTTCCAGACATGGGAAGAACATGCAAACTCCACACTGTAGGTTGAGACAAACTTAAATTACATTCAATTCTGTACCAGCCACCGCGCTCTGGACAAACCACTCTTTGTGAACAAATCAGACCATATTGTGCTGTCTTCATGTACTGCAAAGTCATCAGTTCAGCAGCTGTGAGGGAGTCTCCACTTCTCCACGTCAACTGAATGACTAAACACTTATGAAAAACAGCAACTTGTTAAATGGTTTTAATTATATTTGATCTTCTGCAGCTTTAAAATCTACATTCTGACGAGTATGTTACATGGTCCCAGTCTAGTTTCAGTCACTAAAGTAGTTTCTAGCAGAGATAGGATCAGCAAGAGAATGTTTGGGTTCTTCCTGTGCTCCTTTAAAGGCCGTCTGTTCTCTCCCCACACCACAGCTCTGAGCTCTGAGCACTGAGCCGTGTGGACCAGCTGCTCCTGATACGGCTGGAGGCACCGCAGGCTCAAGAGCACAAGGACAGAGTGTTCCACCTCCCCACAGTCAGCACAGGCTCTAGAGCAGAGTTATGGGCTCTAGACCGAACTCACATCCCAACCATCTTCCATTAACAATGAGGCCAATTAATCAACTGAATCCCATTTATCGTCCAGCCCTGATTTAGTCCTCTGTCCCTTTTGACTCGAACGCCAACATGTGCATGAACTTTCTGAAATGAGAGCTTTGGGATCAGAAGAAACATTACGGTCAGTTTGTTTTCTATGGCCTTCAGAGGGATTAGGTTTTGTCCTAGTTACAAACAGATGCATACTTCTAATATTGAACTTGTTTGCAGACGAACACAGTCACTCTTCTGAAAATCAAAGAAATAGTTCCGGTACACTTCATACACATGGCTAGCTTCAACAAAACGTGCATAACTTATCAGGGCTGAACCAATCAAATATAAATTACATCATTAAACGACAAATATATAGCCACAGTAAAGGGCCCATCCATTAGTAATTATCGTGACATTTGTATGTAGCAAATTACTTTTTAATGCAGATATTCAGTATTCAGCAAGCGTTTACACACTTTCAGGAAAAGGCCCAAACTCGACATAAGTCATGTTAAAAGCAGAAAAAGGTAAGATCCAGTTAAGCCCTCACTAAAGCACATAAGCCTTTATTCTAAATGTTACGAATTCAGTTCCGTTAGCCAAAATACATACATAGAAAGTACATCTCCTTGCCCTGGTTTGTGAAGCAGGACTTGCAATTGACTTTATTTATAATTTATTAATCTAACCGCTGACACTGTGCTAATGCTAATGCTAATGCTAACTGACACGGGATAAAAAGGGAAGAAAGCTGTCAGTGTGACCCAGTCTAATCACCTCTAGCCAAACTGGTTTAGGGATTGTAACCAATTATAATCGATATAACTTGGATTACACCCGCCCTACACGCAGACAGAACCGACCAAACTGGACATTTGTACGTGTTTTAGTCCGCCTGTCGCTGCTGAACTCACCAGAGCATTGGAGCTCTTGTTGTCCACGTCGGCCATGGTGCGTACGGGGCTCACGGTTCGGTATTCGGTCCGGATCAGTGCTTCTTTTGGGTTAGATTCTAAAAGAAAAGCCTCAGAGCTCCTTCAGCTTCTGCCTCTTTCAGCGTCACTAACGGTTAGACTCGGGGCGGATGTTTTTATCACAAAAAAAATCTTCGCACAGCTTCTCGGGAAATGTAGTTCCGAGTTTGTATGATTTGTTGTGATTTAGAACAATAAAAAGAAAATAAGTATTTTATATATTTAGATAAATAATCAATAATCGCAAAGTCAATGACTTTTATTAAATTCATGATAATGATAATGTTTTTCAGACAAACGGGCGACATACATTTCTAAAATATAAAAATATAATTATTGAATCACAACGAAAATGCTCACTTACGAATTAATACAATGAAAAATAAAGTATTATGAAAATAAAGTCAAAATCAGGAAAGTTCATAATATTATTATCATGAGCCAAATATTTCCTCCAAATTACTGATATTTCCTCCCCTTGTGGTGACACGTAAACGCTCCACACTTCGCCTTCACTGGAACCAGAAGCCGATGCACGAGCTAGCTAGCTGCTGTTAACTTTCTGAATTCAACACCTTCAACTTGTCTAAATCATCAGCACGGATCCAGTTCACACCGTCAATAAACACCGGGATCGTCCGTCAAATCGACCCCTGGCTGCCCTCTTCGCGACGGGGAAAGACTGGTGCGTGTCCGGAACGATTTTAGACAAGCTAACATGCTAACACAAGCTAACATGCTAATGCTAAGTAGCGGATTGTTCCCTGCGCAGTTCAGCCGTTTTGAAAGGGCCCAGTGCTCTGAAACGTGGACTGGAAATTGTGCAAGTTTGTGTTTTTTTCCTCCCAGGTTTGATTTCATGACCTCATCAAAGTTATTGTTCTACCACATCAGTTCAGTCCCCACACATAATCTTCGTATAAACCTATATGTAGTTTGAATCAGATCTTGGGCCATTCTAAATTAGTGGGACTTATATATATGTTTGATATACTTCTTTATTATCAGCAGATGTGAAATCTAGTTTACATCTCTGTCATTTCCTGTCAGTCATGGTTTCATAAATATATAATTACCATATACTTTTGCAATACGTGTTGTACCGAATGAGCCTCTCTGCTTCAAGACACAAGGAGTTTTATAAGAAAAAATTTTATCACCACATCAGACTCTATATACTGCTTTCATCTTATTTATAAACCTCTTATCTTTTTCATTCTTAGCTGTAGTAAAGACAGAAAATACGTATTGGAATTGTGTGATCTTTCAGTGTGGTCAAGATTGTGAGACTAAACTCTTATTGAAACCAGATTTGAGCTTGAGATGATAACTTTGTGTCAACACCAGCATCTGAATCAATTTTGATTCTGCTGTCCACAGAGCCATGTATAATGGGATCGGCCTGACGACTCCTCGTGGCAGTGGGACCAATGGCTATGTCCAGAGGAACCTGTCGAGCCTCCGGGCGAAGCGGCCGCGAGAGGAGCGCGTCCTGGATGATAAGGACCGCGAGCGGCTGGAGAGTCAGCTGAACCGACAGCCCAACGCCGACATCCTGGAGCACCAACGCAAAAGGCAGCTGGAGGTCAAGTGTGCCGAGTTGCAGGACATGATGGAGGAGCAGGGGTAAGACACAGACTCACACACACATAAATACACACAAAGACACACAAATATAGAGGTGAAGTACGGAAAGCTGCAGGACATGATGGAGGAGAAGGGATAAGACCACACCAGTTCTACTCTACCTTGTTCTGTTTCCATTATACTTAAGTATCTGGTACTGTATCCTAGAAACCCACAACAAATCAGGGAAATTCCTTGGTAACCATGGCTCCAGCTGCTTTCTCTCCAATCACTGTCAGTTAGAACACTTTAGTACCAACTCTGTCTGGTCAGGACCAAGAAGTACAGTAGAGTACTTGGCTTACCTCTCTCTGACACTCTCTTGGAGCTAAATTCAGATTATTCAGGCTGAACACAGTGAGAAGATATGTCTTTGTTACAGTGAGGCTTCAATGTTCAGAAATGGGTACTCTGATGAAAAATTAGCCTTTTTATGAACATTTCAGAATTGTGTTTTCGTCTAAGGTTGTTTCATGAGTGAGTTCACGCAGGTGTCCCTCTGCTCAGGTATTCTGCAGAGGAGATCGAGGAGAAGGTGAACAGTTTCCGGATGATGCTGCAGGAGAAAGAAGAACCTGTGGCAAAACCCAACGAGAAAGCAGCGTGAGTCTGTTTTTCTGCCATAGACTGTATATATTAACGGACAGAGTCACGCCTATCTCCGCCGTTCAAACTAATGGGCCAAAAATTGTGCTCTACTGGAGCTATCCAAAATGGCTGCGAGTGGTCCCGCCCACAAGAAAGAGAGCTCCATTCATTTGAACGAGTGACTTCAAAAATTCACAGCGACTAAACCAGAGTGGTCCAAAATACTCCCCTCAGCATTGACATGCATGTGGAACAGAGCTTGGGACCAAAGAAGTTTTCGAGAGGTCACCTAATGCTATATGTTAGCATTGGCTAATTCTTATTCCGGGGCCACCCCCATTGGCCGGGGTGGTATTCGCAAGCATGTCAGTGCACGTCATTTTGGCCACTTTTGAGCCGGGACCCGCCCCCACTGAGACAGAGAGACAATGCTATCCCGCTATCCCAATGAAGCCAATAGGGAAGTGCTCATGGTTAAGTTTTGCTCCAACTCTCTGGCTCCTACTGACTTCCATGTAAAAGTAAACTCCCCAAGCTCAGTAACCGTTTGTGTTGCGTACTCTGTGATCCAGGTGTATATTTTGATATATGGCTCATATCTGGATCTTCAAAGACAACAAGGACTGACTAACCGGAGGCCTTCATTCGAATCTCAGCTTTGCTTAGCAACCATCTTAGCAACACGTCTGCTCCTCTTTTGCCGCAGAACAGTTGTTAAAGACTGTGTCGTTAGACTGTGTACCGTGCCGTTACAGACTGTGTACAGCGCCGTTACAGACTGTGTACAGCGCCGTTACAGACTGTGTACCGTGCCGTTACAGACTGTGCCGTTACAGACTGTGCCGTTACAGACTGTGCCGTTAGACTGTGTACAGCGTCGTTACAGACTGTGCCGTTACAGACTGTGTACAGCGTCGTTACAGACTGTGCCGTTACAGACTGTGCCGTTACAGACTGTGCCGTTACAGACTGTGCCGTTACAGACTGTGTACAGCGGCGTTACAGACTGTGACGTTACAGACTGTGACGTTACAGACTGTGACGTTACAGACTGTGTCGTTACAGACTGTGACGTTACAGACTGTGACGTTACAGACTGTGACGTTACAGACTGTGACGTTACAGACTGTGACGTTACAGACTGTGACGTTACAGACTGTGTCGTTACAGACTGTGTCGTTACAGACTGTGACGTTACAGACTGTGTCGTTACATTATTCTTTGTAAGATGTGTTGACATTTGTGAGGTCTTGTCTTTGCAGACTGACGGAGACACACGCTCTGGCAGCGGCGAACCAGCAGAAGAACGACCGTCTGCGCGCTGCGTTCGGGATCTCCAGCGACTACGTGGACGGATCCTCGTTTCACGCTGACCGCAAAGAGAAGGAGAAAGAGAAGAGGGAACAGGAGCGACTGGAGCGGGAGAAACAGCAGCAGAAATACACGTGAGGAGGCTTCAAACTACAGACCTGTTTAGGAGGTTTCATGGGAGGGCATCTGGGGGTCTGTTACAGGCTTCATGTCCTGGGAGGGCATCTGGGGGTCTGTTACAGGCTTCATGTCCTGGGAGGGCATCTGGGGGTCTGTTACAGGCTCATGTCCTGGGAGGGCATCTGGGGGTCTGTTACAGGCTTCATGTCCTGGGAGGGCATCTGGGGGTCTGTTACAGGCTTCATGTCCTGGGAGGGCATCTGGGGGTCTGTTACAAGCTTCATGTCCTGGGAGGGCATCTGGGGGTCTGTTACAGGCTCATGTCCTGGGAGGGCATCTGGGGTCTGTTACAAGCTTCATGTCCTGGGAGGGCATCTGGGGTCTGTTACAAGCTTCATGTCCTGGGAGGGCATCTGGGGGTCTATTACAGGCTCATGTCCTGGGAGGGCATCTGGGGTCTGTTACAAGCTTCATGTCCTGGGAGGGCATCTGGGGTCTGTTACAAGCTTCATGTCCTGGGAGGGCATCTGGGGGTCTGTTACAAGCTTCATGTCCTGGGAGGGCATCTGGGGGTCTATTACAGGCTCATGTCCTGGGAGGGCATCTGGGGTCTGTTACAAGCTTCATGTCCTGGGAGGGCATCTGGGGGTCTGTTGGCTGATAAAGACATCATGAACACAACATCATGTGAATGAAACACGACTCATGGTTTGATTCCAGTTTGGTGGAAGATTCAGACGACTCAGATTCTCCTCCAAAGAAACGGAGCCGGAAGAAGAAGAAGAAAAACAAGAAGCGAGATAGGTGAGTCTGCTCAGTACTATGTGCGAATGGTTAGTGCTGTGATGGGAGACCTCTGAAGCTCAGCAGGGCAGGGCCTGGTTAGTACTGTGATTGGAGACCTATAGAAACTCCAGGTGCCACAGTGGATTGGCTGTGGCTGTAAAGTGCCAAACTGTGGTTGTGTCCTTAGGCAAGACACTTGACTTCACCCACATTAGAATGTGTGTGTGTGTGTGAATGGTTGGTGGTGGTGGGAGGGGCTTATGGCACAGACCAGTTCTGTCAGTGTGCCCCAGAGACAAAAAAAGCAGTTTAGAACTAATGAATTATTATTTGTTGATGCTGACGCGCTCGTGCACTGATTCCCAACAAATATAGTCTGTTAAGTTACAGTCCTTAATCCTATATCATTATCATGTTAAAGTCTGTATTCACCATAGGGATGTAAATCGGTGACCGTTTAACCAGTGGTTGACCGTCACAGCGTTAACCAGTCAAAGCTGTCGGTTAAAAAAGAGAAAAAGGGGAGAGGGGACGTCTCTTAATAAAGCTTTTTTAAGCCCTATTTGCACGGTGTGACGAGCTGTCCGTATCTAGCTGTGTGCGCCAATGTAACAGTAAACTCCAGGCCGACTCTCACGCGCGCACAGACACACACACACACACTTTCCCTCCCTCCGCATCATCTCTCCCCTCTGTTACCGCCTGCTAGTTGCACACTGGTGCAGGTCAGAACTACATTGGAGCTTATGTTTACACACACATACAGATACACACATACATACATACACACACACATACCGGTATGTCGCGCTCCTCTGTGTTATGGAGCCCAAAGGATCCTCGCAAATACACGGCTCCAGTCAAACAACATGAAACATGTTTGTGTTTATGGTCCTTTGCATCAGCTCCACACACATCACTTTTAAACTTTAGCAGAGACCTGTGAGACGCGGCGCGTCACTCTCTGCTCTGACCATGTGAACGAGCAGTCTTTTGCTTAAAAATGTTTTAACCCGGAGCACAGCAGAATGGGAAGATTAAAAAAGCAGATTTCTATGCGCAAAGGTGCCGAAGTTGTTGTGGGTTTTGGCGCCGCTGTCTCGGTTCTGATCCAGTAGAACGCAGAACTGCTCTTATGGAAAGTACGCAGCTCGAAATGGCTGTTATTTCAAAGAACGTGGACTATTTTAAACTACGCGGTTAACCGGTTGAAACCGGTTAATGAGGCTCGGTGGTCGGTCATGAAAATTCATAGTTTTTTACATCCCTAATTCACCAGTGGAAATCCATGTTGAGAATCTGTTCAAGGTTGAAAAACAGCCCCCTCCTTAACTAAATGTTTTACTGTGTTCTGCAGTTCAGCAGAGGAGTCATCTCCGTCCCCAAGCCGCGACAAGAAATCCAAGAAGAAGAAGAAGAAACGGTGAGCACTTGGTGAAATTAAACCAGTCCATGTGACGCTTGTACTACAGACACAGAGTATAACATTGTTTCTCCAACTTTTGTTTATCAAAAGATGTTTTGTGTAAAGTAAAGTGAAAACGTGACTGTAAGAACCTACAGCCCACGCTTGGTCTGTTTCAACCCCAGCTCAAACACTCATCCTGTTTCTCTTGTTTCCAGAGAGTCTTCAGAAGAGGGAGAACGCAGGTGAGTTATTTGGCTGTGGATGGTCCCCGCTGTTTTCTGGTTCGTACACTGACATATGGTGCTTAAAATCTGTGTTATTCTTATAGTTCATCAAACGAAAAGCAGAATGTGTCAAAGAAGGATCAAAAGAAGAGCAAGACTTCTCCTAAAGCCAAACGTCACATCAGCGTCTCCTCGGGCTCAGAGCACAGGTCAGTCTCACACAGGAATAAACAGACGTAGGTTCCATCTGGGTGCTCCGGTTTCCCATCCACGAGAGATATGTACACTAGAGCTAGCAAGCTCTCGCTCTCTCTCTCATATATATATATATATGTCATAGTGGTGCAATGACATCACGACAAGGGACGGAGCTAGATGTTTGTGCTTTCTGATATGAGCCTGGATGGGTCTAAAACCAACTCCAGGTCTCTGACTGAAGAGGGAACCATAATGACATTGTGGAGGTATAAGTCTGTGCTTCTCTCCACAATCCGAACAGTGACTGAACATTGTTATTGCAGATTGTGAACTTCTATCATTAACTTATTGCTCTGAAAAGTGTTATATTTTTCTTCCACGTTTCTCAAAACAGTGAGTCTCTGCCCCCGAAATCCCGCCCACAGGGAGTGAAGAGGAAGGAGGTGGAGCGAAGGGGCCGGTCTCCAGAGCGACGGCGAGGCAAAGACGACGACAGCCCCAAGCGACAGCCGCACGAAAACGTAACTATCAAACTGATCAGTGTCGCTGCAGATGTGTCGTGGATCCACCCTCTGCCCTAAGCCCTGTTTCCACCCGCTCTGCTCTGCCCACCAAACCCACAACGAACCAGTATCCCCGGAAATCCGTTGGTAACCATGGCTTCCAGCAGCACTCTGGCCAATCCCTGTCAGTTAGAACAGGGGTTCCCAAAGTTTTTAGCCCGCGACCCCCATCATAAATGCCCTGCTAACCCGCGACCCCCTCCTCAGCAGAAGTGGAGCGCATTTCTTGCGGCTCGCCCTCACTGTTCTCCTACCGCGGTAAAGTGGGCCGGCTTTCCGGAGTCAGCGGTAAAGAGGTCCGCACATTAAAAGCGGGCGGCCGCTTTCTGCTGTTACTTTATGCGGTTCATCCCCGCGGCTTCTCTTTCCAAAGTTACTGTCAGTAAAGGCATAAACCGGCCACCCGCTTTTAATGTGCGGACCTCTTTACCTTTGACTCCGAAAAGCCGGGCCTCTTTAACGCGCTGTTCTACCGCTGTCCTCCCTCCCTCCGCTGCCCTCTTTCCCTCCTCTGCCCTCTCTCCCTCCTTTGCCCTCTCTTCGCACCATCAGCCTGACCCCTGATACAAGTGACTTTTCTCCCCCTCCGGGTTTTTCTGTTGTGGATATTAACCACGTTTCATTTTAAAGCAGGTATTATTTATTTGTAGCCTCCAAACACCTTTAGTTTTAGCAAACAACAGCAGGACACGCTTTGTCGCTGCGCATGATGTGAGCTGTGTTACGTGATGATTTTGATTGACGCTGCAATGACTGGGACAAAATTACTAACGTTATTAAAATATATTATAGTCTCCAAACACAATTTAACAAGTAGTCCTTTTGAATCAAATCAAATGCTAAATAAATATTTAAGGGCTTTATATTTGCTCCAAAAAAAAAAATCCTTTTTTTTTGTTTGTGTAGAAATCATCATGCAACCCCCCCAGGGGTTCCCGCGACCCCCCGGGGGGTCGGGACCCCCACTTTGGGAACCACTGAGTTAGAACACTTTAGAACCAGCTCGGCCTGGATAGAACCAGGTCCTTCTTGGTCCTGGTTACTCAGGACCAGAGGAAACACTCCCAATCTCGGGAGAGTGGGTACTGTAGGGATGGTGGAAATGGGGTTATTAAAATTGTGCATAGAGACCTGCTTTGTCCAACTGTCCTAGATTAACACCCAAAGCTTCTGGAAGTTTGTTCAGTTTCCTTCAGGTTTCAGTTGTTTCAGTTTTTTCAGACAGAACAAAGTCAGGACGTGGTTTAAATAGTCATTTGTTGCGTCATAGATACGTCACACATAAAAAGACATGTGTCAAGAGACAATCAGAACATATTGGAGTCATAACGTGGATACACAATGGAGTCCTTGTGACTGTGAGGGCCAGATATTTTGTCTTGGGTTTGTCCACCTGCGTAGACCATAGTCTACCATATCCACCATACAACATTTTTTCAAGTTCAAACAAATGGACATATGAGAGAAGAGCAGTTTCTCAAAGTAAGATATCAAAGATAGTTGTACAGAGTTTTGATCCAACTCCTCCTGAAATGTCAAAAAACATTGTTTGGGTCCAAATGATGGGTCCAATTTCTTCTCATTTCTTTCCTCGACTTGTTTTGTAGAAGTCAAACGCTGAGCGGGAGAATCCCCCATCAAAGCACCGCCACGACTCCTCCTCTCCGTCTCCTGCGCCACAGAAAGAGCCCAGTAAAAGACCTGGAAGCAAACCGCGACAGAACGAGAAAAACAAACGAGATTCTTTGTCCCCGGAAAAGACACGTGAGATCGAAAGACAACTCAGAAATGCACGGAACAGACGATCCGGCAGCCGAGATCCGGGCAGAGATAAACCCAAAGAGCCGAGGGAGAGGAGCAGGGAGGAGCAGAGGAAGCACAGATCCAGGAGCAGAGAGGGGCAGAGGAGGAATAGATCCAGGAGCAGAGAGGAGCAGAGGAAGCACAGATCCAGGAGCAGAGAAAAGGACAGGACCAAGAACACGTCACATAGAGACGCCGGGAAAGAGAAGGAAAAAGAGAAACCGCGATATAGACATCATTCTTCTTCTGCTTCACCTCCTCCACAAACCAGACGCCTGGAAGCAGTGACTGTGCAGAGGTCCAGGAGCAGAGACGAGCAGAAGCCACCGCCACAAAGACCTCGACACGATTCCTCCTCCTCCTCCTCTTCATCGTCCTCCTCGTCATCATCATTAAGTTCCCCTGCTCCTACTCAAACCAGACCGGACCTGCCCAAGAGCAAATGGAGCGAGGAGAAGGCTCGACATGCAGACACGATGAGGTCGCGAAGCAAGGACAAAGATGGCGAACGATCAGAGAAGGTTAGAAGTGATGCTGACGGGAGAGACAGCGGTAAACGCCCTGTTCCTCAAAGGAGCAGACGCGATTCGCCGCCGTCACAATTTGTTCCCATGCGTCCAGAGGTGAGGAAAAGCAGAGAGGAAGAGCGCAAAGCCAGGCATGACTCGTCATCCTCACCATCGCCTCCACCGCTGACCAAGCAAGACTTAAAGAGGAGAGAGGAGGAGCGCCAGGAGCTGGAGAGGGCCCAGAGCAAGGAGAGGAGAGCCAAAGAAGCCAGGAGCGAGAAGGTCAGCCACAAGACCAGACGTGGTTCTTCTGGATCGCCCTCTCCACCGCCGCCTGCACGCATGACGCATGGATTAGCGAGAAACCAAGAGAATAAGGACAACAGGAAGCGGGAGTCGTCTGTGTCTCCAGAGAGAGAGGCCACAAGGTGAGTCTGTTACTGTGATTGGACAGACCGTATAAGGGTCGGCTATTATAGTAAAACATCACAGTACTTTGCATCATATCGATTGTTGCGGCATTTTTAATGATTATGTTAATGTATACTGGGACCTCTAACCCATTAAGGCCTGACACAGCTGGTTAAACAGAACTGTAAAATCTTTGGCAGACTTCAAAACCACCTCCAAAACCTGAAGTTTTCCTGAAATTCAATGTCTGCTAAATGATTGATATCTCGGCCTCTGTAGCAGATAGAAACATAATTGCAAAAGAATGAGAGCTGACACTTGTGGCTTTCAATAGATTGCAGTAGGAGACAGGCAAGACCTGCACATGCAACAAGCTGGGGATGGTCCTGATCGCGCATCTACGGCCCACGGTACAGGACCACGTACGACTGCGCTTTCGCTGAGCTGTGTCCAAGCGGCCACAGTTGCTTCCGGGGTCAGAACAGAGGATGTTAATCCCGTTCACGTATGTAAACTGCCCGCGGCCACACATTTCACCGAAATGATCGGAATTTGCGGCTCCGCAGATAATTCTCATCCCTGGTTTATCTTGATGCATTTCATTGGCCAAGAGAATTGATCAATGAAGAGAATAGGTCAAAAAAAGACAGACGTGTCCGCTTTCCCGGCCTAAAAGCTGCACTAACTCACTTTGTGACATTTTCGAATGTAAGCGCTGGCCTCGCTCTTTCTGCTCGCCCTTCCCGCACTCACGAAGCTATAGCCCACTACCCCCCCTCCCACTCGGCCTGTGCTCATTTTTATGGAGCTCACAATATGGGTCGCACATTTGAACGTGGATGGCGTGACCATAGAACGATAGAACCAGGAAGCGCAGAGGACGAGACTTTCTTTTGGATACTCCGCTGAGTAAGCAGTAACCGGTAACGAAGACACGGGAAGTTTCAGGTTAGCCTCCGCCGCTTGTTTACCTCAGCTGTCTGTGCTAACGAGAGACCTGTGGCTTTTCTCAAGAAAGTGGGGGCCAGTGGTCCGCTGTGATTGGTCACAATCTGGTCCCGAAACACATTCTCTTCCTTGTTGCATGAAAACTCGATCTAAAATAAAATGACACGCCAGCACAAATCTGCTCTACTTTTTCTTCAAAAGGACGTTCATCCCAATACAGTGCATGGATATGGATTGAATTTTCGTAATGAATACAAAAATAAAGTGAGTTAATGCAGCTTTAAAGGTAGAAGCGTGAAACAGCGCTCCTGGCTTGAAAGGTAGAAATGCAGGAAAGCGTTCTCGGCCTCAATGGGTTAAACCTCTGTTGATGTATACTGTTCTATTTAATCCCATCTGACCGCCAGAGGGCGGTGCATAGCACTGTTCCCTTCGCGCAAGTTGAGCCTGATTTTGTCTTAGGATTGGCTTCTGTCTCCAGATGAAGAATATTTCCTTATTTTCTTAATGCTAGTTTTAAGTCTTGAACAATATTGAAAATAATGTTTTTATTTGGATTCTCTACGGTTACGAGATCAAAGTAGATTTAGAATGATTGTGTATTGTAGTGTTTTCTGTAGACATAAAAAGTAGCCTTCTAATTATTCTGTTGTAATTGCGACAGGCCAACTGGAAGGAGAGAGGTGACATCTCAACAGCACAGACGGGAAGAGAAGGAAGAGCCTAGATCTCGAGAGGCGCAGGAGATGTCACCGGACAGACAGCGGAAAGATTCAAGAGACGAGAGGAGCCGCCGGACGGACGCAGAGCCCCAGAGGACTGACCGAGCGGTGGAAGACCGGCGTAGGTCCGACAGAGCAGAAGAAAAGCAACGAAATGACAGAGCTCTCGAAGAAAAGCAAAGAAGCGACAGAGCTCCAGAAGAAAAGCAACGAAACGAACGCCCAGTGGAAGACCGACGGAGAAGTGAGCGAGGGGTAGAAGAAAAACAAAGAAGTGAACGCACAGTGGAGGAAAAGCAGAAGGGCGATCGCAAATTAGAAGACAGACATAGAAGTGACCGTGAGTTGGAAGAAAAACAAAAGAGCGAGCGTGCTTTAGTGGACAGACCTAGAAAAGATCACGGAGTAGAAGAAAAGAGGAGGAGTGAAGTGGAACGACGGAGCAGCCAGGCTTCAGGGGAGGTGGAGCGGAGACCAGAGAAAGCTCCCAGTCCCAAGAAGAAACCTGGGGATAAGAAGCGAGACAGCAGCAGTAGCAGCAGTGGTAGTAGTAGTAGTAGTGACTCCTCTTCTTCTTCCTCCTCGTCCTCCTCATCCTCATCATCATCGAGCTCCTCATCTGAAGATGAAGGTAAACAAACTCGAAAGATAAAAATGTTAATGACGTAGCCCAAAGGTCAATCTGGTCCTCAAAGGGACCTGCATTGTTTCATTCCAACAGCTGGAGCACATCGCTCCCAGTATCGATCCTTGCAGTTTTGCCTACCATTGATCGCCCATGTGTTGTAGAGTAAAAGTCTTATTGGTGCGGTTAGACCAGACTCTAACTGCAGTTATAGTCTTGGTGTGTGGTGCCCCAGGGCTCCATGTTGGGCCTCATGTCATTAAGAATGCAGCCATCCTTTACCACAGCATGATGTGTCTCTACTCTTATCTTTCTGAATGAAGGTAAAACGTCTTCAGATAAAGACAGAGAAGCTGCGATTGGAGCTGCGGTCCAGAGACATTTTGCAAACGGCCGTAGAGAAAGTCCCGAGGCATCGAGACCTCCGGCGAGCGAACAGAGCAGGGGACAGGAGCGGTACAGCCCCTCACAGGTGGACAGTCCCAGTCCCCCCCCTCAAAGACACTCTCCAAAACCCACTGAGGGCCGAGCCAAGGCCAGAGACAGAGAGCCAGACAGGAAAATCTCCAGGTAAGCTCGGTCTAGACATAGACTCTGAGGCCATTATTCAAGGTCTGTTAGAGACTGCTAGTATTTACTTACTAAAGGGTTTGTTAATTCAATATTTGTCCATCTCCAGGTCGAGTCCCCAGACGAGACGCTCTCCTCCACAGAAATTATCCTCTCCCCCGCCACGCCGCACTCCTCCACGTCAGTACCAGGACCCTCCCCCACGACAGTACCAGGACCCTCCCCCACGACAGTACCAGGACCCTCCCCCACGACAGTACCAGGACCCTCCCCCACGACAGTACCAGGACCCTCCCCCACGACGGTACCAGGACCCTCCCCCACGACAGTACCAGGACCCTGCATCATCCAGAGCACGGAGAGCAAGTCCTCCCAAAGGCTGGTCTGAGCGTGACCGAGAGCGCGACAGAGACAGACGAGACAGAGACTCTGAGAGGTCACGGGACAGAGACCGAGGGAGGGACCGGCAAAGGGACCGGGACTCTGACAGACATCGAGACCAAGACCGAGACCGAGATGGACATAGGGAGAGGGACTCTGACAGACATCAAGACCAGGAGAGGGAGCGGGACAGAGATAGGCAGAGGGACAGAGACGGACAGCGGGACAGGCAGAGGGACAGCGATGGACGTCGTCCCATTCGAAGGAGCCGGTCTCGGTCACGAAGCCCCAGGAGAACTCCACCTCTGAACAGGTGAGGCTTCCATCCATCACATGTGTGTAGCCTGAGCAGTAAGTCATCTGCAGTGTGCAAGTCCTCCCTTTTCAAAGGAAGTCGCCCTGGCCCTTTTGCAGAAAAGCCCCAAACTAAAGTCCTCTTCTGGATCCTCCACATGCCTTCTAGCAGACTCCAGACGGAGATGTCCTGGCCTCAGCAGGGGACCATACCTACTGTAGCATGGGGGTGGAAACATCATGCTTTGGGGCTGTTTTTCTGGCAAGGGACCAGGATGATTTACTATAGCCTTAAGGTCTTAGGAATTTGTTGTTGAACTGTGATACATGCAAGTGAGCTGAGGCCCTGTTGATTGACAGGTGTTCCTCTTCCAGGTCAAAAGTGTCCCCGCCTTCTCGGCAGCGGAGGAGTCGCTCTGCTCCTCGAGAGTCAGACAAACCACGAGCTCCGACAAAAGAAGAAGCCCGGCGGTCCTCCTCCTCTTCATCCTCTTCAAGCTCCTCCTCCTCGCCGTCACCACAGCGACAGAAAACGGTGGTTAAGTCTCCTCCAAACCCAGACAGACGCACAGACGACCAGAAGGCTCAGTCCAGGAACGTCCCGCCCCCTGACAGACGCAGCCGCCAATCACCAGCCCCTGTTCAATCAGAGAGCAGAGGAAGGGGCCAAGTGAACGGGAAACAAAGCAAAACAGAGAAGGACAGTTCCTCCTCCTCCTCTTCATCATCCTCTTCATCATCGTCATCATCGGACAGTTCAGATTCAGAGGCAGAGAAGAAGAAAGGGTGAGAACAACCTGAACTACAGACACAGACACTCGCGCAGGCCACCTCCCAGAGTTTCTGAACGATCTCATTATGAGTTTATTATGTTTCAGGAAAAAGGCCCAGACCACCACACACAGCTCTGGCTCCTCCTCAGAAGACAAAGAGAAAAAGAGCAGGTGAGAGACCTCAGGACAGAGACCAGGACTAATGTGAGAGACCTCAGGACAGAGACCCGAGACCAGGACTAATGTGAGAGGACATCAGGACAGAGACCTGAGACCAGGACTAATGTGAGAGGACATCAGGACAGAGACCCGAGACCAGGACTAATGTTTGTATGAATGCAGGGTTCCAGCTGACTCCCTCAGAGACTCTCGCTCGCTGAGTTACTCTCCGCCCAGATACATGCGAGGCAGCCGCAGGTCAGTGACACCTCTGACCTCTGTCCAAACGAGCTCCGAGTGTCCGTCAGGGCGGGCTCTAATCAAAATGTTTCAAATGTTACATTATTTTACATTTATTAAATAACTTTCACATTCATTTATTGAACACAATCATAGCTGAGACTCTGCCACAAACTGTAATTTCCTCAAACACCAGTAGATGGCAGTGTAGCTCTACAGACCAGAGAGAGAGAGACTGAGACTGACCAGAAAGAGAGAGACTGACCAGAGAGAGAGAGAGAGACCGACCAGAAAGAGACTGACTAGAGAGAGAGAGAGAGAGAGAGACTGACTAGAGAGAAAGAGAGGGAGAGACTTATAGTTGCACAAAACTATATAAAACCTAACTGTCATTGTTCCTGTTTGTGTCCCCAGTGGCAGCAGACCGTCGCCTGGTAACCGACACAGGAAGTGATCTGGGTTTTGGTTCAGTTCTGTTCACGGGACTGTGGTCTGGTCCCAGTCCTGGTCTGTAGTTTTACGTTCCTCTGTGTTCGTCCAGTGTGGTGTAGATATGACCTCATGTTTTTTCTTTTCTGTTGGCGACTCGTCCTCTGAAATTGTCAATAATAATAAAGTCTGTACATTTTAAGTTTGTTCCTTTTTGTTGTGGTTTTTTATTAGTACTTTATTGTTGGGAGAAATGCGTCACAGTAAAGTAAGACATTAACAACCTGGTAATATTTGACTCAAAGATCAGTATCGTTACATTGCATTTTAATTGAAAGTGTTTTATTTTTATCCTCTGAACCGCAAGATCAGCAGGAGACACATTTGCTCCAATAGTATTTGCCTAGAAGTGTAGTTCCTTTCTGGTTAAGATGGCTCTATCAACCTCATGCTAGCATCATAAGCTACATTTAGTTTGTATTTGTATGTTTATATGTTTAGCACATGGTATAGCATCATGAGCAACATTTGACACTAACCATACTTACCAAGAAGAAGGGATGTGAAGAATTGAAACATGCCTTTCAAAGCAAGATCCCCTCATACTTCCGAATCTAAGCAGGGCAGGGCCTCGTCAGTACTGTGATGGGAGACTTCTGGGAACACCAAATGCCACATTCGAGCGGCTGTGGCAGGAAAGTTCTTAACTGTGGTTGTGTCCTTAGGCAAGACACTTCATCCACATTAGAATGAGTCTGGTGTGTGTGTGTGTGTGTGTGTGAATTGTTGGTGATGGTGGGAGGGTTTCATGGCACAGACCAGACTGGTTACCTCGCTTCTGTCAGTGATCAAGTGAACAAATAACTCTCAAAAGATAAATAGTACTAATATATAATACAGCATTTATTCATATTTTCCCACCAGTGCTTTTAATTGAACATATTTTGGGCTGTTTATTACTTACAAATGCCCAGTTCTGTTTTTTCCGTGTATTTTAACTATAGCCTCTCGGTCCATGAACGCCTCTCGCTGGTTTCCGGGTCCTTGAACGCGGCTCCAGCTTAGGGCGCATGGCTCATAGCGGGAGTCAGTCAGGTGTGGTCGGCTCTCAACGCACTCCAAGACATCCAGGACATCCAGGAGGACACCCAGGGCTCCCGATACGTACTGCACCGACTCCCACGGCCGACATTCTCCCGGTGCGACTTCCAGGACTCGGGGTAAGCTTTGTTTCTCTGGCACTAAACGAGTCAAAGTTGCGAAAGGCGAAGTTTCCCTGCGGCTTCGTGCGTAAAAGGCCTGGTGTCCAACTGTCGCTTCTTTCTGTTCCGAGTCCCACCGTTTCTGAAGCGCCTGGTTCATGTTTGAGACTTTAACAGATTTTATAGTTTGAGGTGGTCGCGTTTGACAAAAGAACTTTCATACAAGACTCACACCGCCCACTGTGTCCTGGGAATGTGGCAATCAGCACCGACACATCTGCAAGTGCGCCAAGAGTTATCTGAAACCGGGTCACTACACAGAGGGAGAGATGCAGGGGGAGAGATGCAGAGGGAGAGATGCAGGGGGAGAGATGCAGAGGGAGAGATGCAGAGGGAGAGATGCAGGGGGAGAGATGCAGGGGGAGAGATGCAGGGGGAGAGATGCAGGGGGAGAGATGCAGGGGGAGAGATGCAGAGGGAGAGATGCAGAGGGAGAGATGCAGGGGGAGAGATGCAGAGGGAGAGATGCAGAGGGAGAGATGCAGAGGGAGAGATGCAGAGGGAGAGATGCAGAGGGAGAGATGCAGAGGGAGAGATGCAGGGGGAGAGATGCAGAGGGAGAGATGCAGGGGGAGAGATGCAGAGGGAGAGATGCAGAGGGAGAGATGCAGGGGGAGAGATGCAGGGGGAGAGATGCAGGGGGAGAGATGCAGGGGGAGAGATGCAGGGGGAGAGATGCAGAGGGGGAGAGATGCAGGGGGAGAGATGCAGAGGGAGAGATGCAGGGGGAGAGATGCAGGGGGAGAGATGCAGAGGGAGAGATGCAGGGGGAGAGATGCAGGGGGAGAGATGCAGAGGGAGAGATGCAGAGGGAGAGATGCAGGGGGAGAGATGCAGAGGGAGAGATGCAGAGGGAGAGATGCAGAGAGAGAGAGACACACACATACAGAGACACACACATACAGAGACACACACACATACAGAGACACACACACACAGAGCGAGACACACACAGAGAGCGAGACACACACATACAGAGACACACACACACAGAGAGAGACACACACAGAGAGACACTGAGAGGCACAGAGAGAGGGAGAGACACTGAGACAGAAACACAATTGGAGAGACACACACGGTCATAATGACAGCCAAACGAGCCGTGGAGCTGTGTTTAGGTGAGTGAAGCTCTCACTGTCAGCACTGCCTTATGTTGTGTCATCTTTTAGAGTAAAGGCACATTTCCACCTGTACTGTACTCTACTGTATCCTCTGATCCTGTAGCAGGGTATTCAAAGATTGGAGTAAAAAGCTCTATGGTTCTATAGTTGCAGGTATTCGACTTGAGTAGTTGCTGCAGGTTTGAGCCTCAAAACATCAGCATTAGTTCAGTTTAGCTGATGTTAGCATTGTGCAGCTAATGTCACATCACGGGGCACTTCCTGTTTTTGTAGAAGCCACCCCTCATTCTGGTCATTCTTTTTATTCACCCAGAGAGGGAGAAAGGGAGAGGAACCAGAGGGAACAGAGAGGGCGAGAGACCCTAGGGAGAGACCAGAGGGAGAGAGACCAGAGAGAGAGAGACCAGAGGGAGAGACCAGAGGGAGAGACCAGAGGGAGAGACCAGAGGGAGAGACCAGAGGGAGAGACCAGAGGGAGAGACCAGAGAGAGAGACCAGAGAGAGAGACCAGAGAGAGAGACCAGAGAGAGAGACCAGAGGGAGAGACCAGAGGGAGAGACCAGAGGGAGAGACCAGAGAGAGAGACCAGAGAGAGAGACCAGAGAGAGAGACCAGAGCACAGACTGTATATGTGGAGAGGACTGACAGTGTGACATCACCACAGTATTAGCCTTAATGCAAAAGAATTGATTTGAACTTAAGCTGGAGCCAGTTTCCTTATATGGGCATTTGTTCTGACGCCGTAACCGGAGCAAACATGTTGCTATGGCAAGCTGGAGTTTTCTCATGAATGAAGGCCTCTGATTGGTCAGTTCATCTGAGAGTAACTCAGAAGTTTCCTCTTGGGCCTGGACCTTCTCTGGGTGTGTCCAGAGAAACTCATAAACTTTACTTTCACTTTTGATCAGAACTCTGCAGCCGTAGCAAGATGTAATCTGTTGGTTTCATTACAGATAGACCCAGACTTTGTGGTTCTATCTGTAATGAAACCAGAGGGAGACCAGAGGGAGACCAGAGAGAGCCAGAGGGAGAAATGCTTTAATTTAACCTTTTGGGTGAAATCCTGGTGTTTTTTTGTGCTACTGTGGCTCATGATGACGTTCTTTAACTCATGAGGAAATGAACATGTCTAAAAAGCAGAAGTTGGATCTGAACCAAAGCCATACGCTGACTCACTTCTTCACTCGGTGTGAGACTTATTCTGGTTTTCTGTCTTTGTCCAGAGCTGCTTTACAACATCTTTAAAGAGGAACTAGACTGAACCCTGAAGGGGGCGTGGCCTGACGTCACATGACTACAGATCTGCAGAGGATTGGAGATGGATTGTAGCTAACAGAGCTGCTAACATGGAGGTCTGTTGAGCCCTGGACATGCGGCGGCCATGTTGGAATAACCAGAGATCCAGCCCCAAAGAATCCGGAAATTTCCCAGATTTCAGAGCGACGTTCCGATGGCGGGAAAGGACTACAACCACCTGTTCAAGCTGCTCATCATTGGAGACTCCAGTCAGTGCATTTTTATATTTTAGCTTTCACAGACCTGGAGCTGGTTTTAGATCCATCCAGGATAATGTCACGAAGCACCAACATGTAGTTTTGCTGCGTCTGAGAGAGACCAGACAGAGGGAGACCAGGCAGACAGAGAGAGAGAGAGGGAGGGCAGAGAGGGAGGGAGGGCAGAGAGAGAGAGTGAGAGAGAGGGGGACCAGGCAGACAGAGAGGGAGGGAGGGCAGAGAGGGAGGGAGGGCAGAGAGAGGGAGGGCAGAGAGAGTGAGAGAGAGGGGGACCAGGCGGGCAGAGAGAGAGAGAGAGAGAGAGACCAGAGGGGGGGAGAGAGCGAGACCAGAGGGGGGAGAGAGAGCGAGACCAGAGGGGGGGAGAGAGCGAGACCAGAGGGGGGGAGAGAGCGAGACCAGAGGGGGGGAGAGAGCGAGACCAGAGGGGGGGAGAGAGCGAGACCAGAGGGGGGGAGAGAGCGAGACCAGAGGGGGGGGAGAGAGCGAGACCAGAGGGGGGGAGAGAGCGAGACCAGAGGGGGGGAGAGAGCGAGACCAGAGGGGGGGAGAGAGCGAGACCAGAGGGGGGGAGAGAGCGAGACCAGAGGGGGGGAGAGAGCGAGACCAGAGGGGGGGGGAGAGCGAGACCAGAGGGGGGGGGAGAGCGAGACCAGAGGGGGGGGGAGAGCGAGACCAGAGGGGGGGGAGAGAGCGAGACCAGAGGGGGGGAGAGAGCGAGACCAGAGGGGAAAGACTGAAGAGAGAACTCGGGGAGGGACCAGTGGCTCCATGGTGTGACGTGATCTCCACAAATGCATTATTTCTAACGTTCTATAAATAGCAGAGAAATGCAGTCTTTTAGAGCGTTTAAACTCTTCATTGAAAGACACGGATCTACGCTGGTTCTCAGGGGGTTTCCCAGGAACCAGGAACCATGAACCATCAGCCCAAAGAGGAGAAACTGGTACAACTAAAACCAGTGATATCACAGGAGAGACCAGAGAGAGAGAGAGAGACCGGCCACAGAGAGAGAGAGACCGACCACAGAGAGAGAGAGACCGACCACAGAGAGAGAGAGACCGACCACAGAGAGAGAGAGACCGACCACAGAGAGAGAGAGACCAACCACAGAGAGAGAGAGACCGACCACAGAGAGAGAGAGAGAGAGACCGACCAGAGAGAGAGAGACCGACCAGAGAGAGAGAGACCGACCAGAGAGAGAGAGACCGACCACAGAGAGAGAGAGACCGACCACAGCGAGAGAGAGACCGACCACAGCGAGAGAGAGACCGACCACAGCGAGAGAGAGACCGACCACAGAGAGAGAGAGACCGACCACAGAGAGAGAGAGACCGACCACAGAGAGAGAGAGACCGACCACAGAGAGAGAGAGACCGACCACAGAGAGAGAGAGACCGACCACAGAGAGAGAGAGACCGACCACAGAGAGAGAGAGACCGACCACAGAGAGAGAGAGACCGACCACAGAGAGAGAGACCGACCACAGAGAGAGAGAGAGAGAAACCCGACCACAGAGAGGGAGACCCGACCACAGAGAGAGAGAGACCCGACCACAGAGAGAGAGAGACCGACCACAGAGAGAGACCGACCACAGAGAGAGAGACCGACCAGAGAGAGAGAGACCGACCAGAGAGAGAGAGACCGACCACAGAGAGAGAGACCGACCACAGAGAGAGAGACCGACCACAGCGAGAGAGAGACCGACCACAGCGAGAGAGAGACCGACCACAGAGAGAGAGACCGACCACAGAGAGAGAGAGAGAGACCGACCACAGAGAGAGAGAGAGAGAGACCGACCACAGAGAGAGAGAGAGAGACCGACCACAGAGAGAGAGAGAGAGAGACCGACCACAGAGAGAGAGAGAGACCGACCACAGAGAGAGAGAGACCGACCACAGAGAGAGAGAGACCGACCACAGAGAGAGAGAGAGAGACCGACCACAGAGAGAGAGAGAGAGAGACCGACCACAGAGAGAGAGAGAGAGACCGACCACAGAGAGAGAGAGAGAGACCGACCACAGAGAGAGAGAGAGAGAGAGAGACCGACCACAGAGAGAGAGAGAGAGAGACCGACCACAGAGAGAGAGAGACAAACCACAGAGAGAGAGAGAGACCGACCACAGAGAGAGAGAGACCGACCACAGAGAGAGAGACCGTAACAACAGAAAAAACAACAGCAGTTAAATATTGAATTTAAACTTTTTCTTTTCTTCAGGCGTCGGGAAAAGCAGCCTCCTCCTCCGCTTCGCTGACAACTCTTTCTCTGGTGAGTTTTCTCTAATGGCAGAAGTCCTGGTCCTGGTTTGATCTAGGCCTGGTCTAGTCCTGGTTTGGTCCTCGTCTAATGCTGGTCTGGTCCTGGTTTGGTCCTGGTTTGATCTAGGCCTGGTCCGGTCCTGGTCTAGTCCTGGTCCGGTCCTGGTTTGGTCCTGGTCTAGTCCTGGTCTAGTCCTGGTCTAGTCCTGGTCTAGTCCTGGTCTAGTCCTGGTCTAGTCCTGGTCTGGTCCTGGTCTGGTCCTGGTCTCGTCCTGGTCTGGTCCTGGTCTGGTCCTCTGTACATGAATGTCTGTCTGTGTCGCTGTGGTTTGGTCTTATCCCGCATCTGAAACTGTCGTGTGGAACATGAGGGCGATGAGTCTGGACTCGTGTTTCAGAAACTTGGTCTCGACCAAAATCCCGACAGTCTCTGAGGACTTTACAAAGTTGTGGATTTGACGACAGACCAGAGAAACAAACAGTTCAAATATAGGAAATGCAATAATATCAAACACAGAGGAGACGTTGATCTATAGGGAGCGGGACCGAGTCTGTAGACCCAGGACTCGGGCTGCTGTAGATCTCCCTGTGTATGAACTGTGCTATACAGATAAACTTGTCTGTGTTTCAGGCAGCTACATCACCACGATCGGAGTGGACTTTAAGATCCGCACCGTGGACATCAACGGGGAGAGGGTGAAGCTGCAGATCTGGGACACGGCCGGACAGGAGCGCTTCCGGACCATCACCTCCACGTACGGGACGCCTGTGCCTAAACGCCTGTGCCTAAACGCCTGTGCCTAAACGCCTGTGCCTAAACGCCTGTGCCTAAACGCCTGTGCCTAAACGCCTGTGCCTAAACGCCTGTGCCTAAAAGCCTGTGCCTAAACGCCTGTGCCTAAACGCCTGTGCCTAAACGCCTCCTCTCCTCTCTCTCTCTGTCCTGTCCTCTCTCTCTCTGTCCTGTCCTCTCCTCTCTCTCTCTGTCCTGTCCTCTCTCTCTCTGTCCTGTCCTCTCTCTCTCTGTCCTGTCCTCTCCTCTCTCTGTCCTGTCCTCTCCTCTCTCTCTCTGTCCTGTCCTCTCTCTCTCTGTCCTGTCCTCTCTCTCTCTGTCCTCTCCTCTCTCTCTCTGTCCTCTCCTCTCTCTCTCTGTCCTCTCCTCTCTCTCTCTGTCCTCTCCTCTCTCTCTCTGTCCTCTCCTCTCTCTCTCTCTGTCCTCTCCTCTCTCTCTCTGTCCTGTCCTCTCTCTCTCTGTCCTGTCCTCTCCTCTCTCTCTCTGTCCTCTCTCTCTCTGTCCTGTCCTCTCCTCTCTCTCTCTGTCCTGTCCTCTCTCTCTCTGTCCTGTCCTCTCTCTCTCTGTCCTGTCCTCTCTCTCTCTGTCCTGTCCTCTCTCTCTCTGTCCTCTCCTCTCTTCTCTCTGTCCTCTCCTCTCTGTCCTGTCCTCTCCTCTCTCTCTCTCTGTCCTGTTCTCTCTCTCTCTGTCTGTCCTGTCCTCCTCTGTCCTGTCCTCTCTCTCTCTGTCCTGTCCTCTCCTCTCTCTCTCTGTCCTCTCCTCTCTCTCTCTGTCCTCTCCTCTCTCTCTCTCTGTCCTCTCCTCTCTCTCTCTGTCCTGTCCTCTCCTCTCTGTCCTGTCCTCCTCTCTGTCCTGTCCTCTCCTCTCTGTCCTGTCCTCTCTCTCTGTCCTGTCCTCTCTCTCTGTCCTGTCCTCTCCTCTCTCTCTCTGTCCTCTCCTCTCTCTCTCTCTGTCCTCGCCTCTCTCTCTCTGTCCTCTCCTCGCCTCTCTCTGTCCTCTCTCGCTGTCCTGTCCTCTCCTCTCTCTCTCTGTGTTCAGATGTGTCTCTCTCATGTTTGCAGTTACTATAGAAACACTCACGGTGTGATCATCGTGTACGACGTGACAAACCCAGAATCCTTCGTGAACGTGAAGCGATGGCTCAACGAGATCTCCCAGAACTGTGACACTGTCTGCAAGATACTAGGTGAGAGACCAGGGGGCGAGAGAGACCAGACGGGGAGGGGCGAGAGAGAAACTATGACTGAAGCAGAAATATATCAGATTTTCTGTTTTAGAATCCTCTATTGTGTGTTAGCAGTCATGCTAACACATATTATTGATCTGAGGTTGTTTTTTCTACAGTTGGAAACAAAAATGACGACCCGACGAGGAAAAAGGTGGAGACTCAGGACGCTCAGCGCTTCGGAGAATCTGTGGGAGTGAGAGTGTTCGAGACCAGCGCCAAAGACAACATCAACGTGGAGGAGGTGGGTGCGTGCACAAATGTGTTAAATGAGTATCCAGGCCGTGACCTCTGACCTCTGCAGATGTTCATGGAGTTTGCCCACATGGTTCTTCGCGCCAAGATTCAGAGTCAGAACCGAGCGGAGCGTGAGAGAGAGAGAGAGCGCGACACGGTGAACATCGGGGCTCAGAGGGACCGCGACCGACGGAAAAGGAACAAGAAGTGCTGCTGAGACCGGGTCCAGGCCGAGACCAGGTCCAGACCGACAGAGACCAAAAATGAGAAAGAGCTGCTGAGTGCAGACTAGAGACTATGATCAGGACCTCGCTCTGGCTCCTGTTGTTTGGGTCACATTCACCATTTTGGCCTTAAATCTGTGGTTTTTATGATATTGTCTTTATGAATTTAGACGTCCAGGAAACTGACCAATTGCGAATGGAAATGAACCGGTCTTCCTCTTGATTGGCTCTCTCTGCTATGATAGAATTTGGTTCCAGACTCTGGCACATAGTCTGTTTTAGGTGGACCGGAGAGAGTCTGGACCCCGCAGCTGCGTCTGCCCTCTACAGACCCTCGTCTTTGTGAAATAACTTTATTAATCCTGATTTTAACATAAAACAAATGAGTGTTTGTGTAAAATGACTAGAGGACTGGACCAGAACTGGACCGTGTGCATCAGCCTGGAGCCTCCAGAGTCAAAGGACCTGTCGTGTCTTTTTTAATGTTTACATAGATTTTAATTTAATAAAATCTTATTGTTTTCATGTATATTCAGTTTGATTCTGTAAACTGTTGACACTAAAGTGTTGAATCAGCTCAGAACAGGAAAGTCACTTAAAGCTGAAGTATGTAACTTACAAACCACAGCAATAGAACTGTATTAATTTGTCAAACTGCAATCAAATGTTTTAGAGCAAAAGTTTGTCCATGAGCACTTTCCTAATGGGTTCCATTGAGCTTGCGCATTAGCATTGTCCATCTGTATACAGCCTGTTAGCATTAGCATCTGTGCAGTCTAATGATTGAGACGTGTTGAGGCTTCTCATTTTGACATCAGTAAAACGACTCAAACTGCAGTTAAAACATGAACCGCCACCAGGGGGCGCTAATCAGTCTGACTTTTGTCTGATCTAAACTGCTGTTTGTCCCAAAAACAATACATGATTTTCTCAATTGTTTTTTCTGTTTATTGACTGCAAACCTGCACTGGGAGAGAAATGTTTGGACAAGACCAGAGGGGGACCAGGGGGAGGGACCAGGGAGGGACCAGTTTCATCAATTGTGGTGATTACGTCATCTCCATCAGGTGTAAACACATTTGACCATCAGAGCAGGAAGTGGATGTGCAGTTTGTGATGTCACAGAGCAGAGGAGGTTGGATCCATCAGACCTTTATTACAGAAGTGCTCCCTCTGCTGGTGATCTGCTTCCACTGCAGCAGAATAATCAGTTCCATTGTCTGTTGTCCTTTTAGAGTTTGAGTCCACACCTCTCCTGATCTACTGCAGCTGTGGAGTTTGACTGGAGACCTTCACAAAACTAATTTACAGTTTTTACAAAAGGCAGAAAACTGATCTGTCCATTTTGTCCTTTAGTCCAGCTCTAGACCTCACTTGGACTTAGGCAGCCGATAGACCCCCATGGATCCGATGAGCTGGTGTTCCTGAACCTTCCGCTGCAGAAAGGCCTCCAGCTCCTCCACGTCCATCTCCGTGACGACTGGTCCAGTCGCTACGAACATCCGCAGCATGGAGTGGATCCTCTCCAGGGTCATAGTGTCCAGGTTGGTCAGCATGGCCTGGATGTAGACCCAGAACAGCTGTGGAGCAGAGACCAGGTCAGGGACAGGAAGGGTCTAAAGTCTATAGAGGTTCTCACCTGCAGTTTCTCCTCCCTCTGCTCAGACTGGGTGGTAGTATTAGAGTCTCTCTCCTCGTCGCTGTCGATCAGCATGACGCCGCGGTCCTGCTTCTCTCGTGACGAGCCGGTCTCCATGACGCAGTAGCGCCCCCCGGCTTCCTCCCGCAGTACTCCCTGCTGCTGCCACAGGGCCAGCTTCCGGTGCACCAGGTCCCGAGGGGCCCCCAGTGTCTGGCTCAGCTCCTCCAGGCCCCACTCACCTATACACACAAAATGACACATATTATGACGACTTACTGGTCATTTGAATGCACACAAGAGATGGGGGAGGCCTCAGAGACAAACACAGCTCCGGGTCACAGAGACCTACTTTTGTCCTGGAAGTGCAGGATGATGGCGGCGTGGATGGGAGACACGGTGAGGTTGGAGATGGTTCTGTCCTCCAGCTCCACGTCCAGAGTCACGGAGCCCAAGTGAGGCTTCCAGCTCAGTGTGCGCATGGCCTGAACCAGAGATGCAACATTACACACAACACTCTGGTCTCTCTCACTCTGGTCTCTCTCACTCTGGTCTCTCTCACTCTGGTCTCTCTGGTACCTTGAGTTTCTCGTATCGGTGTGTGTAGTCCTCCATGGCCTGTGTGACCACCGGGGGGAGCTCTAGTTTCTCCTCCTTCAGCGTGGGCCAGAACTCAGAGGACAGGATGATGGCAGACAGCGGCAGAGACGGCTGCTCCTCTGTGTTCACACGAGACTCCTCTGTGTTCAGACGAGACTCTTCCTCGCGGACATTTCCATTGATCCTGCGAGAGTCTGCCATGTCCTGAGAGCGAGAGAGAGGAAGGAGAGAGCGAATAAATAAACAGGGATGTGCTTTAGTCTGGTGTCTTACCATGAATCTATAATAAAAAGTAGATAGATTATGGCTGTCTCATCCATGGGCAGTGGCCACCCGCGGTACTGCAGACTGAATTCACGGTACCCAGAAAAATGTCCATAGAACAATTAAAATAGACTGGGCTTTGACCAATCAGTGCAGCCAGAGCGGAAGGAAAGGAGCAGAGTTTGTGGCAGTAAAGTGTGGATTTATAGAATATTTATTTATTTATTTAGAGGATAAGCCCCTTGGAGATAAACCATCTCATTTTTGAGGGGGTCCTCAAGATTTCACAAAGTGACAGATACAGCAAAACAGATGCAAACAAAACAAAAATACAAGAAAATAATTAAAAAAACAAAAAAAAATACATAAAAAATACACACACATAAACCCTCAATCACACACACACAAACACACACACACACACGCTGTGACTGTACTGTAATTACACTAAATAAGGATAATACTATTAATAATAGTAATAACGATAATTAGGAGACATAACCGAAGATCAAAAACATTGACATGAATTCTGGAGATATTGTAGCAGAGCAGATTTAAACAGAGGCAGAGAAGTTACAGAGCGAATAGACAACGGCAAACTGTTCCAGACGGAGCTTTAAATTCAAATGCATGTTTTCCAGCTTATTTTTTCACTCTTGGGACGACAAAAAAAAAACTGATTTGCACGACGCAAACTGTACGAGGATTGGAAAGGAATCATATATTGTTTTAAATATTCTGGAAAACTGAGATTAATACATTTGAAAATAAACAATAGCCAATGTAGCTGAATAGGATGACAAGGGACACTAAAATCCCCACAAAATCTGACCTTTATGAAAGCTGATGGTTCTCTGTCAGACTCAGATCTGCAGTGAAAAGGCGGTATATAAATAAAAACTTACTTACTTACTTACTTACTCTGTCAGCTGAGGTCGAGCTGTTTTACTTTACATTGAGTTTTTTTGGACTTTTGCCTGGGTGGCACACGTGAATTTAGTCTTGTTTAGTCTGCAGTACCACAAGCGTCCTCTGTGCCCATGGGTGGGACAGCTATAAGCTAGTTATACCCCATCCAGTGATCATTATAGATCCATGGGTTAAACACAGATCTGGAAATGTAACTTTAGTCTCAATGAGATTACAGAACAAGCTCCTCCTCCTGGCCCAAGGAGGAGAGTACGATGTCTCTCTCTCTGGTCTCTCTGTCTCTCACCTTGAGCATGACTTCGCAGTAGTGCATGTGTGACTCTCCAAAGCGCAGCTTCAACAGCTCCACGTTTCGGATCTCTCTGAAACCAATAGAACAGGTCACTGCTACAGGACGAGAGAGACAAGAAAAGAACCAGAGAGAGACTAGAGAGAAACCAGAGAGCGACTAGAGAGAGACAAGAGAAGAACCAGAGAGCAACGAGAGAGAGACAAGAGAAGAACCAGAGAGCGACTAGAGAGAGACCAGAGAGAGACCCGTTACCTGGCTGTGTTGTAGTTGAGCTGCTGCAGAAGGCGGCCGCCCAGAACCGTCCGGTACTCGTCGATGAAGATGTCTTTGCTGCCGTAGATACTGACCAGCAGACTGATGATGTCAGAGGAGCGCCGCTTCGAGCCCGATTTATCTACAGCAACAAACAGCAGGTTTAAGACCATAAATCAGCACCAAACACGGCCCTTACATGAACTAGAGGTCTCTGGTTTTTGGTCTTTGTTAGAGGTGAGAAAAATCAATTCTGTTCAGTATCGCCCGCAATTAAATGGAGGCAGTAGAGAAAAAGTATTGTGATATTTAATTAAATAATGATCTGTTTTTTAAAGTGAGTTTCTTCCGTATAGAGTCAGAAGAAGCAGACTCTATGATGTCTGTTCCACCCTCTGACCTGGGACTGCGTCTGTGGGGTCCGGGGTCCAGTCCTCGGGGTCTGTGGTCTCCTCGTCGCTCTCCTGCTGCTCCAGAGTCACTGGGTCTCCTCTGGAAAGCTCTGAGGCCAGGTCTGTGCAGCCCTCAGCATCTCCTGTCAGACCAGCAACGATCTGACGGACTGTGTCCTCACGGGTCCTGAGGGGCAGGGACCAGAGTGAGACCAGAGAGACCAGAGAGGGACCAGAGAGGGAGAGACTTGCAAGAGAGACCAGAGAGAGAGAGACTAGAGAGAAAGACCAGAGAGAGACCAGCCAGAGAGACCAGAGAGAGAGACCAGAGAGAGAGACCAGTAAAAGATACCAGAGAGAGACTAGAGAGAAAGACCAGCGAGAGAGACCAGAGAGAGAGACCAGAGAGAAAGACCAGAGAGAATGACCAGAAAGAGAAAGACCAGAGAGAGAGAGCAGCAAGAGAGACCAACAAAAGATACCAGAGAGAAAGACCAGAGAAAGAGACCAGAGAGAGAAACCTTCAAGAAAGACCAGCGAGAGAGACTAGAGAGAGAGAGACCAGAGAGAGAGACCAGAGAGGAAGACCAGCGAGAGATAGACCAGAGATCCATGCTCCCCATGTGGTGCTTGATGGTACCGTAAATACTTGCGGATGGGCTGACAGGCGACCTGCAGGATGACCATGGAGGGGTCCAGTTCCCTCAGGGCTTTGATCGCAGAGATGTAGACGGTTAAAATGTCAGACGTGTGGACTCCTGCAACACCAGCACTGAGGTCACACTGGTCCTGGGACACACTGGTCCGAGGTCGCACTGGTCCGAGGTCACACTGGTCCGAGGTCACACTGGTCCTGGGACACACTGGTCCGAGGTCGCACTGGTCCGAGGTCACACTGGTCCGAGGTCACACTGGTCCGAGGTCACACTGGTCCGAGGTCACACTGGTCCTGGTTCAGACCTGGTCCTGGTTCAGACCTGGGTGCAGCAGGCGGCTCTCGAAGGCGGTCTTGAGGGAGGTTAACAGCTGTTGTCTCTGGTTCGTTCGCTCCAAACAGAACTTCAGGTCCTCAATGGCGGCTTTGGACTCAGGGAAGTCTGTCAGAGAAGAACCAGAACCAGGAACACCATCAAACACTGATGGTGTTCCTCATGGTGGTTCTTCAAACACTGAACCATGTAGAACACTGTAATATTTGCCTCATCCTCCGTTATCTTCCATGACTCATAAACCTGCAGCAAAATAATAAGTCCATAAACTCAAACACAGTAGAAATACGCACATTAGCTGCATCGCTACGTTAGCTGCATCGCTACGTTAGCTGCATCGCTACGTTAGCTGCATCGCTACGTTAGCTGCATCGCTACGTTAGCTGCATCGCTACGTTAGCTGCATCGCTACGTTAGCTGCATCGCTACGTTAGCTGCATCGCTACGTTAGCTGCATCGCTACATTAGCTGCATCGCTACGTTAGCCACATTGCTAAGTTAGCTGCATTACTACATTAGCCACATTGCTACATTAGCTGCAGGATCAACTAACTAGGTCAAAGTAGCGGTTTGTGTGGGACCTCGGATGATGCTGAAGAGCTCTTCGATCCTCATGTTGACGTAGATCCTGCAGAAGAACTGGTGCATGTGACACCTCCACTGCTTCAGCACACTGCCACCTCCTGCAGGAGCGACCAGAGGAGCACCAGGGTCCATGGGAGAACCAAGTATCACAGGAGAAGGACCAGCAGAACCCCCACCAGGAGCAGGGGAGGAGAGCTCATCACTGGAAAAGACTTTGCTGAGCCAGCCCAGCACCTGCTCCAACCACTGAGGAAGACAGAAGGTTCTAGTCCACTGAGAGACACAGAAGGTTCTAGTCCACTGAGAGACACAGAAGGTTCTAGTCCACTGAGGGAGACAGAAGGTTCTAGTCCACTGAGAGAGACAGAAGGTTCTAGTCCACTGAGGGAGACAGAAGGTTCTAGTCCACTGAGGGAGACAGAAGGTTCTAGTCCACTGAGGGAGACAGAAGGTTCTAGTCCACTGAGGGAGACAGAAGGTTCTAGTCCACTGAGGAAGACAGAAGGTTCTAGTCCACTGAGAGAGACAGAAGGTTCTAGTCCACTGAGGAAGACAGAAGGTTCTAGTCCACTGAGAGAGACAGAAGGTTCTAGTCCACTGAGGGAGACAGAAGGTTCTAGTCCACTGAGGGAGACAGAAGGTTCTAGTCCACTGAGGAAGACAGAAGGTTCTAGTCTACTGAGGGAGACAGAAGGTTCTAGTCCACTGAGGAAGACAGAAGGTTCTAGTCCACTGAGGAAGACAGAAGGTTCTAGTCCACTGAGGAAGACAGAAGGTTCTAGTCCACTGAGGAAGACAGAAGGTTCTAGTCCACTGAGAGAGACAGAAGGTTCTAGTCCACTGAGAGAGACAGAAGGTTCTAGTCCACTGAGAGAGACAGAAGGTTCTAGTCCACTGAGGAAGACAGAATGTTCTAGTCCACTGAGGAAGACAGAAGGTTCTAGTCTACTGAGGGAGACAGAAGGTTCTAGTCCACTGAGGAAGACAGAAGGTTCTAGTCCACTGAGGAAGACAGAAGGTTCTAGTCCACTGAGGAAGACAGAAGGTTCTAGTCCACTGAGGAAGACAGAAGGTTCTAGTCCACTGAGAGAGACAGAAGGTTCTAGTCCACTGAGAGAGACAGAAGGTTCTAGTCCACTGAGAGAGACAGAAGGTTCTAGTCCACTGAGGAAGACAGAAGGTTCTAGTCCACTGAGAGAGACAGAAGGTTCTAGTCCACTGAGGGAGACAGAAGGTTCTAGTCCACTGAGGGAGACAGAAGGTTCTAGTCCACTGAGAGAGACAGAAGGTTCTAGTCCACTGAGAGAGACAGAAGGTTCTAGTCCACTGAGAGAGACAGAAGGTTCTAGTCCACTGAGGAAGGCAGAAGGTTCTAGTCCACTGAGAGAGACAGAAGGTTCTAGTCCACTGAGGGAGACAGAAGGTTCTAGTCCACTGAGGGAGACAGAAGGTTCTAGTCCACTGAGGGAGACAGAAGGTTCTAATCCACTGAGGGAGACAGAAGGTTCTAGTCCACTGAGGGAGACAGAAGGTTCTAGTCCACTGAGGGAGACAGAAGGTTCTAGTCCACTGAGGAAGACAGAAGGTTCTAGTCCACTGAGAGAGACAGAAGGTTCTAGTCCACTGAGGAAGACAGAAGGTTCTAGTCCACTGAGAGAGACAGAAGGTTCTAGTCCACTGAGGAAGACAGAAGGTTCTAGTCCACTGAGAGAGACAGAAGGTTCTAGTCCACTGAGGAAGACAGAAGGTTCTAGTCCACTGAGGGAGACAGAAGGTTCTAGTCCACTGAGGGAGACAGAAGGTTCTAGTCCACTGAGGAAGACAGAAGGTTCTAGTCCACTGAGGAAGACAGAAGGTTCTAGTCCACTGAGGGAGACAGAAGGTTCTAGTCCACTGAGAGAGACAGAAGGTTCTAGTCCACTGAGAGAGACAGAAGGTTCTAGTCCACTGAGAGAGACAGAAGGTTCTAGTCCACTGAGGAAGACAGAAGGTTCTAGTCCACTGAGAGAGACAGAAGGTTCTAGTCCACTGAGGGAGACAGAAGGTTCTAGTCCACTGAGGGAGACAGAAGGTTCTAGTCCACTGAGAGAGACAGAAGGTTCTAGTCCACTGAGAGAGACAGAAGGTTCTAGTCCACTGAGAGAGACAGAAGGTTCTAGTCCACTGAGAGAGACAGAAGGTTCTAGTCCACTGAGAGAGACAGAAGGTTCTAGTCCACTGAGGAAGACAGAAGGTTCTAGTCCACTGAGGAAGACAGAAGGTTCTAGTCCACTGAGAGAGACAGAAGGTTCTAGTCCACTGAGAGAGACAGAAGGTTCTAGTCCACTGAGAGAGACAGAAGGTTCTAGTCCACTGAGAGAGACAGAAGGTTCTAGTCCACTGAGGGAGACAGAAGGTTCTAGTCCACTGAGGAAGACAGAAGGTTCTAGTCCACTGAGGGAGACAGAAGGTTCTAGTCCACTGAGGAAGACAGAAGGTTCTAGTCCACTGAGGAAGACAGAAGGTTCTAGTCCACTGAGGAAGACAGAAGGTTCTAGTCTACTGAGGGAGACAGAAGGTTCTAGTCCACTGAGGAAGACAGAAGGTTCTAGTCCACTGAGAAAGACAGAAGGTTCTAGTCCACTGAGGGAGACAGAAGGTTCTAGTCCACTGAGGAAGACAGAAGGTTCTAGTCCACTGAGGAAGACAGAAGGTTCTAGTCCACTGAGGAAGACAGAAGGTTCTAGTCCACTGAGAGAGACAGAAGGTTCTAGTCCACTGAGAGAGACAGAAGGTTCTAGTCCACTGAGGGAGACAGAAGGTTCTAGTCCACTGAGGAAGACAGAAGGTTCTAGTCCACTGAGGGAGACAGAAGGTTCTAGTCCACTGAGGAAGACAGAAGGTTCTAGTCCACTGAGGAAGACAGAAGGTTCTAGTCCACTGAGGAAGACAGAAGGTTCTAGTCTACTGAGGGAGACAGAAGGTTCTAGTCCACTGAGGAAGACAGAAGGTTCTAGTCCACTGAGAAAGACAGAAGGTTCTAGTCCACTGAGGGAGACAGAAGGTTCTAGTCCACTGAGGAAGACAGAAGGTTCTAGTCCACTGAGGAAGACAGAAGGTTCTAGTCCACTGAGGAAGACAGAAGGTTCTAGTCCACTGAGAGAGACAGAAGGTTCTAGTCCACTGAGAGAGACAGAAGGTTCTAGTCCACTGAGGGAGACAGAAGGTTCTAGTCCACTGAGGGAGACAGAAGGTTCTAGTCCAGTTTATGGTCCACTCTGTTTCACTTTTCTGTTGGAAAAAGCTGATCTTAGGATGTGACAGAGGCCAGAGATACATGGTGTGAAATCTAGTGATAGAATCTCTCTGGTCTCTCGCTCTCTGGTCTCTGGCTCTCTGGTCTCTCGCTCTCTGGTCTCTCGCTCTCTGGTCTCTCGCTCTCTCTGGTCTCTCGCTCTCTCTGGTCTCTCGCTCTCTCTGGTCTCTCGCTCTCTGGTCTCTCGCTCTCTGGTCTCTCGCTCTCTGGTCTCTCGCTCTCTGGTCTCTCGCTCTCGGTCTCTCACCTCCTGGAAGTCGGTGAGGAATGATCGTTCGTACTCCCCCCTGCAGTGTCTCTCCATTCGCTGCTCGATGAGTCTGTGGAGGATTTGAGTGACAGGTTTGGAGCTCACCCACTCCAACAGCTGCAGCCTGCACCTGCGGAGACCAGGGGGCGCACATGGTCACACAGATGCACCAGGGGGCGCACATGGTCACACAGATGCACCAGGGGGCGCACATGGTCACACAGATGCACCAGGGGGCGCACATGGTCACACAGATGCACCAGGGGGCGCACATGGTCACACAGATGCACCAGGGGGCGCACAAGCCTAATCACTGGACCATAATAAAGTGTATAATGAAGAGACTCTAAAAACTTAAATTATAATAAATCATAATACAAAATAATTAATACTTTTCGGACTCGGGCGACAGTTGGTAGAGCATTGGCCTTAAGGCCAGAAGATCGTGGGTTCAATTCCCACCTCTGCACCTTCTCCACCGACTCCCACTGATGACTGCTGTCGTTGTGTCCTTGGGCAAGACACTTAACCCCACTTTGCCCAAAGCCCCCACTGAAAGATCAAGGCTATGCTCACACTCAGAGAGCAGCCGTCCTCCTGTGGACTCACCACCTGCAGAGGGTCAGTGAGGGGCTGGTGCTATGAGACTTGGGTGGCATCTCTGACTGCCACCCCCCTGACCCAGAAATGGATTAAAGGGTAGAAAATGGATGGATGGATGGACTTTAAATAAACTTTTTCATAACTCTTTTTAACACGTTTCTTGACACTGGCCTCATGATTTCACTGATGGCGCTTCAGAACGCGTGTCAGTTGAACTTTACTTTTAGACCCTAAACAGTCGCTTGCTACAAGAAGAATGCGGTGCTTCACCGTTTTCAACACGTGCAGTTTGAGCCCCTCGGGTCGCGCTGCTCTGGAGGCGGTGCATGTGGGATGTCATCTTAGATTTGGTCCTCACCAAATATTGGTGGGGACATGTCACATGTCCCCATGGTCCCCCCGCAGACCTACACCCTTGGTTTTGACCCTTACATTGTCACACGTACCCGTCTGACACGGGTCTAAACAACACACTGACTGTTCCCAGCGTAGCAGCGGGTCGACGCAGTTGTAAAAACACGCCTCCACAGTCAGACTCACAGGACGTGGCTGAACTGCTGCAGTTGCTCCAGCGCGTCCCGACACCAGCAGACGTCAGCTCCGCAGCCCGAGCACAGCGCCCCCTCCTGGTCTCCGCCCTCTCCCCCCTCTCCCCCTTCCTGCCGCATGAACACAGAGAAGGAGCGTGTGTAGAAGTCCAAGACTCGTGCCTCCAGCTCAGGACACGGTCTCGACAGCAGCAGAGCGCGAATCAGAGTGTGAGCGCGAGGAAGAACCGAAGGAGACACACGCTGCAGCGCACCTGCAACACACACACACACACAGACACACACAGACACAAGGACATTTATATATGTAGCACATGTCAGACAAGAACCACACTAAATCCAGAGTTAGTGTATAGTATCATGTGTAGTTTGTCCAACAGAAAGAAAAATGCCGCTCCTCGGGGTCAACCTGCAGTGTGGGGCCCCCAGGAGACCGTTCACCTGCAGTGTGGGGCTCCCAGGGGACCGTCCACCTGCAGTGTGGGGGACTCTTTCTGTTGGACAGACTCCATGTGCTCTACATGAAGAGAAAGTCAGGTACCACAGCTTTAACAGTGACTCACGCAGCAGCGGTTGCAGTCGGTCCAGCAGCGTGTGAAAGACTGACACCAGAACCTCCGCTCGTCCCCGCTCCTCCAGCTCGTTCTGCGGCTGTGACAGTCCAGACCAGAACTCCGGTACCACAGAGTCCGATAGAAGCATCTGCAGCCCCTCCAACAGGAAGGGACCCAGGTGGACGTCCACACCGTGAGCTCTGAGCACCGAGAGAGACTCCGAGAGCGACAGTGGGGACGGCGACATCTGCAGAGATAGAAAGACTCAGAGAGAGACTTCGAGAAAGACTTCGAGAGAGACTCCAAGAGAGACAGAGGGGACGGAGACATAGGCAGAGAGAGTGAGACTGTAGTCCTTTCACTCCCTATGGACCAATGTCTCCTTTGTTTTTGTTATTATTGCTTTTCCTGAGTTTGAACTGTTTGATTCTCTGATCTATTGTTGGTGAAATAAAGTCAAAACATTAAAACTGAATCAAAAACCAAACATATTTCTGTGTTTGAAAGGCTCAGAGTCTAGACTCTGGTCTCTCTCTCTCTTGTCTCTGAGTGACCAATGACATGATAATATGACAGATGTAATGTATGTGAAAGTTACGGACCCCAGCTTTGATCTAACTCTATGTTGTGATGATGTTAGGTCCTCACCAGAGCCGCTGTGGTAGACTCCCAGGCTTCAGACAAACTCATGGAGGACTCTACAGCCTCCATCACCACCTCCGCCATCCTCAGAACCCGAATCGCACCGTAAACAACACCGAAACCTCCGCGGACAGGCTGTACCCGTGGCCCCCGGGAGGCACGGGACCCGCACACACGGACACGGAGCTGGATATTCAGGGAAATTCAGTTTTTTGCTTCAGAATGTGATTGTTTCTGTTTCTGCTCCCGCGGCTGCTGCAGAGTTCCGGTCCAGTATGCGCTGCTGCTGCCCCCTGGCGGCTCCTCTGCAGAACCACCACAACACGGTAAAGCGCGCCCTCCAGCGGCCGCAGGAGATCACTGCAAACACACAAGACGAAAACTACATCCGGTAGAAGGTGTCGTCAAAATAAAAGCACAATAAACAGATCGAAATGAACGTGAAGAACAGATGTTAAAAACTGTCCACACAGATACAGACAACAGCAACTAACCCTTTAATTCTTCTACATCATGGTCTGGAGTGATGAGAGAAACTGTTAGTTTATTTTTACAGCACAGATCGTACTCAAGGTACTTAAATGTCAAAGAGCGCTTATGCCATAAAAACACATGCAGTTTTATATGTTGTAAACACTGTTGTGTTGAAACTGTGGTATGTCATCCTTTCTACAGTCCAACAAACAATATTTACTTGTATTTACATGTATTAATTAAATCAGAATAGTTCGCTCTTCAGTTTAAAACTTAAAGAGAAAATAAGGGGAGAGTTATAATGACCTTTATATATAAGTTAGCTATATATTAGTCTCAAAATCTTAACAGATAATATAAACAACAATAAAAACATTAAAACAACAATAAGCAACGATACAATATATCATAAGAACATCGTAAAAGTGGTCGTAAAACAGGAGCTTTGGATTTTATTTGGCTTCGCAGATGCCCTCCTGTGGCCACTTCTTGAAACTACAACTAAAATCAGAGACAAAACCTGCGCTACTGCAATTCTACAAACTGACCACCAGAGGACGCTTGTTGCATCTTGGGAGAGAGACACACACAGAGAGAGAAGCTTATTGTCTATTTGGAAAAATAAATAAAAATAACCAAATAGCAGCAAAGTCAAATTAGACACAGATGTATTTTTAAATAGTCACTTTGTAGTTTTACTGACATCACATATATTCAGTCCGCTCTTGTTTTGGAGGATCCCGGGACTTTAAACAGTTGTGTGTTTTCGCTGTGACAGAAGCAGCACGATGGCCTCAGAGTGCGAGTGAGTGACCAGGGAGTGTCATCACATTATCAAATATACTCTTACATCTGTAACAAGTGTAAAAACCTTTGTTGTGTTGATCTGTTAGCAGTTAGCAGCCTCGCGCTGTCACTTAGCAGAAACATGCTAACGATGCTAGTTAGCTCCCAGTGCTAACATGAACACATTAGACCAATGCAGCTCGTAAACAAACCTAAATAATGCTTTGATCTGCTGCAGTGTGGCGTCTGAGATTGAGGTGCTGCAGTCCATCTACCTGGATGAGCTGCAAGTGGACAGGACACAGGATGGGTGAGGTTTATAAAGTGTTTTTGTCAGATTTAAAACTAAAAACTTATCTAAAAATGTCATGTCCTTAAACAGTGGCAGTCTTTTTAGTGAGGCGTATGTATAATTGTGAGTAGAGTTCATCTGTGAGCAATAAAGTGGAAAACGATATTTGTGTAGTGAATTTATTCAAGTAAATTGTAAATACCAGGCCTCATGTGTTGTTGATGGATGTGTGTTTCTGCCTCGGGCCCATAGTGACAGGCACATTCTGTAACAGACTGCAGCAGACCAGCTGGGGATCAGACACAACATGTGGCCTTCAGCTTTAGAAAATTTTATATTTTGTGTAAGAAATAGCCTGAGCTAACCATCCATGCTCTGTCCTCTTACAGACAGTGGGACATGGACATTAACTCATGTCCTCTTGCAGACTGTGGGACATGGACACTAACTTCTGTCCTCTTGCAGACAGTGGGAGGTGCGTCTGGTGCTGCACCCATCCACAGCTGAGGACGCAGTGTCTCAGTTCGTCCGCCTCACGCTCACACTGACTCTGGACAAAAGCGTGAGTCTCTGCAGCATCTGAACCTGAGAGAGAGACCAGAGAGAGAGAGACCAGAGAGAGAGAGACCAGAGAGAGAGAGACCAGAGAGAGAGAGACCAGAGAGAGAGACCAGAGTGAGAGAGATGGAGACCGGAGCGAGACAGACTAGCGCAAGAGAGAGGGAGAGAGAGAGAGAGACCCTCATATTTCGTCCCTTTTTGGTTCTTTCAAACTGATTTGACTTGATGGTGCTGCCTCCTTGTCTCAGCTGAGCACATAAGTTTCATTCTAATCCCATAATAATTAATACAGTGTGTGGTTCCTCAGTACCCGCTGTCATCTCCCTCCATCTCCATCCACAATCCCAGAGGCCTCTCCGACGACAAGATTCTCAGGTACCGGATCCATGACACTGTTTAAACCTGGTTCTGTGTTATAACAGTGGTGTATGTGTCAGTGTGCAGAGGTGCCTCCAGGACCAGGCTCAGGCCAGCGTGGGTTCTCCAGTCTTGTACCAGCTCATTGAGGTGACAATCGCTCTGTCCGCTCACCCGCTTTGAGAACCACACTCTGACTCTGACTTTGTTCTGACAGAAAGCAAAGGAAATCCTCACAGAGAGCAACATTCCTCATGGGAACTGTGTCATCTGCCTCTACGACTTTAAGGTAAGAGAGACCAGAGAGAGACCAGAGAGAGACCAGAGAGAGAGAGAGAGAGACCAGAGAGAGAGAGAGAGAGACCAGAGAGAGAGAGAGACCAGAGAGAGGGAGAGACCAGAGAGAGAGAGAGACCAGAGAGAGAGAGAGAGACCAGAGAGAGAGAGAGAGAGAGAGAGAGAGAGAGAGAGACCAGAGAGAGAGAGAGAGACCAGAGAGATCCTGTATTCGCCCACATTGGGGAAATGTCAGTGTTGCATCACAAGTTACAGAACAGTATTCGTTCATAGTGAGCTGTAATATTAAGTACATAGCTCACTGTGGCCTCTGCCTCGTGCAACACTGCCAAACGCCTGTGTATCACTGATTCAGAAGAGAAAGTGTGTGATGGTGTCTGTGTGTGTGTGTGACCAGGAGGGGGAGACTCTGACCAAAACACTCTGTTATCACTACTTCCACTCTCACTGTTTGGGACGTTATATTCGGCATTCAGAGCAGGAGCTGCAGCAACGACAGAAGGAGATGGAAGAGGACAAGACCAGAGACGCACACACTCAGGTAACACACTAAAGGCCTCTGTATAGTCGAGCGTCACTGTGTGTTGGCGTTTGTTATGCAGGTTGTTTACTCTCATATTCAATATAAAGTTACGCTGCTACTTTCTTCTCTTCAGAACAAAAACAATGCACCAAACTGAGCTCATTGAATGTGTGTTCTAGACGTAAGTTTGTGCGACAGTTCTATAGACGCATTGTTTCATCATTTCAACTGTGATGCTGTGAGTACAGACACGGCTCTTGTTAGAAACATATAGGTATTATTAAAGTGTATTTGTGCTCAAACAGCAAAACAATAAGTGATAGATATGTGAAGTATTTACAAGAGGAGGAATGCAACAGACGCGATGAGCTGCGAGTGCAGATTCAAATAGACAGAGGACCAGTGCAAAAGAAACTACTGTACATTATAGAAATGTTTGGTGCAATATGCAACAAAACTCTAGTCCAGAGCCGCCTCGTGTATCAGGCTCAAGAGCCATGAGCCTCGTGTATCAGGCTGTCTCGGTCACACCTGTTTTTCACAGGAGTTGAGTGTGGTCTGTCCCGTCTGCCGAGAGCCACTGGACTATGACGTGTCCCACCTGCTGAGCTGCCCTGCTCCACTGCTGCCAGAGGTACACACACACACACACACACACCAGATCTTTCCTTATCTAGATTGTGAAGTTTGGACTGAACTGAGCAGTGGATTAGAACCCCCCTAAACCAGGAATCACCAGGAGCTCGTCCCTATCAGCAGAGGGAGTTCTGGGTTCCTGGTCCCTCCTCAGCAGAGGGAGTTCTGGGTTCCTGGTCCCTCCTCAGCAGAGGGAGTTCTGGGTTCCTGGTCCCTCCTCAGCAGAGGGAGTTCTGGGTTCCTGGTCCCTCCTCAGCAGAGGGAGTTCTGGGTTCCTGGTCCCTCCTCAGCAGAGGGAGTTCTGGGTTCCTGGTCCCTCCTCAGCAGAGAGAGTTCTGGGTTCCTGGTCCCTCCTCAGCAGAGAGAGTTCTGGGTTCCTGGTCCCTCCTCAGCAGAGGGAGTTCTGGGTTCCTGGTCCCTCCTCAGCAGAGAGAGTTCTGGGTTCCTGGTCCCTCCTCAGCAGAGGGAGTTCTGGGTTCCTGGTCCCTCCTCAGCAGAGGGAGTTCTGGGTTCCTGGTCCCTCCTCAGCAGAGAAAGTTCTGGGTTCCTGGTCCCTCCTCAGCAGAGAGAGTTCTGGGTTCCTGGTCCCTCCTCAGCAGAGAGAGTTCTGGGTTCCTGGTCCCTCCTCAGCAGAGGGAGTTCTGGGTTCCTGGTCCCTCCTCAGCAGAGAGAGTTCTGGGTTCCTGGTCCCTCCTCAGCAGAGGGAGTTCTGGGTTCCTGGTCCCTCCTCAGCAGAGGGAGTTCTGGGTTCCTGGTCCCTCCTCAGCAGAGGGAGTTCTGGGTTCCTGGTCTCACAGATGTTTTGCAGGTGAACGAGGCGCTGATGACCTCAGAGTTTCAGCTGAAGTGGAACGAGCTGCAGAGGATTCTGGACAAACAGAGAAACAAGGGAGGAATTATTGACCCAGAGGAGGAGTCCAACCGCTTCCTGATCCACATACAGGTCTCTCTCTCTGCTCTCTCTCTGCTCTTTTTGCTCTCTCTCTGCTCTCTCTCTGTTCTAAAGTGAAAGTTATGCACCTCTGTTTTAAGAATATAACATTGTGCTTCTCTGCAGACCCCCGCTGCCACAGACGCCTCCCACTTGGATTCACCTCCAGACGTTCCCCCTCCTCTTAGCACAGAGCCCAGCCCTGCCTGTCCTCCCAGCATGCATCAGTGCAGCCCTGCCTGTCCTCCCAGCATGCATCAGTCCAACAGCCGAGGCTGGAGGCGTGGGAGGCCCATCACGGAGCAGCTGGACACTCTGTCTCTCAGTCGGCCTCCACACTCTCGGATCCTGAGGTGAGGATCCATCGATATAAGGCCACTATTCAAAGACATCCTCAGACTTTAAAACAATAGTTTTTCTTCTAAATGTCTCCAGTTGAATGAGTTCTTTTAGAACTGTGTAAACCATGTTAGGTTTATATTGCACTCTAACTTATCAGCGAGAAGGTTCTGGGTTCGAATCCCAGTTTGAACAGGACCTTTCTCAGTGGAGTTTGCATGTTCTCCCTGTGTCTGCGTAGGTTTCCTCTACCACTAAAAACATGTATAATAATTCTGGCTACCGGCTCCTTATTTGTGAGGAGTGAGACAAAGCCCACAATTGTAAAGCGCTTTGTAACTCAGGATGTAGTGCCCTACATTTACCACCAGGTGGAAGTGTCGCCTGTTCTAGTTGCTTCCACTAATCTTTTGAATGTAAGTTTTCCAATTGATTTACCTTTTTATAGAATAAAAGAATATAATTGAAAACTGTCAAACTGGGATTCTCATTTGTAGTTTTTTTTTTATTTTTTTCAAAAGAATCTGACAGATAAGATTTACATTACCCTTTGAATTACTGTGTTTATTTCGAAAGCTCCAAAGAAGACTCCAGGCCCCCTGAGGCCACGATGGAAGCCCCCAGAAGTGCCTCAGAGAGGGGGTACCGCGGCAGGAGGAGGGGCCCTCAGCGCCATAGCCAAACCAGGCACCATCACTGGGACAGCAGAGGGGCTCACTCCCAGTGCTACAGAGGCCCAAAGAACCAGCGCAGAGGCCCCCACAGACCCCCAGTGGAGCAGGACAGGACCCGGGAGGAGGTGCTATGACAAAGGTTTAAAGGCGTCTGCGTCCGTGCCTGTGTGAAAAGCAGACCGTGGAGCGTGGGCTGCAGTGAGTGGTGGGGGTCCTCCTTGCGCCACAGGAAAAGTACTCAAACAGGCAGCACAAACAGGTGCTGCTGGACGTTGTGCCACATGAAGTTGGTTCTAAACTCATTAAACTGTATTCAATTTCAACAAACGTCGGTGTATTATTTGAACAAATCGAGGAAGAAGCCGTTTCACAAAAGAGACACTGATTGGTCAGTCCTTATATGGCTCATTATGTGAATTTACAGAGATATCACAATAAAACACCAGGATCAGGGATAATCCACAGAATTAAGCCCAAAATGGTGAGTGTGACACACAAGTTACTGAGCTTGAGGAATTTACTTTGACATGGAAGTCAAAAAGAACCAGAGAGAGAAGCCAAACTTCGGTCATGGGCTCTTCCATGTTGAGCTGCTTTGAGCTAGCAGATTAGCATTGTCCTTCCGTACAATCTGTGGGAATACCAGAGTAAAGGCTCTATCCATGTTATGTAGAGATCATACTTATTTGAAACCATCCAAAAACAAAGAGGAATAAAAGCTTTTAATTTTAATTAGGGGCGTCATTATTAAACTGAAAATAACATTAATATAATTGCAGATCCTTCACCGAGACAGAGCCTTCTTCATGAGTCATCTTTCTCTGTCGCCTCAAACAAACCACAGCAAAGGGAACATAAATATAGGGTTAGGGTTGTATTTTTTTTTATTTTAAATAACTTCACTTTAAACTGTTCAGAAAAGGCCAAACATGGTGTGCACATGTGATTAGTTATCAGGGGACACATGTAATGGATGCACTTCTTTGAACAAGTGCTAAACTGGTGAATATCTTGAAATGCAGCTGAAACAGTAAAGACTAAATGCTAATACTGACTGTAGTGTTGGTATGATAACTAGCACTTCATTTTCTCTGTTGAAAAACTAATCTGAACCAGGACCAGTCTGAATAGTCCAAAACCAATTTAGAACCAGAAACTTGAAAAAGAGGCTTTTACTGACAAATAAGGAATTATAATTTTTTACATAAACATGAATCGAGCCGTCAAAATGACTGCTCTGGGAGTTAAAGGTTGAACTCCCATTTCAAAAAAGTATGTACCAATTATGAAAACCATTTCATAAATAAAAAACAGACTACATTTAGCTACAGATAAAAGTCAAACAAATACTTACATCTGTCCCTATGAGTAAAAACATGTAGCTGTATGTTAAAGCTACACATCCAACTGTTTAAATAAATATATTGTGATCATTAAACAAAACGTATGCACTAAATACATAAGGTTAGTGTAATTTGACAGATTCGGGCGGAAGTGACGTAAGCAGCCGTTAGAGAAACATCCTCCCCGGCGCCATCTTGGATCTGCCCCTCCGCGAAACTGCGCTGTTTTTAAACCCCGTCCCCGCGTATGAGCGCCTCAGATCGGCCTTCAGTCGCTGCTATGACCGGTGGCGCCGAGTTCGACAACGGCTACGGAGAAAACAAAGACGCGGACAACACGATGGAGACCGACATGGACTCCAGCAACATGGAACACGACCGGGCCGAGCTGGACGCGTCTGTCCCAGCCCAGAGCTCCAGCTGCGGGGAGGAGGAGGAGGCTGAGGCCGTGGAGAGGCTGCGAGAGCCCGGGGAGAGACTGCGCGAAAGTGGGATGCACGGAGCCGATGGAGGGGCGGTCCTGGGCGGCGGCAGAGAGCAGGAGGTGTCGGTGGAAATAGGAGAGACGTATCTGTGTCAGAGAACCGATAAATCGTGGCGTAAGTGAGGGGAGGATGCACACACGGAGCGGGCTACTCTCACCCGGACCTCATAGGCATCAGCGCCAAGTCTTCACAGTTCACTCTGTATCCAGTCCACCGTGACTAATATTAACATGTTTGTGTGTTGTTTCGCAAGAGGAAGATTATGCGCAGAATTCGTCTTTCCTCTGATTATTCCAACTGTTAGTGTTGAAGACTTTAGCACGAATAAACAATGCAACGACTCCCAGCCGCTGCCACAGCAAGGAGCCAAAACAATAACAGCATGGACTGCACTGACGCAGTTTCTCAAAATAACGTTCATTTACTCCATTATGTTAACATCAGGTGCACATATGTGTATAAATTATAATATAAATTAATATATAAATAAATGCTTTATTATTATCCATCCATTTTTATTCCCTTTCTGGGTCAGTGCAGTAGCAATCAGAGCTGTCACCCAGTTCACAGAGCCCCGGACCCTCTGCTCCTCCTGCAGGTGCTAGTCCTGATTCTCCTGCAGGAGGAGCAGAGAGGACAACCACCAGCAGGTGGTCCTTACTGATCATTATGAAGCTGGCTTTTAGCTATCTAAATGTACTTCTTTTGTAACCATAGGAACTATTTTAATGTAATTATCTTTAAAGAACTGTCAGGAATGAAGCAGACAGAGACGGATCGTGGTGCGCCAAAGTTTATTTAAGTTTCTCTCAAGTTCCAGTGGTTTCAATTGTTTCTTTCTCTCAGACAGAATAAAGTCAGTACACAGTTTATATAGTCATTGTCACGTCACACATCGAAAGACATACGTGTCACACAGAGACAGTCACATCATCAGAAGAGTCCTTGTATAGTCTTGCACTTGTCCTCCGTAGGTCAAATCACTATCTAATCCTAACAAAACCCATAGGCATTCTTAAGCCCCGTTTACACCAGCTCTACTTAGAACTCCTCTGCTCCCTGATTTCCTTCCACTGGTCCTGTGTAACCAGAACCAGGTCCTTCTTTAGTCCCTCTGGTCCTATGTAACCAGTTTCAGGTCCTTGTTTAGTTACTTTGGTCCCGTGTAATCAGCACTAGGTCCTTCTTCAGTCCTTCATGGTCCTGGTTCTATCCAGGCTGAGCTGGTACTAACTAACATATACTGACAGTGATTGTTCAGAGTACTGCAGGAAGCCATGGTTACCAAGGAATTTCCCCCGGATACTGGTTTGTAGCGGGTAGATTGCTAGAGTGCGGGACCAGATTGTAAAGAGTAATGGAAACTAATTTCAATTACAAGTGTTTTGTGTTGCAGTGTGTTTTGTGTTGTGTTGCAGACACGGCAGAGGTGATCCAGTCGCGGCTGAACGAGCAGGAGGGGAGAGAGGAGTTCTATGTGCACTATGTGGGATGTAAGTGTTTTACTGAAATGACTATTGTTACAGAAACTCAATTGTTTCTCTCTGGTCTCTCTCTGGTCTCTCTCTGGCCTCTCTCTGGCCTCTCTCTCTGCTGGTTTGAACCTCGTTGGTGTCTCTAGTTAACAGGCGTCTGGATGAGTGGGTGGGGAAGAACCGTCTGGCTCTGACCAAAACGGTGAAGGACGCGGTGAGGAAGAGCACGGAGCTGGGAGGCGTGGACCTGGGGGACCAACCAGAACGCAAGATCACCAGGAACCAGAAACGAAAACACGACGAGATCAACCATGTACAAAAGGTGAGAGGCTTGTGTGCCGCAGCCACAAGTTGCTTGTATTTGTTTTGGTTCAAGATCAACCGATATTTTGGGTTTAATCATGGATTTTTATATAAATGTTTTATTTAATTTTATTAGTACCATATTTTTTAAAGGTTATTACTGTGACCAAGTAAACAGTGGTTCTCCACTGTAACATGGTTCACCGGTCGCAGCTGATTGCTTTTTCTCTCTGGCCTCTCTCGCTGGTCTCTCTCTCTCTCTCTGGTCTCTCTTTCTCTCTCTGGTCTCTCTCTCTCTTTCTCTCTCTGGTCTCTCCCTCTTTCTCTCTCTGGTCTCTCTCTGTTGTATGTACGGCTTTGACAGTTGCAGCAGAAAATAAAAACACAAACTTGTCTTTGGTTTGTGTGAGGACTCAGTGTTGTTTGTGTGACTCCAGACGTACGCAGAGATGGACCCGACCACAGCCGCTCTGGAGAAGGAGCACGAAGCCGTAAGTCCTCTTCTTCCTCCTGCTCCTCCACCACCTCCGCCTCCCCCTCGCTGACCTCTGTCTGTGGCAGATCACCAAAGTCAAGTACGTGGACAAGATTCAGATCGGGAATTTTGAGATCGACGCCTGGTACTTCTCCCCGTTCCCAGAGGATTATGGGAAGCAGCCCAAACTGTGGATTTGCGAATACTGCCTGAAGTACATGAAGTTTGAGAAGAGCTTCAGACACCACCTGGTCAGTGTGGGTACTGCACCCTCTCACCTGCAGCACCACTTTCATACACCAGATGTACACTAGCACCAGACTCGAGCCACAACAAAACAGTTTAAGTAATAATATCAAATTTGTCACATCCAAGAGGATGACCAAAAAGAGGCTTTCCTTCTCATGTGTTAGTTACCCAACGCGACTTAGTCGCAGGAATAGCGGTAGCCTCCTCCCAAGGCTGCGAATGCGACCACCTCTCCTCAGTTATGATGGGTGTAAGGCTCATATGTTTGAGCCAGAGTCCATTTACTGGCTATGGTTATTATAATATTTAATTTAGTTATAAACTGGTTTAGCAGCGTTTAGGAAAACAAGGACATACATTTGTTTTATAATCTTTTTTTATTTTATTTTTTTCAGTCAAACTGTCAGTGGAGGCAGCCGCCAGGAAAAGAGATCTACAGGAGGAGCAACATCTCTGTGTTCGAGGCGGACGGACGAGACCACAAGGTACTGAGGCCGTAGGCCCGGGACTGAGGCCGTAGGCCCTGTATTCTGTCGAGTTGGTCTGCCCGTCGAGATGAGTAACTGTCTTGTTTCAGATCTACTGTCAGAACCTGTGTCTTTTGGCCAAACTTTTCCTCGACCACAAAACGCTGTATTTTGACGTGGAGCCGTTCATCTTCTACATCCTCACAGAAGTCAACAAACAAGGAGCGCACATCGTGGGATATTTCTCTAAAGTGAGAATTAAATCTGTCAATCAATAATGTTTATTATACAGTGGGGCAAAAAAGTGTTTAGTCCGACACTAATTGTGCAATTTCTTCATAATAGGTAAACCTCAACTATGAGAGACTGAATGAGGGGGAAAAAAATCCAGAAAATCTAATTTGTCTGATTTTTTTTAATAATTTTTTTGTGAAATCAGTAATGGATCAATAACAAAGTTAATTTAAATACTTTGTTATTTAGCCTTTGTTGGCAATGATGTTTTCTTTAAGTCTTCACAAGGTTATCACACACTTACTGGTATTTTGGCCCATTCCTCCATGCAGATCTCCTCTTGATAAGTGATGTATTGGGGCTGTCTCTGGGTAACGCAGACTTTCAACTCCCTCCAACCCCATTTTCTATGGGGTTGAGATCTGGAGACTGGCTTGGCCACTTTAGGATCTTGAAATGCTTCTCACAAAGCCACTCCTTTGTTGCCCATGTTTGGGATCATTGTGGTGCTGAAAGACCATCATGATGGTCATGAGTGGGGCCATGTATTTCACAATACATGGTCCCACTCATTCTTTTCTTTACACGGATCAGTCGTCCTGGTCCCTTTGCAGAAAAATAGCCCCAAAGCATGATGTTTCCACCGCCATGTTTCCACGAGTGGAGGACAGAGGAGCCTCTTAAAGAGTTTACAGGTCTGTGAGAGCCACAAATCTTGCTTGTTTGGAGGTGACCATACTTATTTTCCATCATAATCTTCAAATAAATTCTTTAAAAATAATTTCTGTATTTTTTCTCATTCTGTCTCTCATAGTTTTAAACATTGTGAAAATTACAGGCCTTTTTATGTGGGAAAACTTGCACAATTGGTGGCTGACTAAGTACTTTTTTGCCCCACTGTATCTGTCAAATCCAAACCTGTAAAAGGTCGACGTATCCAACTTATTTCACTATTGAACTCAGCGCTGAGAGAGGCTGGTCCTCTGATGTGATAGAGGCCAGGCAGGTCTCTCAATGCTCTCTCTCTGGTCTCTAAGTTATGTAGCCCAGCTTTAATCTACATGTTGTTGTTCCTCAGGAGAAAGAGTCTCCGGACGGGAATAACGTGGCGTGTATCCTCACACTGCCGCCATACCAGCGCCGCGGCTACGGGAAGTTCCTCATCGCCTTCAGTGAGTTCAGCTGTTGTCACATGGTGTAGTCCCCACATGGTTCCATTACAGGCCTGTGTGGGTCAGGAGCCCCTGGGGCTGAGTCTGAACCATAGGGTTATGTTTATCACGTGTTTGTGTGTGTACAATTTATTCTTGTACACACACAAGAATAAATATATGAACAGATCTATGCAGCGGATTCTTCTCATTCTTTAACATTATCAGAAAGTAAAGGACAGGTCCTGACTGTGTAACTACAGTACCATGTGTAGCATCTGTGATGGTCCTGTGTATGTAACTATTGTACCATGAGCAGCTGTGATGGTCCTGTGTATGTAACTACAGTACCATGAGCAGCTGTGATGGTCCTGTGTATGTAACTACAGTACCATGAGCAGCGGTGATGGTCCTCTGTATGTAACTACAGTGCCATGTGTACTATGAGCAGCTGTGATGGTCCTGTGCATGTAACTATAGTACCATGTGTAGCAGCTGTGGTGTCGCCCCCTGCAGGTTATGAGCTGTCGAAGCTGGAGAGCACAGTGGGGTCTCCTGAGAAGCCTCTGTCAGACCTGGGCAAACTCAGCTACAGAAGCTACTGGTCCTGGGTCCTGCTGGAGATCCTCCGGGACTTCAGAGGAACTCTGTCCATCAAAGACCTGAGGTGAGACTCATGTGACATCACTCCAAAGACATGGTTTTGCATTATAGTGTAGGGCAGCTGAGACGTGTCTCCTGGTGACCCTGGTGACCCTGGTAATAGTTCAGTGAAACTGTTTCCTTCAACAATCAACATGACGCAAAAACTGTCCCAAATGTCCATAGTTTAGCACATATCAACTATGGTCTCTGGTCCCTCTGTGTTTCCCTGTCTCTGATTGGCCGTTGTTTCCCCCTCTCTGATTGTGATTGGCTGGTGTGTTGTAGTCAGATGACCAGCATCACTCAGAGTGACATCATCAGTACGCTGCAGTCTCTGAACATGGTGAAGTACTGGAAAGGTCAACATGTGATCTGTGTGACGCCCAAACTGGTGGAGGAGCATCTGAAGAGCGCCCAGTACAAGAAGCCTCCTATCACGGGTAACTATGCTGGTGTAGACACCAGGTCTGCACACGCTGGTGTCTGCACACGCTGGTGTCTGCACACGCTGGTGTCTGCACACGCTGGTGTCTGCACACGCTGGTGTCCTGACCCTAACCCTGTTGTCTGTTTCAGTCGACACCCAGTGTCTGAAGTGGGCGCCTCCAAAAACCCGACAGCTGAAATTGACAAAGAAGTGATGTCAATGTGTTGTAAATGTACATAATGTCATCCGTCTGTATTTTTATAAATATACTTTTTATTTGGAAACTGACTCCTGTGTTTACCTTATATTAGTTTTCTTTACGCTGCGTTCAGCAATTTTCAGTAAATCTGTCGTTCAGCGTTTCTCTGAGATCTTCCAGACAAGCAGAACAAGATTAATCCAGGTTTAAATGTATTTAGAAACATCTCCATGAATATAGACAAGTATAACGACTCATCGTTTTTATACAGTACTTTTCTGGACGGCGGCCTCAGCTCAGACCATTCATTCACTCCAAACACAGCAGTGATAAATTGCTTCTGTAGCCACAGCTGCCCTGGCGCACACTAACAAAAGTGAGGCAATATGTGCCATCAGCGCTTCTCACCAACCGTACACACACCACTCATTCTGGCTCTTTATAGATGTCTCCCATCGCAGTATTAATCAGGAACCCAGGCACTGTCCTTTTTAGCTGTAGAGGTCTGACGGGATCTGGCTTTCACCTGCAGGTTTGGCCAGAATGTAGTTGAATATTTAAGAATATCTCAGTCTTCGTAGTACTGCCAGCAGAGGGCGCCACTAACGTGAGTTCAACAGGGGTTTATGTCTAATGTTCAGCTGTTGTGACGTCATTGATGGAGACGTCACCTGTTGTATGACGTCACAGCTCCAAAATGATTGAATATATTTAGTTATCGATGCCATAAGACATGAAGAAAAAATATCTCCAGTACATAATGTTTAGGTTAATCTAATGTATTAGTGTATTGCCCTTAACTTTAAAACAAATGTGACCCAAACATGAGTTTTGTTCATTGAAACTGCGGTCTCGTTTGCAGCGCCCCCTGGTGGCCGAGGACATGTCCCGTTCTAAGTTATAGTATGTATCTTTAGGTTTGAATGTGTGGTTGTGGTGGAAGTGGGTTAGCACAGCCTGGTCATTAGCGCTGTCCTTCAGCCTTCGATCAGTGGAGTATTGACGATTCCATCACCGCTGGCCTGTTCTGTGCAGCAGCGACTCTACGCCGAGTTCACGCCTAAACATCACACTCAAAGGGCCGACTCCGCTTTAATAACATGGATTTAAACACGTGGTAAAAACAAAGAGTTCAGGGCAAAGTGAGAATCAGACCACTTCTCGCCGTCTTCTCTTTCCATTAGGAAACGAGCCCTGTGAGTCTTTTTCTCTCTCTGGTCTGTGTTTATAAAAAGAAAGGTTAGGTACCCAAGCTTTATGGAACACAAATGGAATAGAAAAAGTTTATTTATTAGAAAGTTGCACTGAATCGAAGGCCTCAGTCTGAACACATGAACCACACACACACACACAGAGAGAGACACGCGCGCACACACGCATACAGAGACTCTCAAACAAATGTCATAAATAAAACGCTTCAATTCCTGCTGTCAGTGACATCACGGTGATGTCACACGTCGTAAACACAGACTCAGATCAAACCTCACTCTTTGAATTTCATCATTGACTCAGAGGTTAAACATTCTCAGAAAACTAATAAATACTTTTACCTAAACAGGCAGGCAGGCAGGCACACACACACACACACACAGGCACACACGCACACACACACTTTGTTTCCCCTTTTAATAAATAGTTCTTAGACACTTAGAGGATGTCTGGCCGTCTTCATTTGGGGTCAAGCCTCCGCTACACAGTCACTTTGAGGGCCCCAGACAGAGGGCCCCAAACAGAAAGGAGGCGGAGTCAGTTGTAGGAGGAGTCAGTACTCCCTGATGCATCTGCTCTGCTGTGGGGGTGGAGTCATGGGGCGGAGTCTGTTGGGCGGGGTTAGGGTCACCTGATGCGCCCGGTTTTGGACGGCGGCCTCAGCTCAGATTTGGGGTCAGGACTGGCAGAGCTCCAGGAGGTCAGGTGACAGGTCGCCATGACGCTGCAGGAGCTGGGGCCCTTGGAGCAAACGGAGGAGGCCCCCCACTGACTCTGCAGCAGAGAATCGATCCACTGACGCAGCGGTGCCCCCACCAGGCCGCTGTTAGACTCCGCCTCCTCCACAGATCGCAGGCTCACGGGCAAACGGAGCACCGGGTTCAGACCATGGAAACTCTGCTCCATGTACGAGTTCCTCAGTGGCCCCGAGTGGAGGCGCAGGGTGCCCTCTGGAGGAGAGACAGAATTGCAGTTAAAGCCACAGAGAGAAACACACAGAGACACACACACAAACTGGAGCAGTGGTTACTGCAGATCCTGGAATAAACTTTGAAATCACAGTCCAGAAATGGACCAGACTAGATCACACATACAGAGCCGTGTGTTTTTGTGTATGCGCGGGCCTGTGCATCTCTGTTTGTGCATGCGTGTGTGTGCGTCTGACAGAGGTGACCTGTCTGACTCTAAAAGCAGAAGTGTGAGAACAGCTGAAACCACAGCAGTGGGTTTAGATCAGGAGCCTCCAACCTGTGGCTCAGGATCAGGCTCAGGGCCTTTGGGTAGCTCCCAAAATATTCAAGAATGACACACAAACACATAAACACAAAGACACACGCACACAGACATATACACAGACACACACAAACCCACACACACCTCTCTGTATGGGCTGTTGCTGGTAGAACTCAGCTGGTGCCACGGTGAAGCTGGTCTGTCCCAGTGTGTTCCAGTGGAGCAGGACCCTGAGCCTCCAGCGCCCGGGCCGCAGGGGCGTGGCCAGAGGGGGGCGGTAGTGAGTCACCTCGGCGCTGGCCTCCACCAGGACGTCATAGGTGGCGGCGATCACGTTGGTGGGATCAATCCATACCACGGTCGCCGTCAGGTTGGACTGAGCACGACTCCACCGCTGCACCGCCACCGGCTGGTCCAACGGGCCCAGCATGCCCCCCCAGGTCCTAAAGAGACGCTCTTTAGGGTCCCAGTCTGTGCCCACCTGAGGGGGAGAAGGGGGGGGGGGCAGGTTAGAGACCAAAGTTTAGAGACCAGAGAGACCAGAGAGACAGGTTAGAGAATTAGGAAGAGGGTGAGTTAAAGAAGTTTCAGTAGCAGGATTACCTCCAGATGCTGCAGCCGGCTCACATTGGGAGCTGGCCTGGGAACAGTGTAGTGGTCTTTGGGGGACACCCAGGTCTCCAGGGTCTCGGTCTGGGCGGATCCTTGGTTCAGGACCTGGTGCTGGACCAGATAACCCTGGAACTGGTCCGACAGGAAGTACAAGAACACCGCCACCGGGTGGTTCACCGCCGCAAAGCTACAACAAAGTAACATTAACGAAACATTACACTGGATCTGGATCAGACACAATCTGACCCTGGTCTAGTTCTGGCCTAGTCCTGGTCTGGTCCTGGTCTAGTCCTGGTTTAGTCCCCCCAGTTCTTCTGTGGAAAAGCCCTTATCTCAAACCTGCTGCAACTATGACATCATAAAGAGGTGTTTTCTGCAGTTGTGGCACTAGATGGTGGCACTGGGTTACTTAACTTTCTAACTACAACAAACTTCAAGAGACCAGAGCCAGAGACCAGTGAGAGAGACCAGAGAAAGAGATCAGAGAAAGAGACCAGAGAAAGAGATCAGAGAAAGAGACCAGAGAAAGAGACCAGAGAAAGAGACCAGAGAAAGAGACCAGAGAGAGTCTGAGGGGGTCTGAGGGGGTCTGTGGGGGTCTGAAAGGGGCAGATGTGTGGGTACGCCGCAGGACAAGGACGAGCTTGTGGAGGTGGCCAGACCTGGAGGCGAGGGAGGAGAGGGAGGAGGGGGCTTAAAGGGAGCACTGTGCTTCAGAACTGAAAAGGCAAACATGCATTTACAAGTGATAATGCGAGGACTGAACCAGGACTGAACTACGACTAAAGCAGGTCTAAAGCACGACTAAATCAATCTAAAGCAGGTCTAAAGCAGGTCTGTCATTACCTAATTTGGACAAAATCACAAAAACTACAGTTTATCTTAAAGAAAACAGGGTGATCTCACAATGACATCACAGCTTCAGCAGCACAGGCCTCAGAGCATGAGGCTCACAACATGTTCAACCCTCTGCCTCCGGTCTCTCTGCCTCCGGTCTCTCTGCCTCCGGTCTCTCTGCCTCCGGTCTCTCTGCCTCCGGTCTCTCTGCCTCCGGTCCTCTCTGCCTCCGGTCTCTCTGCCTCCGGTCTCTCTGCCTCCGGTCTCTCTGCCTCCGGTCTCTCTGCCTCCGGTCTCTCTGCCTCCGGTCTCTCTGCCTCCGGTCTCTCTGCCTCCGGTCTCTCTGCCTCCGGTCTCTCTGCCTCCGGTCTCTCTGCCTCCGGTCTCTCTGCCTCCGGTCTCTCTGCCTCCGGTCTCTCTGCCTCCGGTCTCTCTGCCTCCGGTCTCTCTGCCTCTAGTCCGGTCTCTTTCTGGTCTCACCTGCAGCTGTGGTCCTGGGGTGGTCCCTGGAGTGCCTCTGATGCCCTTTTCAGGCCCATGCGTGTGAATGCGTGGTAGTGGGTGAGCATGGTGTCGCTCAGACTGGTCGGACCATCAGTGGCCTGGTCCCACACACTCTCCCAGTAAGAGCTGAGGCCGGGGGTCCCAGAGGGGAGGGGTCCGAACAGGTGCGCGTCCAGAGCAGACACCACCTCGTTACTCACACACGCCTCAAACTTGCGGGCGAAGAAGGCGGGACGTGACGGCTGCTGAGGAGACTGCAACACGCACACGCACACACACAGACACACACAGACACATACATCACCGTAGTGTTAGCTTTAATGCGGAAGAAGTTGATATGAACATAAGCTGGTCTCTCGCCCTCTATGGTCTCTCTCCCTCTTTGGTCTCCTTCTACTTTCTGGCAGGTTTTTTACTTCTTTACAAACAGCCTCCAGTTCCCGCAAATTCCCAGGCTGCCTTGTATGAACTGCACATGACAAGCCCCTGCTCTGTGCCGCAGGAAACCCCAGTGTAATGAGTGGGTTATTCTGGTCCTCCTCACGCCCACGGCACCAACCACAACCCCATCCAACTGTGGTTCTCCCCCTTAACACCCCCCCTCTCTCTGTAACTGTGTAGTTTTTGTGAATCAGCGCCGCAACCTCACATTATGATAATGAAAAGGCAGAGTGCTTTGACGCGGGGCTAAAAATACAGTCGTGCAGCTGCCTCCGGAGCAGCACTGCTAATTTGTGAATTCTGTTTTATTTTTGTGTTATTCCTGTTCAGCCACACACACCGCCCCCTGCGCCTCCCTCTGCAGCCAGGGTTCTCCTGGAGGGCCCTGTGCTCCAGACCAGGGAGCTCAGGGCATAGGAGCTGTAGCGATATAGAGATATAAAGTTAGAGGAGAGGGGGGAGAGGAGAGGAGGGAGGGGAGAGGAAAGGAGAGAGAGAGGAGAGGAGAGAGAAATGAGAGGAAGGAGACAGAGGAGAGGAGAAAGAGGGGACAGAGGAGAGAGAGGGGAGAGAGGAGAGAGAAATGAGAGGAAGGGGAGAGGAGAAAGAGGGGAGAGAGGATCTATAGGGTTCTAAAGTTCAACATAAGGAGGAGCTTGTGGGTTTAACCCATTAAGGCCTGACACAGCTGGTTAAACAGAACTGTAAAATCTTTGGCCGACTTCAAAACCACCTCCAAAACCTGAAGTTTTCCTGAAATTCAACGTCTGCTAAATGATTGATATCTCGGCCTCTGTAGCAGATAGAAACATAATTGCAAAAGAATGAGAGCTGACACTTGTGGCTTTCAATAGATTGCAGTAGGAGACAGGCAAGACCTGCACATGCAACAAGCTGGGGATGGTCCTGATCGCGCATCTACGGCCCACGGTACATGACCACGTACGACTGCGCTTTCGCTGAGCTGTGTCCAAGCGGCCACAGTTGCTCCCGGGGTCAGAACGGAGGATGTTAATCCCGTTCGAGTACGTAAACCAAACAACTGCCACACATTTCACAGCGAGATCCGCATTTCATCGGTCAAGAGAATTGATCAATGAAGAGAATAGGTTAATAAAAAGACAAAAATACGTGTCCGCTTTCCCGGCCTAAAGCTAGAAGTGCTGGAATGCGTTCCCGGCCTCAATGGGTTAACCCTCTATGCACATGGGTCATTTTGGGGAACTTTCCTCGCCTGGTTTTCTTTGTGTATAATTGTTCATAAAACAGTCATCTTTTGATGCAGAGTCAAGCAGTATACTTTGTTTTTTTCGGTACAACCTGGGGTTTTAGAATATTCATATTGTAAAGCTGTCATAAGAATTATATAAAAATTATGGAATCATGAAGACAAAGAAAAAAATCAAACGGAAAATCAATTTAACAAAAATGTATTGAAAAAACACAATGAAATGAACAACTTTTTACACTGCACAGAAATGTTATTTAGGGACTTGGGGATAATGGGGAAAAAAAATGAATCTCTAACTATTATACTTTTTACAAAATTCCACTATAAAAGCAAACAACTCTGTACTCCTGATGCCCTTCCTGAAGCAGTTTGTCTATAATGCTGGGGTTGCTTCTGTAGCACAGCTGTAAAAAACGTAAAACATAAGAAACTGAGAAAAAAAAAAAAAAAAACAATTATTTATATAATACATATATTTATATACATCATATACACATAATGTCATTTTACTGTATTTATTATCGTCTTTATCAATAATGCGCACTCTTCAGCCGGTTATTGCAATCGCAGCTGTAGTTTCAACTGTGGGAGAACAAGTAAACACAGAGGAGTGAGAGATCTCACTCTCTGACGATCTTTGGCAGTCCCCGTGTGTTTGTATCTCACAGCTGTTTGTACCTCACGGGTCACGCTTTGGACACGGACTTTCAGACAAGCGTAGTTTATCCTCCGTGCATCGCACAGACAAATCAAAACTAGTTTCGGAAAGCCCTGAATATGTACTTCACAGAGGGAAAAAAAGTAAGTTGCTACGTTTTACCGTTCGCGAGTAAATTGATCATTTGTAAAACATGTGCGCATGCATCGTCGCCGATGCAGACGGGTTCATAGGGTTAATACACAGACTTTGTTGATGTCAGGCACAGAAGAGTGTGAGTGTGAGTGTGTGTTACCTGTAGGCGTGGCAGGTCGGTGGGTGTGTAGTCGTTGGGGGAGCAGCCGCACCAGTCCACGATGTGTTTGTACTGACACTTACAGCCGAGCTTCCTGTTCCAGTTGGTCACACGCAGGTTGTTATCCACCATTGTTCCACAGAGGGCGCTGTTCTGCAGCACCGTGTGGAAGAACGACTGCAGAGAAACAGAGAGTGTGACATCACCACAGTGTGACATCACCACAGTGTGACATCACCACAGTGTTAGCCTTAATGCAAAAGAAGCCAATTTAAACATAAGCTAGAGCCAGTTTCCTTATATGGGCATTTGTTCTGACGTTAGCTTAGCAGGGACAGACTGTTGCTAACACGGTTGCTAAGGCAAGCTGGAGTTTACCCCTGAATAAAGGCCTCTGATTGGTCAGCCCTTAAATGGTCATATCTGGATTTACAAAGACAATATCACATATAAACTGCAGGATCACAGAGAAACCACAGATTTAAGCCCAAAATAGTGATGTCACACAACAGTTACTGAGAGGAGTTTACTTTTTATATGTCAGTCAATAGGAGCCAGTGAGAGATAGTAGTCCCTTATTGGGCTGCATTGAGCTAGTGGGTGACCATTGTCCATCTGAATACAGTCTATGGTCTAAACCAGGGGTGCTCAATACGTCGATCGCGATCTACCAGTCGATCGCAAAGGTAGTATTGGTAGATCGCATTAAATAAATAAAAAATTACACATTCTAAACTAATATATACAAAAAACTCCGGGCAAAGTGGAGATTTTTGAAAACTCCGTTAATGCATTTGTGTGTAGACAGAGATAACCAGAGTTTTGCGTTCTCGCACGCCACAGTACCCCCCTAAATTCCTCTGATCACTGAAGCATGGATCATACTACCTTAAAAACTGTTCGCTGTGAGATGCTCGCAGCAGCGAACATCCTCCACATCAGAGAGCAGCAAAGTGATCGCGGGGACTCACGCTCGAAAACAACCAAACCAGGACTAAACCAGGACTAAACCAGGACTAAACCAGGGCTGAGGACAGGGTCAGTGCTTGTAAACATACGTCTTTACTCTGAGTGTCTTCTATGACTGTAAAAGTGCCGTTACCGGCGTCTGCATCAAAGCTCCGCCCACTTCTGTGTTTTTCCCCAACGCAGGACAGGACGTAAGAGACGCACATGTTTGGAATGTTACGAATGTGACTGATAACGCAGATGTGTGGATGCAAATTATTTTATAAACTGAGGAGGGGAAATATTTGGATTTAAAAAAAACAGGCATGGCACATGGACATGGCACCACAGTCAAATGACATCTGTGTTTTACTCAGTAATGTTTTACTGACACTTTGGTGACTGCACATGCGCAAACAACCGCGCTCAGCGCAGCAAAGCTAAACCACGACAAACTTGTCAGCGAGTTACCACCAATTTTCCGGACTATGCCTCCCTGGCCGATTCAATTCAGTGCAAGTCATCAGAGTAAACTCTGGTAATGACAAAAAATGTACATAGGTAATTGTTTTGTGCTATATTGGCTCATGCGGTTTTGCATGTACATAAACATACATTGTAGATAAAGAATATTTTTTGAAATAAATATATGATTTGCATTTTTGTAGTAGGTAGATCATTTTGACTTGATCCTTTTATAAGTAGCTCGCATGCTGAAAAAGTGTGAGCACCCCTGGTCTAAACACATTATTCTGGAAGAAGACTTTATTTCAGTTCAGTTCCTTTCAGCACAATTTAGAAAAAAACATTTGAAATACAGCGTCCAGCTGATCGGAGAAGAACCTTTATCATCACAGAGAGGGATTCTGAGAATACTACTAGTGTGGCCATGTTGGCAAAGAGGACAGAAGAGAGGAGAGGAGAGGAGGAGAGAGAGAAGAGAGGAGGGGAGAGGAGAGGAGAGAGGAGAGGAGAGAGGAGAGAGAGGAGGAGAGAGAGAGAGGAGAGAGAGGAGAGAGAGAGAGGAGAGGAGAGAGAGGAGAGAGAGAGAGGAGAGAGGAGAGGAGAGAGAGGAGAGGAGGGGGAGAGGAGAGGAGAGAGAGAGAGGAGAGAGAGGAGAGAGAGAGAGAGGAGAGAGGAGAGGAGAGAGGAGAGAGGAGAGAGAGAGAGAGAGAGAGGAGAGAGAGGAGAGGAGAGAGAGGAGAGGAGGGGAGAGGAGAGGAGAGAGGAGAGGAGGAGAGAGAGGAGAGAGAGAGAGAGAGAGAGGAGAGGAGGAGGAGAGAGAGAGAGAGAGAGAGAGAGAGGAGGAGAGGAGAGGAGAGAGAGAGAGGAGAGAGGAGAGAGAGAGAGGAGAGGAGAGGAGGAGAGAGAGAGGAGAGAGAGAGAGGAGAGAGGAGAGGAGAGAGAGGAGAGGAGAGGAGAGGAGGGGAGAGGAGAGGAGAGGAGAGGAGAGGAGAGAGGAGAGGAGAGAGAGAGAGGGGGGGAGAGGAGAGGAGAGGAGAGGAGAGAGGAGAGGAGAGGAGAGGAGAGAGAGGAGAGGAGGGGAGAGGAGAGGAGAGAGAGGAGGGGAGAGGAGAGGAGAGGAGAGGAGAGAGAGGAGAGGAGGGGAGAGGAGAGAGAGGAGAGGCGGGGAGAGGAGAGGAGAGGAGAGGAGAGAAATGAGAGAGGAAAGAGAAGGAGAGAGAGGGGAGTGAGAGAAGAGAGGAGGGGAGAGAGGAGAAAGAGGAAAGAGAAGGAGAGAGAGAGGAGAGAGAGGAGAGGAGAGCAGAGAGAGAAGAGGAGAGCAGAGAGAGAGGAAAGAGGGAAAAGAGGGAGGAGAGGAGAGAGAGGAGAGAGGCAAACTGCAAGGGGAAAAGGTATATTTGCTGAAGCTATTGTGAGAGGCTGCATAAACTGAAGGTGCTGCGTGTGTTGAAGCTGGAATAAGAATAACCATAGTTTAAGCAGCCACTCAATGATGTTTGTGTTGGAAAAATACATGAGTGGAATTTCTACAGAGAAGCTGCTGTTTTTTCTGACGATTAAAGCTCACTTTGTGCTGACACAGCTTCTGTAATGATGCGATTATCCACTCAGTTGTTTTGTTAATTATTTGAATCCTCTGGTATTTGCTTGAATCCTGGGTCTACAGCCTCAGTTGTGGGTCTACAGCCTCAGTCGTGGGTCTACAGCCTCAGTCCTAGGTCTCCAGGCTCAGTCCTGGGTCTCACCTCGGCCGGCAGTAGTGTGTAACCATAGAAACGCTTCATGCTGGTAACTAGGGCGTCCTCCGCATTCACCACATAGTCCACGAAGCGTCTGTTCAGCAAGAACCAATCAGAGCCTCCGTCCACAGCCACACCCTCAGGGATCCGCCGGTCCCCCAGCCGCCACATGTGGGTGTCACACTCGAGGAAGAGACGGTCCAGGCCCTGCTTACGGATGAAGCTGAGGGGGAGGAGGGAGGAGAGGGGGGGTGAGGGAGGCGGTGGTGAAGGCTGGGTCAAACCCATGGATCTATAATAAGAACTAGATTAATATAACTAGCTTATAGCTGTCCCACCAATGGGCACAGGGGGCACCTGCAGTACTGCAAATTCATGTTACCCAGAAAAATGTCCATAGAACTCAATGTAAACTAAAACAGACCTCAGCTGACAGAGAACCTGACAGAGAACCTACAGCTTTCATAAAGGAGGATTCTGTGGGATTTTAGTGTACCTTGCTGTCCTTGACTTTTTCTTGTTAAATCCATTTGTTTTCAATAAATTTACACTTTAGTGCCACAAACTCTGCTCGTTTTCCTCCCGTTCTGGCCCCAGCTCTAGTCAGCAGCTCTGATTGGTCAGAAAGCTGCCCCTCTGTGCACATGCAGGAGGCACAAATATTTGGCGCAAAGCATCATGGGAGCTCCACTGAGCATAACCTGGAGGACCAAGTGGGTCCAAATATGGGCAAGTTTTCCTAATCTGCCATGATGGGGCGCCACTGAGCACAAGCCATCGATTTTCATAGGCCACCATCTTGGATCACCGGAGCTTGGTCAAACCACAGACTGTATACAGATGAACAAAGCTAACTAGCTCAATTAAGCTAAATAGGGAAGTGCTCATGCTGACCCCACCCCCTCAGGCTGACCCCGCCCCCTCAGTGGTCTTACCGTGCAGTGTCTCGGCCGTGTGACTTGATGAAGTTCATGTTTCTGTATTTGGACAGAAATCCCACCAGCTGCTCATTTGTCCTGTAGAGAAAACAAGTCCGCATCAGAGACCAGAAAGAGACCAGAGAGAGACCAGAGAGACCAGAGAAGGAGACCAGAGAGAAAGACCAGAGCGGTAGATTAGAAAGAGAGACCAGAGAGGGAGACCAGAGAGGGAGACAAGAGAGGGAGAGACTAGAGAGACTAGAGAGAGAGTGTGTGGTGTGTGGTTGACACAGGTCTGTGAGGAGAGAAGAGTGTGATGTAAACATTTGTAAAAGATGAACAGTGTAGTTCTTTGTTGTTTTTGGAGGTGAACTGAAAAACAAAGTCTTTTGGGCAAAAAACAACAGGAACACAGCAGTGGAGCAGGTGAAGGCTCCAGGTCTGCGACGTTTGCGCGTTAGTCACACGGCTAATAGGCTAACAAGTTAACAAGCTAACGAGCCAACAGGAAGCAGAGGCAGACACCGCGATTACACTGATTACAGCCTGAACGCTCCCCCCTCATCCCTCCCCCCCCTCACCTCCCCCAGACACAGTGAAAAGCAGACAAAGAGAGGGAGAAGGAACGAGACAGAACGGTTCATTTGTCTTAAAGTTATTATTTTGTTAACGACAGAGAGAGCTGGAGCTTCATACACTGGTCAGAGGCAGTGCTCTCACCTGATTGGATAGTCTGCCGCGCTCAGGTTGATGAAGAAGTCCCAGTCCCAGTCGGCCATCTTGAGCAGGTCTTCCATACTGCGCAGGTACATGGTCAGCAGACTGGCCCCACCCCAAATGGTCGCCATACGCCATGGGGTCACTCTCACGTTAGGGTACTGCGCTGCTAACAGGAGCACCTGGGAGTGGAGAAATTCTGACCTCTGGAGGAGAGGAGGAGAGAGGAGGAGAGCAAATAGGAGAGAGGAGACAGGACACAGAAGAGGGGAGAGGAGATTTGTAAATTGTAAAAACATTTGACCTAAAAAATGAGGTGAAATCTCAGCGGTAGAAAACGGCTCTCGGTGCGATGTCACAGAGGAAACAGTTCCTGATATTAGCGAGGATGGAGCCGTACTTGCATGCAAAAGCCAGAAGCTGTGCAGGGCAGAGCCTGGTAAGTACTGTGATGGGAGACCTCTGGGAACACCAGGTGCCACAGTGGGGCGGCTGTAAAGTGCCAAACTTTGGCTGTGTCCTTAGAAAGGCACTTCACCCGCATTAGAATGAGTCTAGTGTGTGTGTTTATTTTTATTTGATCTATTTATTGTTTATTTGGTTGGGACAGAACATGTTAATGAACACATCACTCCGGATTGTAGCCATGGGCTAAATTCCATCCGTTGTCCCACATTCGCACTCACAAACACACTCATTCACCCTGAACTATTGCACATGTTTTTAGTGGTAGGGGAAATTTACGAGTACTCCGGTGGAGTACATGGGGAGAACATGCAAACTCCATTCAGAAAAGCCCTGTTGGGATCGGGATTCGAACCCAGAACCTTCTTGCTGAGAGGAGAGAGTGCTATCCACTCAGCCACCGTTACAGTAGTAGTTTATCACCACTGTGTTTGTACTGAAAGAATATGGACATGTGAAGTGTCTTTGAGTGTCCAAAAAAACGCTGTAAAAAACAATGTATTATTATTATTAAACACAACTGCATGTTGGTGACTGAGGAGGCCCACATGAGGCCCACCTGGTCCACGTGAGGCCCACCTGGTCCACGTGGATGTAGTAGAAGTGGGAGGTGTGGTAGATGGCCTTAAAGAGCCGGTAGAACTGTCTGGACGCTCGGCCATGAACTACCAGCACAAAGGCGATTCTGACCGGATCCGAGGTCGCCAGATCTGCTACCTCATCCCAGTGAACGGGCACACTCACTTTACCTGCACAGAGACAAGGGACCATGTGGGTCACATACAGAGACCATGTGGGTCACACACATACACACACACACACAAACGAAGGAGGATAATGAGGAGATAGAGACAGACAGCAGGGGCGTAATGACACAACTACTGCTGTGTACAAGGATGGACGAAAGCAGGTCTAAAGCAGGTCTAAAGCAGGTCTAACGCAGGTCTAACGCAGGTCTAACGCAGGTCTAACGCAGGTCTAACGCAGGTCTAAAGCAGGTCTAACGCAGGTCTAACGCAGGTCTAACGCAGGTCTAACGCAGGTCTAACGCAGGTCTAACGCAGGTCTAACGCAGGTCTAACGCAGGTCTAACGCAGGTCTAACGCAGGTCTAACGCAGGTCTAAAGCAGGTCTAAAGCAGGTCTATCGCAGGTCTAACGCAGGTCTAAAGCAGGTCTAACGCAGGTCTAACGCAGGTCTAAAAAAGGCCTAAGCCAGGTCTAAAGCAGGTCAAATTAAAATTCAGATTTGTAGAATCCTTCTCGGTTGAAGCCAAACCTCTGGAAGCAGCACGTCCATCATCTGCGTCTTTGTTCTATTTGAGGAAGTGGCTCTGAGACCCGCCCCACGGCATTCTGGGACTAATGATATGATTACAGGAACCACCCAGCTGGCGTCCAAGTCCTGGTCCAAGTTCTGCTTTAGACGTGCTTTAGACGTGCTTTAGACCTGCTTTAGACCTGCACAACAATAGAGCTTTGCTACTCTGGCTATAAAACAATTTGGTCTTAACAAATTAGTGATTGCTCTACATGGTATAATAAAGACAATGTAGAGACCAGAGAGAGACCAGAGAGAGACCAGAGAGAGACCAGAGAGAGACCAGAGAGAGACCAGAGAGACAAGAGGGAGACCAGAGAGAGACCCGAGGGAGACCATAGAGACAAGAGGGAGACCAGAGAGAGACCAGAGAGAGACCAGAGAGAGACCAGAGAGAGACCAGAGAGAGACCCGAGGGAGACCCGAGGGAGACCAGAGAGAGACCAGAGAGAGACCAGAGAGAGACCAGAGAGACAAGAGGGAGACCAGAGAGAGACCAGAGAATTTTGTAAGTATACATTAACACTGTGTTCGTTGCGCTGGATGATAGTGTGTCTTCAGACTTTGGTTGGTTCATAAATGAGCGTCTGTGGTGATATTCCCGGTGACTATTTTTAAGCCGTAATTCGAGGTTTGCCATTTTTTGCGTCGTAAACGTAAACTGGATCTTTCATGTGAACTCTTCTGACCGAGACAAATGAGAGAGCTCTAACAATCTACTTCTCCAAGAAAAACTATTTATAATGGAAGTCTCCCTCTTCTGTCCCATGCTACTGCAAGCTCCACACCACGTGCAAACAGTGACTGATTCATGTTAGTCCTTAAAGCTCAAGTACCTAACTTTTGTCTATCATATATAACACATGTAGAGTTACAGCTGAAAGAGTCTTGTAAAAGTTAAACGTTGTGGACACCGTCGTCATAATCTTATTTGAACATCTATTGTGTGTGTTCTCTTTCTCCAGTCTCTCCTCAGTCCTCTACCGTCTCTACAGTCTCTGTCCTGGGTCTACAGCCTCGGCCCTGGGTCTACAGCCTCGGCCCTGGGTCTACAGCCTCGGCTCTGTGTCCGCAGCCTCGGCCCTGGGTCTACAGTCTCAATTCTGGTCTTACCCTCCACAGGGCAGAAGCGTGGGACTCTCTCTGGCATCAGAGCTCTCTCCTTATGTTTGCAGTAGACCTCCACAATCTTCTGGCGACACTCTCGGCTGCGAGCGCGGGACAGAGCGGAGATGGCCTCTTTCCCACTGACCTCACACTGCTGCTCCCTCCTGGTCACGGCAGGTTCACCCTTCCCCCCCTGCTCCACCACCGCAACCACAGAGGCATTCACCGCTGCTGGGTGAGTCTTCTTAAGGACGGGTCGCACCACTTTGGCCTGGACCTCATGAACCTTGAGGACCTCCTGAACCTTGAGGACCTCCTGAACCTTGAGGACCTCCTGAGCTTTGAGCTCCTCCTGAGCCTTGAGGACCTGGTTGACGGTCTTGCCCTTCTTGCTCTGCACCTGGCCAGGTCTGGGTCTGGAGCGCGGTCCCTGGTCGCTGGTGCCGTCGCTCTCAAAGTCTTTGGGAACAGAGTTTTCGTTGTTGTTGCTCTCAGAGGGAACTTTCTCTTTGGGTCGATGGGAGTGATACGAGTCCTGAGGAGAAGACAGAGAGGAAGCAATTACAGGAGATCTACAGCCTCAGTCCTGGGTCTACTGCCTCAGTCCTGGGTCTACTGTCTCAGTCCTGGGTCTACTGCCTCAGTCCTGGGTCTACAGCCTCAGTATTTGACTAACATTTACAGTCTTAATAAATAAAATAAAAAAAAGATCTCTGTGGATTACCACGCCTCCGGTGTAGGCACCGTGAGGCTTTCCCGGAGTTTGTTGACAAAGTCTAAAGTATGAGCATATTTTGGATTTTTAAAGAATGCATCTGATTGAAGACCGTTATTCTGTCTACAGAACATGTAGGAAAAAAGTTTTTGAAAAAAATACATAATTCAAACCTCATGGCTTTAGTCACTCACAACTCTAAAGCCAATGCTAGTTAAGATCATGTTTTGCAAATTAAAACAATGGATCTAGTTATTAGCAGCTAATATGCTATGCTAACCAGGTACACAGTAATAGATAAGATGGTGAAATGACGACACACATTATTGAGCGCTAGCTGAAGGCACAACATCATGTACTTTGTTTGTTTTAACCATTATAGTGACATTCACAATCTGTTAATAATTATGTTATTATTATTATATAATGTTGTTCACTGTGTTGAAACTATTTGTTTTTTACTTAAATCGGTCGCATTAGACTCGTGTGCAGACATTCATGCATGTCTACAGGGTCAAGACATGCACGAAGAAAATAAAAATAAAATCATCAAATAACAATAGCTATTAATGACTAAACTCTAGGAGGTGAACCGCCGCGCACAGGCAGCGGTCGAGCCCAGCGTTTACATCTGTGGTCCACCACATGGAGCTCAGGCCTTGACATTAAACTTTGTCAGTCACTTGTCCTTCGAGCAAATACAATTCATGTTTACTTGCATAAATATTTGTCAAAACAATGAGTTAAGAGTTTAAGTAAGTAATGTTTATTTATATACCGCCTTTCACAGACCAGAGTCACAAAGCGGTTTACAATTGTTCTTTTTGGGCATTAGTCTCTCACTCCACACAGAGACGGGAGCGGGGCCAGTACAGGAGGCACATGCCAGAACTATTGAACATGTGTTTAGTGGTAGGGGAAACCGGAGTACCCGGAGCAAACCTAAGCAGACACGGGGAGAACATACAAACTCCACTCAGGTTGGTATTAAAGTGGCACTAACTGACTGGGGAAAAATAATTATTTAAAAAATCCACTCTCAGCCCAAAAAGTCAAATAATGACTCACAGCGCTGTGAAGTATGCAAAATAAAAGATAAACAAGATGGCCTGTTGTGGTGTGTTCCGTTTGATTTGTTCACATTTTACTTTTGAACACAACCAACATGCATTGTTAATGCACGGGTACATTTAGGTACCAGAGCTTTAATTTCCTGGTTGAGTTTCAGGAGGAGACATGAGGGAGACCCGCACTTGCAACAAACTGTGGATGGTCCTGAGTGCACATCTGTGGACAGTGGCTCAGTTGGTAGAGCACTGACCTTAGAGCCTGAACGACATGGGTTCGAGCCCACCTCAAGACTTTCTCCACCGACTCCCACTGAGGTCTGCTGTTGTTGTATCCTTGGGCAAGACACTTGACTCCTATTGCCTAGAATGAGTCCTGTGTGTGTGGGTGGACAAAAGTTACTGTTGAGCCCTGGAGCTATATTATTTTTCTGCTTTTGTCAGAAACTAAAAGTGTTAGGATCATGTCAACTTGGAGAAAATGTGTTGTTGGTGTAAATATGTGACGCACTATTTAGCCCAAAGAAGAATGTGGCTCAACGTTCTTTACGGGGATCTGCCTCGGCACGAATCACAAACACTGCAACTCCTATTGATTTAAATGTCCAAGTAAAGAGAGAGAGACCAGAGACCGATCAGAGAGAGAGCGACACAGTGCATGTTCTCCCCGTGTCTGCATAGGTTTCCTCCAGGTGCTCCAGTTTCCACAACCACTAAACACCATTTACAATAGGTCTGGAATGCTCCTGTATGCCGACCTTGCTCCAATCTCTGTGAGGAGTGAGAGACAAATGCCCACAATAGTGAAGCGCTTTGTGACTTTGGTGTGTGAACAGCACTTTATAAATAAATATTACTTACTTACTTACTCACTAGAGACCAGAGAGATCAGAGAGAGACCAGAAAGAAACAAAGTTAAACTATAGGCTCTTAGAAACGTTGTGATGTCACATTATTGCGTAACATGGCCCTTTCTCCTGTTCAACCTGGATGTTTCCCAGAAGGCCGTGCTCTCCAAGGAGACGGAGAAAGACCCCTGGGAAGGTAGAGACCAGACAGAGATCAGAGAGAGAGACCAATCACAGATTAGATTACTCGATCAATAGACTTAATGGGATTAAAGGAGAGAGATATGGTTTACTGGTGCCATATAAGTGTGCTTCCTGGTGTGGGCTCAGCTCAGGTGGGTTTGGGGCAGCGTCTGTACGATTCAAGCATGTTTGTGGTTCAAGAAACGCCCTGTTTCCACTCTGATGAATGAGACGACTGTGTGTAGCAGTGAGACCAGAGAGAGGAGAGTGAGAGAGACCAAATGGGGGGGGGGGTCTAGCTTCTGTGGCTGTGGCCTGTGCTGCTCTTTCATCTATCCCCACCTCACAAACCTGGCTCGTAAATTGCTCTGGCATGTGCCTGCGTTCATTTACAGAGCCACAACAAAGCCACAAACACACACATCGGTCCCTTTCTCTCTCTCTGGTCTCTCTCCCTCTCTGGTCTCTCCCTCTCTGGTCTCTCCCTCTCTGGTCTCTCCCTCTCTGGTCTCTCCCTCTCTGGTCTCTCCCTCTCTGGTCTCTCCCTCTCTGGTCTCTCTGGTCCAGATGTTCCTGATAGTGTGAGGGAACGATGCTGTACTATGGGTAATACCATGTGTGTCTGTGATAGTAACCTGTGATTATGGGCAGGTGTATGTGCTTCGCAGCAGAGATCAGAGCGTCCTGTCGCTTTGTTGACAGATGACGAGCGCGGTCTTTCAAGTCAAAGAGAAGAGGAGGTACCAACACTACTGTCAGACTCAGACAGCGATAGAGCACCTGAGAGAGTCTAGTGATCAGAGAGACCATAGAGAGAGAGTCTAATGATCAGAGACCATAGAGAGAGAGCCTAATGATCAGAGACCATAGAGAGAGAGTCTAATGATCAGAGACCATAGAGAGAGTCTAATGATCAGAGAGACCATAGAGAGAGAGCCTAATGATCAGAGACCATAGAGAGAGTCTAATGATCAGAGAGACTGTCAGGGATGAATCAGACAGAGACGGATCGTGGTGTGCCAAACTCTGGAAGCCCATAGAGAGAGAGCCTAATGATCAGAGAGACCATAGAGAGAGAGAGTCTAATGATCAGAGAGAGACCATAGAGAGAGAGAGTCTAATGATCAGAGAGACCATAGAGAAAGAGAGAGTCTAATGATCAGAGACCATAGAGAGAGTCTAATGATCAGAGACCATAGAGAGAGTCTAATGATCAGAGAGACCATAGAGAGAGAGCCTAATGATCAGAGAGAGACCATAGAGAGAGAGTCTAATGATCAGAGAGAGACCATAGAGAGAGAGAGCCTAATGATCAGAGAGACCATAGAGAAAGAGAGAGTCTAATGATCAGAGACCATAGAGAGCCTAATGATCAGAGAGAGACCATAGAGAGAGAGCCTAATGATCAGAGAGAGACCATAGAGAGAGAGAGTCTAATGATCAGAGAGACCATAGAGAGAGAGTCTAATGATCAGAGAGACCATAGAGAGAGAGAGCCTAATGATCAGAGACCATAGAGAGAGAGAGTCTAATGATCAGAGAGAGACCATAGAGAGAGAGAGAGAGTCTAATGATCAGAGAGAGACCATAGAGAGAGAGAGTCTAATGATCAGAGAGAGACCATAGAGAGAGAGAGAGAGTCTAATGATCAGAGAGAGACCATAGAGAGAGAGAGAGAGTCTAATGATCAGAGAGAGACCATAGAGAGAGAGTCTAATGATCAGAGAGAGACCATAGAGAGAGAGAGAGTCTAATGATCAGAGAGAGACCATAGAGAGAGAGTCTAATGATCAGAGAGAGACCATAGAGAGAGAGAGCCTAATGATCAGAGAGACCATAGAGAAAGAGAGTCTAATGATCAGAGACCATAGAGAGAGAGCCTAATGATCAGAGAGAGACCATAGAGAGAGAGCCTAATGATCAGAGAGAGACCATAGAGAGAGAGAGTCTAATGATCAGAGAGACCATAGAGAGAGAGTCTAATGATCAGAGAGACCATAGAGAGAGACAGTCTAATGATCAGAGACCATAGAGAGAGAGAGCCTAATGATCAGAGACCATAGAGAGAGAGAGTCTAATGATCAGAGAGAGACCATAGAGAGAGAGAGAGAGTCTAATGATCAGAGAGAGACCATAGAGAGAGAGAGAGTCTAATGATCAGAGAGAGACCATAGAGAGAGAGAGAGTCTAATGATCAGAGAGAGACCATAGAGAGAGAGAGAGTCTAATGATCAGAGAGAGACCATAGAGAGAGAGTCTAATGATCAGAGAGAGACCATAGAGAGAGAGTCTAATGATCAGAGAGAGACCATAGAGAGAGAGAGAGTCTAATGATCAGAGAGAGACCATAGAGAGAGAGTCTAATGATCAGAGAGAGACCATAGAGAGAGAGTCTAATGATCAGAGAGAGACCATAGAGAGAGAGCCTAATGATCAGAGAGAGACCATAGAGAGAGAGAGAGCCTAATGATCAGAGAGAGACCATAGAGAGAGAGAGAGCCTAATGATCAGAGAGAGTATCTGTATCCAGGTGTGAGGAGACCAAATCAAAGTCCACGCTTGGTCCCTAGTCTCGCGGACACACACATACCGCGTGCATGTGGCTCCTCGAGGCGGGCTTCACTTGAGGTGGTCGCGGCGTGCGCGTGTCTTTGCGCTGCAGCCTCCTTCTCAACAGCTCCTCTCCTCCTCTTGCTTCACCTCCTCCTCCTGCTCCTCGCGCCTCCCTCCTCTCGCGGCTGGAGCTCGGCTCCAGTCTCCACAGCGCGAGCGTCTGCACGAGTAGCAGCAGAGCGACCCCTGCGAGCAGCGCCACTGAGCGCGTGCGGCGACACGGCCTCCGCGTGCACGAGACAGAGGCCATGGTCCTGACAGCCCCGGGAGTCTGTGTCCGGTGTGTTCTGCTCCCCCGGCCTCACCGACAGACTGCGCGGTCCTCATACAATCTCCCGGTCTCTCTCACTGTCTTCTCGGTGGGATCAGCCTCAGCTCCAGCTGATGGGGGGGAGGAGCAGCCCCCCCGCGCGGCAGCCTCTGTCTCTGCATCTGTGGTCACGCACTGACCCCACGCGCACGAGCAGAGAACTGCACTGGGTCCAGAGTCTCCACACCAGATGTCAGTCACTCATGGTTAGTGTTAGTTTCCTCTGTTCAAGTATTAAAGACACTCTACTGACCGACTATACCAACTGGTTATAGGTCTCCATCCCCCAGGTCTCAGTGTGTATAGTCAGTTTTGGGTCTGTGGTGGTAGTTGTGAATGAGGTTCTTTATTCTCTCTCTCTGGTCTCTGGAGAAAGTATGGGAACAGCACTGTCCTCTCCTGTCCTCACCCGCTGTTCCATTGACATAGCATGATGATGAGACCCTGAACCCGGCCTCCTCCATTTGCATCTGAGGACTGTCCCGACCTGGACTTTAGGACTGCCAGTGCAGGACAATCTAAAAGAGCTAAGGACAGTGGAGAAGATCCAGGACATTGGTGATGACTCCTCCCATCTCCTCATGAGCCGTGAGTGAAGCCTCTGTCTGTGGAACCATGGCCCTCACAGCCAGCAGGAGGCGACAGCATCAGCAGCTTTCCCTGAGTGTGTGGAGCTAGTGAAGGCCGTCCATCGCTGCTTGCAGCTGCATTTCTCCTCATGACTTAAATAAACGTCTAGAAGCAGTTCTAACATTCATGACTTTTATTGTGAAAACTGTCTCTCGTCCGTCTCTGTACAATCAATAATTTAACAAAAGTTACAGTAGTGTCGTCCTCCGTCTTTGAAATGCTGAAAACACTAGAAAAAAACATCCAAAAACATTAAGTAACAAGTTAAACGTGGGACCTGGAAACCCTGGCAACAAGATAACCCTCACCAAGCAGAGCCACGAGGGAACTTATTACAAATACTGTTACTACTGTTTTGTACGACACACACTGGAGCTGCTGCTGCGTCACCAAGAGAGCGAGGGCTCCGGAGGATCGCTCCCTCTAACCCTCTGGCTCCCCCCGTTTTGTACATTTCTCTTCACTTCAGCCAGAGAAAACCTAAAGCGACTGATTAGGCCAAAAACAATAGACATGACTCTGGTTCAAACTCAGTAAATCACAGAATTCAAGTTGCTTCAATTCAATAGGAAATATTTGTTGCAGTTTCTCCAAATTCATTGTTTTCATAAGGAACCAGTTTAAATGTTTTTCAGAAATCAATATTGCTTTGATCAGAAAGATCAAATATATCAATATATTCATATTTCATTTGCTCAGATCTGAAAAAATACTGGAATAAAATCATTTTGACTTTTGGAAATGAACAATGCAAAATCTAAATAAGGTAAAAAAAACACAAATGAATCATTATCTTTTTTTTAAAAAAGGGTGGAAAATGTCTTTTTGCAAAATAAGACAGGAGAGAGACCAGAGAGAGAGGTGTTCAAAATGTGCAAATTCATATTTTCTTTAAAAATCTGTTTCCAAAACTTGTCCAAAAAAGTTAAAGTATTTGTCCATAATTCAGTGCATCACGAGACTCACACGACGTCCGTCTTCTAAAGGAGACGACATCGACTCAATTCCTGCTCCTGTTGCCAACGATCCCCCATCCCCTCCTCCCTCCCCCCTCCTCCCGTAAACGTGCAATTGTGTTTTCCCCAAAGAGAGAAAGATGCCAGGTTGGGTGCGTAGTGTGCAGTGGTAGCTTATTGGTCGTTTAAATAGCAAAAATACACAAGAAAATAGTGAATTAGAAGCAAAAAGACAAAGAGTAGAATGTGTGCGGCGTCCGATTTAAGTCTGTACAGATCGAAAGCTTCTCTGCGCGAGGCACCGTTTGGAGAGCTCCATGCTTTAGACCCACCAGAGTCTGCTCACGACAGGGCCAGGCAGGTCCGGACGGGTCCGGATGGGTCCAGAGCTGGTCCCAGGAGGCTGGTTCAAAACGATCTGGAGAGAAAAATATTGTGCATTTGTTTTCTGGCTTTTCAAAATGATAATGAGTCTCGCTCTGGTCTCTGTCTCTCTCGCTCTGGTCTCTGTCTCTCTCGCTCTGGTCTCTGTCTCTCTCGCTCTGGTCTCTGTCTCTCTCGCTCTGGTCTCTGTCTCTCTCGCTCTGGTCTCTGTCTCTCTCGCTCTGGTCTCTGTCTCTCTCGCTCTGGTCTCACCTGTGTAGTGTGCATTAGGAGATCTTGCAGTTGCTCCTGGTGCAGTTCTGGGGGGGGCTCTGAGGAGGCCTGATGGACTTTGACCTCTTGAGAGAGTTGCCCTTGGAGCTGGAGGTGGGGTTGTTGGCGAGGGAGTAGGAGCGGCCGTGCATCATAACGGCATTCATCCCGTTGGCCATCGAGAAGGACTTCAGGTGGGACTTTATCGCCACGGGCAACGGCAGCTTATCTATCAGGTGGACCGGGGTACAGGAGACGATGGCTCGACAGCACAGGTCCTGCAGGCTGAAGACTGAGCAGAGGGGGACAATCAGGTATCTTATCACAGCACGAGTCCTGGATCTTGAGCCCTGTTTAGACTGAGACGCTGCGGCAGTAAAACGCTATAGTTGGATGTCGGCTCCATGTGCGTTCCGTTCACATGGAGTCTGCGTTATGGGCCGTTGAGACCGGATCAATAGCTTTCAATGCAATGTCAATGGTGACATGTGTTCGAGCGTAGAACTGCATGTGTGTCTCGGGACGCACTCACCGACTCGGCGGCAGAGGTGCACGAGTCATTGTCAAACCAGGATTGACAATGGGGGACACAGACTTCTGAACATATGCCTCCAGCCTGAATTCTCATTCTCCAGTGACTGTAAACTAGTGCAGCTAGCGTGTTCGCCGATGCGGAAGTACCGTTTAATAATAAAAATAAACTCATGGCGCACCTGCGTGAACACATACTGCTGTGATATAAGGTCTCTGGACTCAGAGACGCTGCAGAGCTGCATTCTTGGAGATGAACTTTACACAAAAAGCCGCTAGCTTAACTCCGCTAGCATCAAAGCCCGTCCGCTACTTTCGGCGAGCACCACCGCAGGGCAGAACTTCTGGTCTTCTGGTCGTCTGAGAATGTCTGAAAGCGTCTGAAAGCGTCTTAGGGAGTGCACATGGAAGCTGCATTCCAGCGTTGGCAGTCTGAACGACCCATTACAGAGTGGGACAGCTCAGATGCGCTGCTCAGTGGGGCGCTCTTTCACACCCGCATGAAGAAAAAGGTGTGAATTTTCTGCCTGCTATGACCCCCACCTCCCTGCACGTACATTTGGACATGCGCAGTACAAACGTAAACAACAATGGCGGCGGGTACACTAACTAGCTACGTGTGCTTTGAGTGCTACACGGAGAAGTCTACTCCTTCATTCGTCCAAACGAAACCACGCAAAGCTCTAGTTTTAGTTTCCATTTTTGCAGCTGCTGTTAAATGCAGAATGATGTTGGTGCATTCTATCACGTCTTGCAGTCGTTGAGGAAGTGAATAAACTGCTGGGGGGCTGGGGCTTGCGTGTGTCGTGTTGGAAAGTTTCTCTACCCACTTAACAACACCGGACGATAGAACTACTTCGTTTTTCATCCTCGTATGAACGCTGTGAAATTTGCATAAGGAGCCTGGTTGTTTCTGTTGATAGTTTGGCAACTTCTGCGCAGCGCCTTTGACTAAACGGGGCCTTGGCCTCACTCCTTGCACCTCAGTCTCACACCCCGCTCTCAAACCTCTGTCTCAAACCTCGCTCTAGCACCTTGGCCTCGCGCCTCACACCTCGATCTCGTACCTCGGTTGGGTCTCCAGAACTTTTCCATGCCGTGTCTCATGAGAACGATCCTGGACAGTTCGGTGAAAGACTCGATGACGTTAAAGTTGCAGAGAGGAGAGACCTCGAAGAAGGTCATCCCGTTCTTCTCTGCGTAGGCGCGTGCCTGCTCTGTGGGGACTTGCCGCTTGAAGGCCAGGTGCAGCCGGTTCCCCACCAAGATCCGAGGAACACCAGGGGCATGCTGGGAGACCAGAGGACAGAACAGTGAGCAGAGGAACAGGGAAACACATCATCTACATATGCTGAGAGCATGGATCTATTATAATAACTGGATAGGGCAATAAATTACACATGTGTCCTTCAGCTCCAAGCTATGGGGGATTATTGCAGTACTGCAGACTAAACGAGACTAAATTCACGTGGGCTACCCAGAAATTTCACTCATAGAACTCCATCCATCCATCCATCTTCTTCCCCTTAATCCATTTCTGGGTCGGGGGGTGGCAGTCAGAGCTGCACCCAGTACACAGAGCACCAGCCCCTCACTGATCCTCCTGCAGGTGGTGAGTCCACAGGAGCTGAGATCTTTCAGTGGGGGCTTCCAATCATAGAACTCAATGTAAACTAAAACAGCTCGACCTCAGCTGACAGAGCATCAAGAGCTTTCACAAAGGTCGGATTGTGTGTCCCTTGTGATCCTGAACTTTTTTTCTTCTTTAATCCTTTGGTTTTCTTTAAATCCAAGCACAAATCATTTATTTTGAATACAGCGCCATCTTGGATCGCCGGGGCGTGTGTGTGTGTGTGAGTGTGTGAGTGTGTGAGAGAGTGTGTGAGTGTGTGAGTGTGTGAGTGTGTGAGTGAGTGAGTCTCTCTCTCTCTCTCCTAGTGTTATACGCACATATTGAGTGGAGGCTGTGCCTAAATTAATTTCTAATTTTGTGCGGGCAGTAACGCGTCTTAGTCAAAACACATGGAAACATGTTTATTCTAGTAGTCCTTGGCCTTAGATCAGCTCCACACACACACAAGGAGGAGCAGGTTTCAGAGATTCTGGACAATGTTTTTTTTTTTTTACTTTCATAAAGCCTTGCGTCAGCTCAGAGACCACGAGGACAAACACATACATGTGATTTTTGTTGTTCTACATCAGTCTTCTGGCCCGTACTGTCCTCTACACTTCTACATGGACTACACAGGGACCGCATCAGCAGCCGCGTACCTGCGTGCTCAGCCAGAGTATACACAGCCACTAACGCTGCGCATCAACGCTTACGTGCTGTGAACGCCTACTATGCAAATCCTGAGTTTTCACCTCGTCAATTTCCCGAATCCAGCGGTCAATTCCATCAAAGGACCAGCGGTTTGTGATGTCGTACACCAGCAGTATTCCCTGGACACAAGGAGACACAGGCTCTTAGACAGAGGATCCGAGACAAAGGGTCTGAGACAAAGGGTGAGACCGGAGGGTGAGACAGAGGGGTGAGACAGGAGATAGTTTTACCTGAGCTCCTCGAGAGTACGACCTGAAGATGGTGCAGAATCGTCCCTGTCCCGAAGTGTCCCTGCAAGACATGACACAAAGTCAAAGGCATGTTGTTTAGACCCTTGTTGAAGGTCTAAAAAAGCAGGACTAAACTAAAGCAGGACTAAAGCAGGACTAAAGCAGGACTAAAGCAGGACTAAAACAGGACTAAAACAGGACTAAAGCAGGACTAAAGCTGGTCAAGAGCCGTTTTTATTTTTTTATTCATAATTTAATTGGAAATTATAAAATGTAACAGATACAGTTTTCATCATCACAATACAGGAAATGTCAGTCCTATGTAACCATTTGACAACAAATTATGCCCATATAAAAGGTAAACCGAAACAGTAAAAGATAGTAAAATTAGAGTAAAGTAAAATAAAAACTGGAGTAGTGTACGTGCGGTAAAGGGAGACAATAAATGTTCTCACAACAGACAAAAGTCTCAGAAAGACTACTCTAGTTGGGGCAATGTAATTTATCCATTTGTTCCAAACGCAATAAAATTTATCATTTTTAATGTTTATAATATAGGATAGTTTTTCCATTTTATAAATCTCAAATACTATGTCAATCCAGCCGTCGAGTGAGGGCCGTGTGGGGGCCATCTCTTAGTAATATTAGTTTTACTTGCTGAAAGGAGGATTTGTAGCAACTTTCTGTCACTTCTTCTTTCCAGGAAGGCAACCATCCATCCATCCATTTTCTTCCCCTTAATCCATTTCTGGGTCAGAGGGTGGCAGTCAGAGCTGCACCCAGTACACCAGCCCCTCACTGATCCTCCTGCAGGTGGTGAGTCCACAGGAGCTGAGACTTTTCTGTGGGGGCTTCAGGCAAAGTGGGGTTTAAGTGTCTTGCCCAAGGACACAACGACCGCAGACATCAGTGGGAGTCATGAAGTAGGTCTTGTGGTGGGCTCGAACCCACGACCTTCAGGCCAATGCTCTACCAACTGAGCTACTTTAGGCAACTTTACCCAAATACCTCAAAGTTAAAAGGAATGACGACACTAAACTCAGGCTTATCTGGATTTCTCTCCAATACCCTTTTAGTTTCAAACAAGACCAAAATGTGTGGAAATGATTTCCCGCCACTGTGCCACACTGTCTCCAGCACGACAAGTCATTTGTGTGTAAGCACTGAACTGGCGTTTTGAAATATCTAATGATATTCTTCCAACAGTGCTCTCTCCAGGTAAGAGAGGCTCATTCATCCTCTGATATCACCGTTGCTGCCTACCCTTCCCATTTCTGCTTTATATAGTCTGACATCAGTCAATTGTAAATATGGCTTTGTAAATTCTCGAAATCATTCTATATGACATAGACCCATATGCTGACTTTAGTTTTTTTTTTTTTAACTCTTCTTCGCCCAGCTTTAGACTGCAGTACTGTGTGTGAGCAGGGGGCACTCACCACAGCTCCAGCTTCACTCTGCGGCCGTCCAACAGGATTGTGGTGGTTTTGTAGTCGATGCCTGAAGCAGAAACATGGCTTAAATCATAAACATGAAACAAAGCTGCTTCAGAGATACAGACACTGACTTTGTGAATCAGGTCTCCACTTGTTCCTTTTATTATTATCTATCCATCCCTCCATTTTCTTCCCCTTAATCCATTTCTGTAAGAGCTGCACCAAGTACACAGAGCACCAGCCCCTCACTGATCCTCCTGCAGGTGGTGAGTCCACAGGACTGCACCACCTTATTATTATATCATTAGATAAATAAAATTATCATAAATTAAAAAAGTATCTCTGGTCTCTCTCTCTGGTCTCTCACCGCTGCTGTATGCGTATGGAGACTCCGCAGAGCCGTCTTGCAGACTGTCCAAGATCTCCCCTTTGCCCACGTCGCTGTCCCCGACCAGCAGGAACTTCAGCAAGTAGTCGTAGCTCTTCACAGGGCTGCCCTGGCTCCCCATGACCAGTCACATCTGCAGAGGGGCGGCCTCACACTCCCAATGGCCCCAAACAGAGCCCAACCAAACCTACTGTTATGGCAAGATACTGACAACTCAAGGGGTCCTGAACACAACTCCACAATGTCAACTCACAAAAATTGCCAGAGGAATTGGTTTAAGAAATCTCTCTAAAATCAGTCTTGCAGCTTTAAAAATAGAACTGCCATCTCCAAAAATAATAGGGAGAGATGTCTTCAATTCTAGTCAGTCAGCACTGCTAGAAAACATGCCAAAAATGTCTTAAAATAGAACAAATGTGTCTGAGGGCTTTGGCAGCGTCACAAATGTAAACAAATGGTATTTTTTTATTTTTTTTATCTCAAATAAATTGCTAAAAAGTTGTCTTTGGTCCTATGTTACCCGTTTCGCAACTTCACAAGATAAATCAGAAATATATCTAGGGAATGATTAGCGTCACGTAAGGAATGGGTGAAGGTAGTGTCTTCTTGTTCCACAAATGAAACATATCCGCAGCGACAAATCTCACTGTTTAACCTTAAAATCCAGATTAACCTGGATTTGATCCGATTAAAATGACAGATATGAAATTGTGAATAGAGCAGATGGACTTGGATGACTACTGTTAAACATGACGTGTTGTTTAAGCCTTTAAGAGCTGTTGCCAACACGAGAAATATGCAGAAATATCAGTTTTAACACAGGCGCTTTGTAAATATGCAATGGTAGCGCGTTAGCATAGCCACGTTAGCATCGTAGCTTTGTAGCCATCTTTACCGAATGATTATGCTATTTACTTTATAAATATGTATACGCAAGACAAAGCAACGTAAAACATGTATACAATAAATAAAACACTTAAATTCCTGTGCTAATTTGGCAGTATGCGGTTGAATGCTAACAGCTAACGCAGTATCCAGGGCCGCCTCTTTATCCTCAATTCTCTGCAAATCCAAGCAGTTAAAATGCAAAGTTCAGGATGTTTAACAGGAAAGCCCTGTGTTGTAAAGTCCGGTTAGAGTCCAAGCGCGTATATCCGGGGATTTCGGATTGTTTTTGTCCCATTTTCGTCCATGTAAGTGCGGGTGAAGAGCGCAGATGTGACTGGGACAATCGCAGCTGACAGATGGAGGCTCCGGGGGCGGGGACACGGACTGTTTACAGGAGACTATCGATCATGACACTGGGTAACAACAAAATATTTTTTGAAAATAGTCCAGGGTTTTCCAGCTGAATTACACTAATTCTGATGCTCTGAGTCAGAAAATTACCTTGGTTTTGCTCAATCAGGTCAGGATTTTTTGCTACAGAAATATTTTTTTAAATCGAAAAAAACAAATTTCTGCGGCTCATCAGCTGAGAAACCCTTGACGTTTTTTTCCGTTTTCCTCAAGAAATAAAAGTCAACGTATCCAAAGTCATTCAGTTTTTATTCACTCCATCAAATTTGATAAGCAGAATTCATAATAACGTAGACGTACATAATCTGTAACACTATGGCTGTATCTCACAAAGTTGACCTGATAGAGCAAAATGCATGTGATATTCGGACTCAGAACACCAAAAATTTGTCTAAATCAGATAAGAAACCCCTGACCATTTTTTGGTTGTCAACTTGTGTAATCTATTAAAACTACTAAAAATATAATTCATATTTTAAGCATCTATCCATCCGTTTTCTTCTACTTTGGCGGCACGGTGGCTGAGTGGATAGCACTCTCGCCTCTCAGCAAGAAGGTCCTGGGTTCGAATCCTGGTTGGACCAGGGCCTTTCTGAGTGGAGTTTGCATGTTCTCCCCGTGTCTGCGTAGGTTTCCTCTGGGTGCTCCGGTTTCCCCTACCACTAAAAATACGTACAATAGGTCTGGCATGTGCCTCCTGTACTGGCACCCCCACTCCCAAAAATAACAATTGTAAACCGCTTTGAGACTCCGATGTGCAGTGAAAAGGCGGTATATAAATAAAGATTACTACTAAGCAGTCTGAGGAGAGCATGGATCTATTATAATATGAGCAGAGACTTCCTCCAGCTCATCTGGGGGAATCCTGAAGCGTTCCCTGCTGAGACACTGTCCCTCTGTGTCCTGGGTCTTACCCTGGTCTCCACCCGTTGGCACCCCAAACAGATGAGCCACCTCCACTGGTTTAATTTGAAGGAGCAGCACCTCTACTCCGAGCTCCTCCTGTGTGACTGAGTTCCTTTGGCTCAGCGGCTCTACTCCGAGCTCCTCCAGTGTGATCTACAGTGCATCCGGAGAGTATTCACAGCGCTTCACTTTTTCCACATTTTTTTATGTTACAGCCTACGGGGGGAATTGGAGCAGTGTAGAGGACAGTACAGAGGACTGATGTAGAGCAACACAGATCACATGCATGTGTTTGTCTTCATGGTCTCTGTGCGCTGGTTTGGCCAGACGCGAGACTTTATGAAAGAAAAAATACGATGTCCAGAATCATTGTAAAACCTGCTGCTCCTCCTGCTGATGTTTAGACACAAGTGCTGTGTGTGTGCAGATGTGATCTAAACCCAAGGACCGCTAGAAAAATTATGTTTTACATGAGATTTCAATGGGAGACGCGTTGGTGCGCGCACAAAATTAGAAATCCATCCTAAATTAGAGCGCAGCTTCGCGTCACATGTCCGTCATACGCGCGTATAACGCTAGAAGTGTAAATATCATCATAGGTTAACATGGAAAAAAGTTACGCGCGTCTGCTGCGCGTATAACGCGTACGTGCTGTAACGCGTGATGTGTAAATTAGCAGTTATTCCAAAATTGATTACATTTTTTTCCCCCTCACAATTCTACACACAACACCCCATAATGACAACATGAAAAAAGTTTTTGGGAGAATCTTGCAAATTTATTAAAAATAAAAAAATAAACTAAGAAACCACATGTACATAAGAATTCACAGCCTTTGCTTAATACTTTGTTGATGCACCTTTGGCAGAAATTACAACCTCAAGTCTTTTTGACTATGATGCCACAAGCTTGGCACACCTGTCTTGGACAGTTTTGCCCATTCCTCTTTGCAGGACCTCTCAAGCTCCATCAAGTTGGATGGGGAGTGTCGGTGCACAGCCATTTTCAGCTCTCTCCAGAGATGTTCAATTGGATTCAAGTCTAGGCTCTGGGCCACTCAAGGACATTCACAGAGTTGTCCTGAAGCCACTTCTTTGTTATCTTGGCTGTGTGCTTAGGGTCGTTGTCCTGCTGAAAGATGAACCGTCGCCCCAGTCTGAGGTCAAGAACAGGTTTTCATCCAGGATGTCTCTGTACATTGCTGCATTCATCTTTCCCTCTATCTTGACTAGTCTCTCAGTTCCTGCCGCTGAAAAACATTCCCACAGCATGATGCTACCACCACCACCATGCTTCACTGTAGGATGGTATTGGCTCGGTGATGAAAAGTGCCTTGTTTCCTCCAAACATGACGCCTGGCATTCACGCCAAAAAGTTCAATCTTTGTCTCATCAGAACAGAATTTTTTTTTTACTCATGGTCTGAGAGTCCTTCAGGTGCCTTTTGGCAAACTTCAAACTAAGGAGCGGCTTTCGTCTGGCCACTCTACCATACAGGCCTGATTTGTGGCTTGCTGCAGAGATGGTTGTCCTTCTGGAAGGTTCTCCTCTCTCCACAGAGGGAGGCAGGAGCTCTGAGAAAGTGACCATCGGGTTCTTAGTCACCTCTTTGACTAAGGCCCCTCTCCCCATCTCAAGGATGACCCATGGAAACAGGACGCGACACACATAGCTGCCACCTCCGCCATCGTGGGCTGTGTGTCTGAGGGGAACGATCTGGAACATCGGTCGGTTATCACAGACTTTGTCGACTGGTGTGAGCGCAATCACTTGTGCTTGAACACCAGTAAGACCATGTGGAGAAAACCAGTTCCCCTCAGGCCGCTGAACATCCAGGGGGAGGACATTGAGCTGGTGGACAGCTTCAAGTACCTGGGTGTTCACATTAACAATAAACTGGACTGGTCCCATAAAACCAACGCCCTGCACAAGAAGGGCCAAAGTCGCCTCTTCCTTCTGAGGAGGCTGAGGTCCTTCGGAGTGAGCAGGCCTCTGCTCAGGACTTTTTATGACTCTGCGGTAGCGGTAGCCTCTGCCATTCACTACGCTGCCTTGTGCTGGGCCCCGGGCAGCACAGACTGGAGGGAGGCCCCTGGACTCTGGAGGTGAGGGACAGGACCCTAGACTCTGTGGAGAAGGTGAGGGACAGGAGGTGCTAGTCAAAGTCACCTCCATCATGAACAACACCTCCCACTGCACAGCTGAGGAGCTCCTTCAGTGCAAGAAGTAGCGCAACCGCAGGGCCTTTATCCCCACCGCTGTCAGACTGTACAATAAGTCACTTGCACTAGGACTAAACCTGCACTACTATGACAGTTTCTTTAATTGCCACTTTTTTATTGTACATAATATATCCTGCATTTAACATGTTTTTACATTTCTTTATTTGCACAATCTTGAGTGATTCTATCCATGCCAGATGTGACATGTACTTCCTGTGTGAGATCAATAAAGTCTATCTCATCTTATCGTATACATACAGACCTGTGTCAGTAAAAGTCACTTTTAAAAACATCTTTATTGAAACACAAAACGACAAACAGTGGATTGAAAACAGATGAAACGACAGAATTGTGCAAAAGTCTGGAGTGTAGTGAGCGCACTCAGAGGAGGACGGGTCGGCTCTGTGGAGCGGCCATCCACACGTCTGTCACGTTCTCCACTGAAACAAGACAAACAGGACTTTACTAAAGCTGAGCTCTCTGACTTTTGTTTCATACAGAACATGTTTGTCTTAAGTGTTTACAACCTGCTGTTTGCATCAACAAGAGCTGAGAGCTGATTGGCTGAGTGAGGGGGGCCCCCTCCCTTCAGTCTTCAGTCTGAAAAAGCTGATCTCTAGTGCCTCACTGGTCTCACCCCCCTTGTTCCTTCCTCTCTCTCGAACTTTTCCCTGTGCTCCTAACAGACCTGTCTCAGTAGTATCCGGTTTCCATGGTTACATGGACTGCTCTTTCACATCACAGCATGAGCCTGTTTTATATCATTAAACTGGACTAGAGGAGAGAGAGCCCTGAGAGTCCTTTGGGGGAAGTGTTTCTCTGGTACGTCACCTTTCTCCTGTTTCTTTGGGGGAGGCTCAAAGTGCAGTTGCCCATTGACTCCAGCAGGTGGTGCTGCATCCTCAGGCTTCTGTCTGTGGGACATCTCCAACACGGCCTGCAAGTGAGACACCAGAGAAGATAGTTTTCAGCTGGGTCTCCCGCTCTCTCTCTGGGTCTCCCGCTCTCTCTGGGTCTCCCGCTCTCTCTGGGTCTCCCGCTCTCTCTGGGTCTCCCGCTCTCTCTGGGTCTCCCGCTCTCTCTGGGTCTCCCGCCGCTCTCTCTGGGTCTCCCGCTCTCTCTGGGTCTCCCGCTCTCTCTGGGTCTCCCGCTCTCTCTGGGTCTCCCGCTCTCTCTGGGTCTCCCGCTCTCTCTGGGTCTCCCGCTCTCTCTGGGTCTCCCGCTCTCTCTGGGTCTCCCGCTCTCTCTGGGTCTCCCGCTCTCTCTGGGTCTCCCGCTCTCTCTGGGTCTCCCGCTCTCTCTGGGTCTCCCGCTCTCTCTGGGTCTCCCGCTCTCTCTGGGTCTCCCGCTCTCTCTGGGTCTCCCGCTCTCTCTGGGTCTCCCGCTCTCTCTGGGTCTCCCGCTCTCTCTGGGTCTCCCGCCTCTCTCTCTGGGTCTCCCGCTCTCTCTGGGTCTCCCGCTCTCTCTGGGTCTCCCGCTCTCTCTGGGTCTCCCGCTCTCTCTGGGTCTCCCGCTCTCTCTGGGTCTCCCGCTCTCTCTGGTCTCACCTGCTGGTACTCTCGTCTCTGGTTCTCCAACTCTTTCCCGCGCTCTCTTAGTACTTCCTGTTCCTGGTTCAGAGCGACCGCCCTCTTCTGTAGCTCCGCCTCTTTGTCCTTAAGCTCCGCCTCAAAGCGCTGAAGCTCCTCCTCCGTGTACAGCTGCTGCGTGTCAAGCGTCTGAGACAGAACAGGTGTCAAGGGTTATGGGTCAGAGGTCACAGGTCAGGGGTCACTCACTTACCTCCCACTCCTTATTGCTGTTGAAGTCCTTCTTCTCTGTGGATTTGAGGAACTCCTCCAGACTCACCAGACGATCTTTGTTCACATCCACCTGGACCAGAGAGAGACCAGAGATGGACCAGAGAGAGACCAGAGAAAGACCAGAGAGAGAGACCAGAGAGAGAGACCAGAGAGAGAGACCAGAGAGAGAGACCAGAGAGAGAGACCAGAGAGAGACACCAGAGAGAGAGACCAGAGAGAGACCAGAGAGAGACCAGAGATAGACCAGAGATAGACCAGAGATAGACCAGAGATAGACCAGAGATAGACCAGAGATAGACCAGAGATAGACCAGAGATAGACCAGAGAGAGCAGAAAGAGACCAGAGAGACACCAAAAAGACAGACCAGAGAGAGTCTGCAGTCAGAATCTGGGATTGGTTGTGTGCCACATAAATAAAAGTGATTTTCTGACGTTGTCCATGACGTGCTCCCTCATGCGCAGCCGCTCCTCCTCCATCTCCGTCATGTCGTCTTCTTCGTTTTTAGGATTGTAGACTTTCTCCAGCTGCAACAAGTTGTTTACATTCAGCAAAGGACAGTTATATGTATTGCCCTTTAGGGTTTAGTGGTCTCTCGCTATAGACAAGACCTCAACCCTCACCCTGACCCTCACCCTGACCCTCACCCTGACCCTCACCCACCCTCACACCCACCCTCAAGGGCTCGACACACGGGAGGCGACATCGCATCGCCTCCATTCATTTTCAATGACATAGCGTCAATCGCTAGCGAGCCTCCTGCTCAGCGACGGGCGAAAAACGTGCGTGTGAAATCCTCCCGCTCGTGCATGTATCGTGCACGCGCGGGTCAGCGACGCGATCCCAGAAAGTTGAAATCGGCTCAACTTTGTGCCACTTGCCGCATCGCGCCCCGTCTGTCATGTTATCTGAGCGACAGTGTTGAGTTTCGCTGATCGCTCTCATTTGTCGCCTCCCGTGTGTCGAGCCCTTCACCCTGACCCTAACCCTAATGGGGTGTTCAGACCAAACGCGTTTTGGGCGTCAAAATCGCGTTTGGTCTGAACGCACCATAACCCTCACACCCAACCTCATCCTGACGCTGACCCTCACCCACACACTCCCCCCCTGGAGGTGGAGCCCTCTCTAAAGCACTGACCTCTTTGGTGAACAGAGCCTCCAGTTCCTGCTCGTCCAGAACTCCGTCTTCATTTGTGTCTGAAAAATACAAGGATTGAATCACAGGCTCAATAGTATGTGTACACCAGGCACACCTCTCTCTGGTCTCTCTCTCTGGTCTCTCTCTCTGGTCTCTCTCTCTCTCTCTGGTCTCTCTCTCTCTCTCTGGTCTCTCTCTCTCTCTCTGGTCTCTCTCTCTCTCTCTGGTCTCTCTCTCTCTCTCTGGTCTCTCTCTCTCTGGTCTCATACCGTGAAGCTTGAAGAATGTTTTTGGGTTGAACTCGTTGGGGTCGAGTCCATCTGTCTCCTCCCACACCTCCTTCAGCTGATCCACACTGCCCTGAAAACACACACACGTCACTCAGAGATGTCCCTTCTATACAAATAATCACTGTTGAAACCCAGAGAGGCCAGAGAGATACCAGAGAGATACCAGAGAGGGACCAGAGAGGGACCAGAGAGGGACCAGAGAGAGACCAGAGAGAGACCAGAGAGAGACCAGAGAGAGAAGGGAGAGAGGAGGGACCAGAGAGAGACCAGAGAGAGAGACCAGAGACAGAGACCAGAGGGAGAGACCAGAGAGAGACCAGAGAGAGACCAGAGAGAGACCAGAGAGAGACCAGAGAGAGAGACCAGAGAGAGAGACCAGAGAGGGACCAGAGAGAGAGACCAGAGAGGGACCAGAGAGGGACCAGAGAGAGACCAGAGAGAGACCAGAGAGGGACCAGAGAGGGACCAGAGAGGGACCAGAGAGGGACCAGAGAGGGACCAGAGAGGGACCAGAGAGGGACCAGAGAGAGACCAGAGAGAGACTGGAGAGAGACCAGAGAGGGACCAGAGAGGGAACAGAGAGAGACCAGAAAGAGAGAACAGAGAGGGACCCCCCAGAGAAAGACCCCGCAGAGAGAGAGAACAGAGAGAGTGTTTCTCACCGGAGCATTGACCTTGGGGTGCTGCCGGTGCTTCTCCTTCAGCTCCTCCAGCCTCCTCTGCTCCTGCTCTCTCTTCTCCTGGTCCAGACCCTTCAGGTACTCGCGGCGCTCGTGCTCCTGCCAAGAGGAACAGACGGAGCTCCATGCACTGACCTCTGACTTTTAGTTTGCACACTCACCTTCAGCATCTCGTATCGTTTGAACTCCTCGTGCCGCTCAGCATCATAGTTCTCCAGGTCTTTGGTTGCCTGAAAACCAGACCAGAGTGAGATCAGAGACCAGAGAGAAACTAGAGACCAGAGACCAGAGATCAGAAAGAAAGACTAGAGAGACCATAGACCAGAGATACAAGTCGAGACCGTTTTTCTTTTTGTTATGTCTCGTTTAAATGACGTTGATACCGTAGAGATGAGCAGCTCCAGGTCTTTGGCCTCAAACGTGTTCTGGTTTTGTGGATCTAAGTGTTCGAACTGTTTAAGCAGCGAGGAGTGGTCCATCTGTAGACCTGCAAAGATGAGACCAAAGATGAGACCAGACCTGAGTAACCAGACCTGAGAGACCAGAGAGAGAGACCAGAGAGAGAGACCAGAGAGAGAGACCAGAGAGAGAGACCAGAGAGAGAGACCAGAGAGAGAGACCAGAGAGAGAGACCAGAGAGAGAGACCAGAGAGAGAGACCAGAGAGAGAGACCAGAGAGAGAGACCAGAGAGAGACCAGAGAGAGACCAGGGAGAGACCAGAGAGAGACCAGAGAGACTGTGTGTCTTACTCTGTGTGTTGGTGCTGTCCAGTTTGGCCCTCAGCAGCATCCGTAGTCGGGACACTTCCTGTCTCTTGAGCTCGTCCAGCCGAGTGCGGACGTGATGTCCCACCAGGTCCAGCTCTTTAGAGAGACGGCCGCTCTGAAAACGGAAACATCAGCACTAGCAATGTTATCACGTTAGCGTTGTTCATCTGTATAGATGGTTTTCCAATGACGTCACGCACTACCCACAGTTCCGCACATCACTTTTTTGCGCTAAAAAATGCCGACTACCTGTGTCGTTTGTGAGTGCAGTAACCGTACAGGTTGTGGGGACATTCCGAAGGTTATTACGAGCCAAGGGAGCGACTCTCTTGACGGAGAGAAGAACCCTTTAGTTGGCGAGGATCAACTGAGGGATTCAACCCTAACCCTGAAAAACGGCACTATAAGGTCTGTTCTGACCATTTCAACAGGTAAGAGCTAGCTAAATCTGCATGTGTGGTTTATATTCAGAGCTGTGATTTGACAAAAAGTTGATTTCAAAATAAATTATTGATTGAAAGAAATATTACATCATATACATCATTACCTTTTTAATTGTAAAACTTAAGTGAAAGTAAGCCATTTCAGGCAAAGTCCACTGGTCTCGCCTCATTTCATATGGATCCAAATCTCCGATCACTCTCAATTTATCTAAGGATCGTGCCTCACAGATTACTCCAGTGTATCAATATACTTAACGCGGTCAGCGTCGGTTGAATTCGTGGCTTTAGATGACATGGTGACAAATAATCCGTGCAAAATAAGCTTGACGCACAACATGGCGTTTGCGCAAAGCATCATGGGTAATAAGCACGTGGCGGAAAACCATCTATACAGTCCGTGTTAGCAATGAGCCTCTGTGTACAGTCATTGTTAGCATTAGCATCTGTGTACAGTCTGTGTTAGCATTAGCATCTGAGTACAGTCTGTTAGCATTAGCATCTGTGCACAGTCCCTGGTTCCTGGTACATGTACAGATGTGTTCCTCAGACCTTGATGTCCTCTGCGTTTGCCGTCTGCAGTTTCTCTCTGAAGTGTGAGTCTGTCTCCAGGACCTCGATGACCTCGCGCAGGTATCTGTCATAGTAGAGACCCGTGTCCTGGACACAGAGAGACACCATCAGCTCAGAGCTCAGCTTCTCTTCTACTGGTCTTCCCTCATGATTTACAAACTTGGAACTTGGAGGAATTTATGGTACAAACGCAATCCCTCTCTGATCTCTTTCTCTCCGGTCTCTCCCTTTCTCTCCGGTCTCTCCCTTTCTCTCCGGTCTCTCACTCTCTGGTCTCTCACTCTCTGGTCTCTCACTCTCTGGTCTCTCTCTCACTCTCTGGTCTCTCTCTCACTCTCTGGTCTCTCTCTCACTCTCTGGTCTCTCTCTCACTCTCTGGTCTCTCTCTCACTCTCTGGTCTCTCTCTCACTCTCTGGTCTCTCTCTCACTCTCCGGTCTCTCTCTCACTCTCCGGTCTCTCACTCTCCGGTCTCTCACTCTCTGGTCTCTCACTCTCTGGTCTCTCACTCTCTGGTCTCTCACTCTCTGGTCTCTCACTCTCTGGTCTCTCACTCTCTGGTCTCTCACTCTCTGGTCTCTCACTCTCTGGTCTCTCACTCTCTGGTCTCTCACTCTCTGGTCTCTCACTCTCTGGTCTCTCACTCTCTGGTCTCTCACTCTCTGGTCTCTCACTCTCTGGTCTCTCACTCTGGTCTCTCACTCTCTGGTCTCTCACTCTCTGGTCTCTCACTCTCTGGTCTCTCACTCTCTGGTCTCTCACTCTCTGGTCTCTCTCTTTCTGGTTTATCCTATAACATTGCAATATCCCAAATTCTCCTTTCTGGTCAGCTGTTCTTGGACTGGGACCGGGACCTGGGTCTCGGCCTCAGTCTGGGCCTGGGACTCACCATGCTCTCGTCCTGTGTTTGGTCTTTGGTCTCTGGGACGTCCTTGCGGTCGATGGGGACAGAGATCACCACCGCAGCGAGCGACAGGAGAAGACTGCAAACCCACATCCTGCCAAAAGGAGGGGACAGAGTGTGACATCACCACAGTGTGACATCACCACAGTGTGACATCACCACAGTGTTACACTTAATGCAGAAGAAGCTAATTTGAACAGTTTCCTTTCTGATAATAGCTGAGCGCAGTAACAGGGACTGATGTGTTGCTATACGGTTGCTAAGGCAAGCTGGAGTTTCCCCCTGAAAGAAGGCGTCTGATTGGTCAGTCCATATACGGTCATTTCTGGATTTACAAAGACAATATCACATATAAACACCAGTATCACAGAAAATCTACAAATGGTGATGTCACACAAACTTTACAAAGCAAGAGGAGTTTCTTTTCACATGGAGCCAGAGAGAGGAGCACAGACTGTAGACGGACACGTGAAGCCATCTGCATTAACCCCATTTAATCTGATGTTCATGGTTGTTTTCAGTCTATGGTTCCATAGATTCAGATTCAGATTAATTTTATTTACCATGTGCAGCAAAAAAGCTACTCTGTGTGCACCAACAAGAGGCCTAAGAGAGAGAGGCTAAAGAGAGAGAGAGCAAAGAGAGAAACCAGAGGGAGATCAGGGAGAGACCGGAGAGAGACCGGAGAGAGACCAGAGAGAGACCAGAGAGAGACCAGAGAGAGACCAGAGAGAGACCAGAGAGAGACCAGAGAGAGACCGGAGAGAGACCAGAGAGAGACCAGAGAGAGACCAGAGAGAGACCAGAGAGAGACCGGAGAGAGACCAGAGAGAGACCAGAGAGAGACCAGAGAGAGACCAGAGAGAGAACGGAGAGAGACCAGAGAGAGAACGGAGAGAGACCAGAGAGAGACCAGAGAGCCACCAGAGAGAGACCAGAGAGAGACCAGAGAGAGACCGGAGAGAGACCAGAGAGAGACCAGAGAGAGACCAGAGAGAGACCAGAGAGAGACCAGAGAGAGACCGGAGAGAGACCAGAGAGAGACCAGAGAGAGACCAGAGAGAGACCAGAGAGAGACCAGAGAGAGAACGGAGAGAGACCAGAGAGAGACATAGATAGACTAGAGACACCAGAGACACCAGAGAGAGACCAGAGAGACACCAGAGAGAGAACGGAGAGAGACCAGAGAGAGAACGGAGAGAGACCAGAGAGAGACATAGATAGACTAGAGACACCAGAGACACCAGAGAGAGACCAGAGAGAGACCAGAGAGAGACCTGAGAGACCAGAGAGAGACCAGAGAGAGACCAGAGAGAGACCAGAGAGAGACCAGAGAGAGACATAGACTAGAAACACCAGAGATAGACTGGAGACACAAGAGAGAGACCAGAGAGAGTTACATTCGTGGTGTACAAATACAAATGAATTGCGTTAGTAAGGAGGATGTGCGAGGCCATATCCGTGATGTTATTCCCGTTATGTCCCGTTCCCTGCAGTCTCTCTCTATCTCTCTCTCTCTCTATCTCTGTGTGACATTATTATTAAACTCGTATCTGTGGCTGATGTCTCTGTAAATTCCTCTACGTTAACTGGACACGCAGAGAAAACACGTAGTTTACATATAACGCGATGTCACCGAACGGAGCAGAAGCGGATGATTTTGTACCTGTTCGTGTCGCAGCCGAATCCGTGACTGCGGCAACGGGAGATGACGTCACGGGGACTGCGGAACCTTTTCTCTCTTTTTCTTTTCTTTTTTTACCTTTAAAAACATAAACGTTTTCTCAATAAACATAGATTCTTCAATATATTCTAACGTCAATTTACTGTTTTATTTAACTCATGATGTGATTCAAAGCTGGGGTATGTAACTTAGACTGACCGAGTGTGACGTCACCATAACAGTATCACAACATAAAGGCTACTCCACGGTCTCTCTCTCTGGTCTCTAACTCTGGTCGTAGGTCTTTCTCGTGGGTCTCTCTGGTCTCTTTGATCTCTCTCTGATCTCTGGTCTCTCTCTCTCTGGTCTGAGGACTCTCGGGTGTCTTTCTGGTCTCTCTCTCTCTGGTTTTTGTCCATTCTCCATTTGATATCTCTCTGATCTATCTCTGATATATCTCTGATCTCTCTCGGGTTTCTCTCTTTGATCTGAAGATGTGACAGAGCCCAAATATACATGATGTGAAAGTATAACAAACTGTTTTAGAGACAGGAACTGGAGATATGAATTTTACAACATCATTTTGATCTGAAAGTTACGTGCCTCAGCTTTAGAGGATTTGACAGCGGGTCTGTGCGCTGCTTGTCCACAGGGGGTCACAGCTGCTCCATTCCTAAACTTCCTTCAGTTGTCTCCTGTTTACTTTCGCTTTCGTGGCTGCGTCCACATTCACATCACTTCCCTTTCCACTTCATAATATTTGGTACCATTCTAATCGGACTTAAATTATTTTATCAAAAATCCTTTAGACTCCGAATGTCTCGTTGAGCAAACCTGCAGCTCCTCTCTCTCTTACACAAAGAGACGAGGAAAGAGTGAAGGAAGCACGGAATCCTCTATCTTTCTGAAACTGGATGCAATCACTTCACATTTCACTTGAGAACCAGGGCACGTGAGTCCTGAGTCTTGTGTCCGCCTGTCGTGCTCCTCTCCTGGCCACCGCTGCTCCTCTCTCCCGCTCTCATGGCTCCGTACGCGGACAAAGTGGTGATCGTTACCGGGGGCTCCAAGGGCATCGGCCGCGGGATCGTCACCTCCTTCAGTGAAGTTTTTACATGAATAATTGCTTTTCAGAGTTTGTTCATACTGTTTATTATCTATGTAACGTTCTGTGCTTAAAGCTGAGGTCCCGAACTTCAGGGATTCATTAATAACATGTTTAGTCCCAACAATCAGACAACAACATACTTCCTTTAACTTGTTCTCTTTTGAGGAAGAATGGCCTCTCTCTCTGTTGTCTCTCACTGGTCTTTCTGGTCTCTCTCTGGCCTCTCTCTGGCCTCTCTGGTCTCTCTCTGGTCTAGTCTCTCTGTGGTCTCTCTGTGGTCTCTCTGTGGTCTCTCTGTAGTCTCTCTCTGGTCTCTCTGGTCTCTCTGTGGTCTCTCTCTGGTCTCTCTCTGGTCTGGTCTCTCTGTGGTCTCTCTGTGGTCTCTCTCTGTTCTCTCTGTGGTCTATCTGTGGTCTCTCTCTAGTCTCTCTCTAGTCTCTCTCTGGTCTCTCTCTGGTCTCTCTCTGGTCTCTCTCTGGTCTCTCTCTGGTCTCTCTCTGGTCTCTCTCTGGTCTCTCTCTGGTCAAAAGGCTGTGTATATTTCTTGATGTGTCCTGTTGTCTTTACGTGTCTTGTTTTCAGTGGAAAGTGGCTCAAAAGTGGTGTTCTGCGCTCGAGGAAGTGAGTTACACAAACACAGAACCACACAGACAGAAACAAACACACATAGAACCACACACACACAGAAACACAAGTACACACATAACCACACACACAAACACACAGAGACACAAGCACACATACAAGCACACAGACACACACAGAACCACACACACACACAGAGACACAAGCACACATACAAGCACACACACACACACACACACACAAACACATATACAGAAACACAATCAGACATACACACACAGAAACACAATCAGACATACACACACACAATCAGACGCACACACACACCCTCTGATGACATAGACTGTTATAAACAGGTGCTGCAGGTGAGGCTCTGGAGGCGGAGCTTAACTCCAAAGGACCAGGATGTTGTATGTTCCTGAGCTGTGACATGAGCAAAGAGGAGGATGTACAGGTGATGTCACATTACACCTGTGTTACAGACCTCACATTACACCTGTGTCCTCACATTACACCTGTGTTACAGACCTCACATTACACCTGTGTCCTCACATTACACCTGTGCTACAGACCTCACATTACACCTGTGTTACAGACCTCACATTACACCTGTGTCCTCACATTACACCTGTGCTACAGACCTCACATTACACCTGTGTTACAGACCTCACATTACACCTGTGTCCTCACATTACACCTGTGTTACAAACCTCACATAACACCTGTGTTACAGACCTCACATTACACCTGTGTCCTCACATAACACCTGTGTTACAGACCTCACATTACACTTGTGTGTGTCTGTGTTTCTACAGCGACTGGTGTCCTTCACATTGGAACAGTTTGGACACATAGACTGTTTGGTGAACAACGCAGGCTGGCGTGAGTCCAAGACACACACGCACACACGCGCACACTCAAATACTCACACAAAGACACAAACACACACACATCTCAAAGGTTTCACACAAGTCAAAAGGTTAAATAATTCCAGTGCTTGATATTAAAGCTGGGGTTCGTAAACTCTAACAAAAACACATATCAGATTGTTTTGTTGTTTCATGTCATTTTAGTCCCAGTCACATCTTTAGATTAGAGTTATTTCAGACCTCAGTCTCTGAGGACAGGGATAATGTGTTCTCTGTGGTTCATCAGATCCTCCTCACAAACCCACAGACCAGACCAGCACCCAGGACCTCAGGGACCTCCTGGAGTTCAACCTCGTCAGCTACTTCCTCACCTCCAAGGTACCAGCTGTCCTCTGAGGCACTGCCCTCTCTCTCACTGATGTGTGTCTGCTTCTGGTGTGTGTCTGTCACTGGTGTGTGTCTGTCTCTGGTGTGTGTCTGTCTCTGGTGTGTGTCTGTCGCTGGTGTGTGTCTGTCTCTGGTGTGTGTCTGTCTCTGGTGTGTGTCTGTCTCTGGTGTGTGTCTGTCTCTGGTGTGTGTCTGTCTCTGGTGTGTGTCTGTCTCTGGTGTGTGTCCGTCTCTGGTGTGGTGTCTGTCTCTGGTGTCTCTCTGTCTCTGGTGTCTCTCTGTCTCTGGTGTCTCTGTGTCTCTGGTGTCTCTCTGTCTCTGGTGTCTCTCTGTCTCTGGTGTATCTCTGTCGTCCTCAGACCTCTGTTTGCGCAGCTCTCTTTGCCGTCTCTGCGTCAGCGTCAGGGAAACATCATCAACGTGTCCAGCCTGGTGGCGTCCATTGGACAAAAGGACGCCGTGCCCTACGTGGCAACCAAGGTAAGACCAGAGAGAGACCAGAGAGAGACCAGAGAGGCCGGCCTGCACTGGCCATTGGCCAGTCTGCCTGGGCCGTCAAGGAGGGTACAAAACGATGTACCAGTGTGCGTCAACGGCCTTTATGCTTGCCCCGTGCTCTTACATCCATCCTCGGGTCGTGGCTCAGTAGGATCTGGTTTACATGGTTACTTGTAATGGTTTACATGAGTCTGCTGTATAATAATAATAATAAACTGGACCGAAGGAAAGAGACCTGGTGTGTGTTCTGCTTTTGTGCCACCAGGGGGCAATCATCTCCATGACCAAAGCCATGGCAGTGGACGAGAGCCGCTACGGAGTCCGAGTCAACAGGTCAGAGACCAGAGAGAGACCAGAGACAGACCAGAGACAGACCAGAGAGAGACCAGGGAGAGACATTTGGGAGTCTGGTGAGAGAGACCAGAGAAAGACCAGTGAGCGACCAGAGAGAGAAACTAGAGAGTCTGGTGAGAGAGAGACTAGAGGGGCTAAGAAGGGGGAAAAATAAGCATCTGCTTCATCCGACCCATTCTCACACCTGTCTTAGTGACAAGAAACTTCTGTTAACAAATGTTGTTGTTCACAGTTTGTCTCCTGGAAACGTGATGACACCGCTCTGGGCGGAGCTTGCTGCACAGACGCCAGACGCTGAGGCGGCGATCCGAGAGGGAGAGAACAACCAGGTACCAGCACCAGTACTAACAGATCCAGTCCAGTATTACTGAAGTACCTGTGCTCAGTTACTCGGCAGGATGGGGACCCCTGCTGAGTGTGGAGCTGCTGCTGTGTTTCTCGCTGAAGCTACGTTTTGCACCGGGATCGACCTCCTGCTGAGCGGGGGGGCGGAGCTAAACTATGGATACAAGAACACCACACCATGAAGCAGGAGCAGAGCCCAGACCAAGGCCGAAACCAGGACTGAGACCAGTTTAGTATTGAATATATTCATAATAAAAGTCTCCACAAACACAACTCATCCTCATTCTCGAGAAATAGTATTATGTCCAAACAGAAGTGTGGTTTTAACGCTGCCTAGGTTTTCTCCAGGTGCTCCGGTTTCAATACCAACACAATATACCTGTGAACTTAGAAGCAAAGCTAACCCCTTCATACTTGTTTTTATGAAATTAGAAGCAGACTTCACCCTTATTTTCTGTCTGAAAAAGATCTAGAGCCAAAATACATGCAGTGAAAAGCGATAGTATCCCTGGTCTAGTCTCTGGTCTCTCTGTTTCTGGTATCATCCTCTAGTTAAGGGTCTGGAAACACATTTTTCTGCCACAGAAAATTGACAAATGTAATTTATTAAAAAATATTTTAATGCACCATTAATAAAGGTTCCAACGCATTAATACAAGAGAAATATTTCAAATAATATTAAAATAAACATCAAAACGAAGGAAACGTTACAAAAAAGGTGTGAAGGTATTTACAGAATCCAGGTTTTTGAGGAAAACCACTTATTTACACGTTTATACAATATTTACAAATCCAACATTTTTATCCATTTTTTACGTTTTGGGAAATACTTTAAGGAACAAAAAGTTTAAAATGTTAAAATCCAGAAGCGGAAGCGAGACACAAACACAGTCTTCAGATCAGTGGATTTGGCATCAAAGAAAAGCAAATGTTTGTGGAAAAAACAGCAAAGAATTAGCAAAATAAAAACACAAAAAGAATGGAAGAAAAACATACATTTGAATAGACTTGGGGGGGGGGGCGGCATCTGGGGGAGGAGCATCAAGGGGAGGGGGGTGTTCTTTCTGTCCCAAGTTCAAAAAAATAAATCCAGATTATTGGGTTCCAGCTGCAGAGGAGTCACAGGTTTGAGTCGTTTTAACAGGTTTGGTTCAATTTAATCGTTTGGATCAAACTTTTGACCTGTGTCTGAGACGTCAGCAGGAGGCACCAGCAGAGTAGAGTAGAGTAGAGTAGAGTAGAGTAGAACAGAGTAGAGTAGAGTAGAGTAGAACAGAGTAGAGTAGAGTAGAGTAGAGTAGAGTAGAGTAGAACAGAGTAGAGTAGAGTAGAGTAGAGTAGAGCCTCCTCGTGACCTCTCAGTCTCTAAAACGTTGATATAAAAATACTTTTCTCATTAGTTTAAAGTTTAATTTCTGGTTTAAAAAAAGTCTTTTGTTTCATTCTTCACTGATAACGATCCACAAACGTAAATGTGTCTTTTTCTGGTTTAAATACATTTAAATGATTCTTTATTGATAAACAAAGATTTTAGGGTTTTCATAGTTTGGATTTGAGCTAAAAACACATTATCTTTAAAACTTTAATAAACTTTAATAAATGTTTCACTCAGAGCTGGAACCAATTACGTGTTAAAACAACTCAGAAACCTGACTCTGCAGATCCGGTTCAGATCCGGTTCTGGTCTGAACTCAAAGTGCTTTTGTGTGCGTGTGATTCTGGAGCTGGTGAGCAACAAGAGCAAAAAAATATATACGAGGTTACCCAGGAAAATCCCTGGACACTGGTTTGTTGTCAGTTAGTTGCTAGGATACCAGATACTAACGTGTAATGGAAACATCACCAGGTAGAGCTGGCTCCACACAGACACCTATGGTTGGGAGGGCTCTCTCTCTCTCTCTCTCTCAGGGTTGTCTCTCTCTCATGGTGGTCTCTTGGTCTCTCTCTCTCTCAGGGTTGTCTCTCTCTCTCTCTCTCAGGGTGGTCTCTTGGTCTCTCTCTCTCTCAGGGTGGTCTCTTGGTCTCTCTCTCTCTCTCAGGGTGGTCTCTTGGTCTCTTTCTCTCTCGCTCAGGGTGGTCTCTCTCTCTCTCTCGCTCAGGGTGGTCTCTCTCTCTCTCTCGCTCAGGGTGGTCTCTAATTGAGCGTGCCGCGGCAGCCATCGGCGCCGCACAGACAGGGGATCTTGTTCTCCTCCAGAGGAAACTTATAATCGTAGGTGATTTCTTCGTTGACGCCAATCGATTGTTTGGAGTAAATCACTATCTTCTTCTGGGACTCTATGGTGATGACTTTAGCGTAACAGTTGGGCTGCGGACACACAACACACACCACACACACACCACACACACACAGAGACACACGCACAGACAGAGACAGACACACAACAGGTTAGATTCAGACATAGACAGAGGGGTGTGTGTGTATCTCACTGAGCCGTAGTATTTGATGAAGTGTGTGTGTGTATGTCTCTCTGTATGAGTGTGTCTCTCTGTATGTGTGTGTGTGTCTCTCTGTATGTGTGTCACAGAGCAGCAATGGTTGATGAAGCATGTGTGTATGTCTCTGTATGAGTGTGTGTGTGTCTCTGTATGTGTGTGTGTATGTCTCTCTGTATGTATGTGTATGTGAGTGCGTCTCACAGAGCAGCAGTGGTTGATGAAGCATGTGTGTATGTCTCTCTGTATGAGTGTGTGTGTGTCTCTGTATGTGTGTGTGTATGTCTCTCTGTATGTGTGTGTGTATGTCTATGTGTGTGTGTGTCTCACAGAGCAGCAGTGGTTGATGAAGCATGTGTGTATGTCTCTCTGTATGTGTGTGTGTCTCTCTGTATGTGTGTGTGTGTGTGTGTGTGTGTGTGTCTCACAGAGCAGCAGTGGTTGATGAAGCATGTGTGTATGTCTCTCTGTATGAGTATGTGTGTCTCTGTATGTGTGTGTATGTCTCTCTGTATGTGTGTGTGTGTGTGTGTGTGTGTGTGCGTGTCTCACAGAGCAGCAGTGGTTGATGAATCGTGCCAAGTTTCCACACTTCGTTGCGTCGATGATTGTGTCGTGATCGACTCTGAACAAGTAACTGCTGCCAATGCCCTGCTGTGCGTAACGCTTCTCTCTGTTGTCTGCCACCATCTGCAACACAACAACACACACTATTACACACAACATCACTACATCCAACCATCTGCAACAACAAAACACACAACATCACACCATCTGCAATGCAATAATACAATCACACACACACACAACCCAGAGGGAGCCGGTGGGGACCTGGACCTGGAGGGGACCTGGACCTGGTGACACTGACCTGCCGGATATTCTGGCCCACGTACTCGATGACCATCTCGTCGGCGGCGATGGGCTCCATGGCAAACAGGCCCCACTCGTGGATCCGCGAGCGTCCGAATCGAAGCTTCTTCTTCCTGAACTTGAGCTGGTTCAGTTTGAGGAGGTCTGAGTCCATCGTGGCTGACGTCCCGATCACCGTCAGCAAGCGGCGCTGCTCCGACCGCCGCTCCGACAGAAGCCGGTTGGTTCCCTGAGAACAAGAGAGTACATCCCCCCTGTGCTTAGACAGTACATCACCCCTGCGCTGAGAAAGAGAGTACATTACCCCTGCGCTGAGAAAGAGAGTACATTACCCCTGCGCTGAGAAAGAGTACATCACCCCTGTGCTTAGAAAGAGAGTACATCACCCCTGCCATGAGAAAGAGAGTACATCACCCCTGCGCTGAGAAAGAGAGTACATCACCCCTGCGCTGAGAAAGAGAGTACATTACCCCTGCGCTGAGAAAGAGAGTACATCACCCCTGTGCTTAGAAAGAGAGTACATCACCCCTGCGCTGAGAAAGAGAGTACATCACCCCTGCCATGAGAAAGAGAGTACATCACCCCTGCGCTGAGAAAGAGAGTACATCACCCCTGCGCTGAGAAAGAGAGTACATCACCCCTGCGCTGAGAAAGAGAGTACATCACCCCTGCGCTGAGAAAGAGAGTACATCACCCCTGCGCTGAGAAAGAGTACATCACCCCTGTGCTTAGAAAGAGAGTACATCACCCCTGCGCTGAGAAAGAGAGTACATCACCCCTGCCATGAGAAAGAGAGTACATCCCCCCTGTGCTGAGAAAGAGTGTCTCTGTGTCCTGTCCATGTGTTCTCACCATAGAGTCCAGGTTCTCCCCCTCCCTGAGGACCTGTTCTGGCAGGTCCAGGTCCAGGTACACGTCCTTCTCTGTGCGGCTGATGGCGTAGTATCCCTCACTGCGGGCGCAGCCGGTCATATGCTCCCTCAGCGCGCTGGTCGGGGACTTCTTCTTCCTCCGCGGAGTTGGCAGGTTGGTCAGTGTGACAGTCAAGGACAATACAGAAGTCTACAGCCTCAGTCCTGGGTCTACAGCCTCAGTCCTGAGTCTACAGCCTCAGTCCTGAGTCTACAGCCTCAGTCCTGGGTCTACAGCCTCAGTCCTGGGTCTACAGCCTCAGTCCTGGGTCTACAGCCTCAGTCCTGGGTCTACAGCCTCAGTCCTGATTTGTGAAAGGATATCTGTGTGTCCAACCCAGTGAGTGTCATTGAGCCAGTCGGCGCCGTGGTCGCCCTGGAGCAGCTTCTCGTAGGTCTGCCTCAGCAGTCCCAGGTCTTCCCCGTCCAGACCAGAGTTCCAGATGTCGTAGAGGATGGTCATCTGCTCGAACTCGCTGCGGTTTTCGAATTTGATGGCTGGGGTAGGGGGGGCGGCACGGGGGGAGGGCAGCTCTCCAGGGCGGAACACCTCCTGAAGGAAGAGCCTCTCGCTCTTCCTCACCTCTTCCGCCCCTCTCCCCGCTCCTCTGCGGAGGGAGGCCTCAGAGTCAGAGGAACTACTCAGCTCTCCAGACTCCAGTTCCTCTACGTCCACCTCCTCCTCAGGTTCCGAGTCCTACCACCACAACAGGTATCATAATGGGACCAAGGAGAGTCCAGAGGTCAGAGAGAGAGACCAGAGAAAGACCAAAGAGAGACCAGAGAGAGAGAGAAACCAGAGGGAGACCAGAGCGAGACACCAGAGTATACCATGAGTGTAGTGCTCTCACCTCCTGCTTCTTCTTGCGCTGCTTCTTGCTCGGTGTCTCTTTTCGCTTCTTGCTGTGCTCCACGTTCTCCTTGTCACGCCGTCTCTTACGGTTCCGCTCTTTCTCGCGCTCCACTCGGCTCTTGGCTCCTCCCTTCTTCTTTGACTGCCCTGCCGTGTCCACCTTCACCTCTCTGTGCGCCTCCCTGTGCGCCTCCTCGATTACCTCCTCTGGAGCCTCCAACACTCCTGAGATGGCGTTGAGGTCTGGAAGCAGCAACGCCTCCTGCTTGGTGCGGCGCAGGAGTGGTGCAGTGTGTGGCGGTCTGCAGTAGCTATGCTCAATGAATACCATGAGGCCTTCAGGACACATGACCAGCGCCTCCGGGAGGTACGGCTCCTCCAGTTTCTGCTCCTCTGCTTCATCTGACGTCTCCGTCTCCTCTGAACTCCCCGGATCCATCTTCAAAGCCACGTCCGCCAGCACAGATAGGTCTGTGGTGGCGGCAAGCTGCAGAAGACCGGAGGCTCCGCGCAGACGGCTCTCGGTGTCGTCCTCCAGACTTGGCACCCGCTGTTTGCTCCTGCGTTTGGTCTGAGGCACCTCCTCATATGCAACTCTGCACATGGAGGCGTGGTCCAGCGGCAGGTTCTGCACGGTGCGGCACACCACCACCACGGCTTTGGGAGAGTCTTTGCGTTTGCTCGGGGACTTGGCGGGCGGTGGCGACGAGGGGACGGTCTTCTTGAGGTCCTCGGTGTGCGGCGGCAGGATGAGTGCGGCGCCGGCTCCCGGTTTGGAGGCAAACGGAAGCAGCTGGACGGCGTGTTTCCCAGGAGACGGTGAAGGAGCAGAGGTGGGGAGGCCGGGCTCAGAGGGAGGCGCAGGGACGGACGGGAGTGCGGGTCTGGCATCCAACTCGTCTGTGGAGAAGGAGACGTTCTTCCGGCGTTTCTTGAGCGGCGGCACCAGTATGACGGGGGAGGAGGGGCGGGGGAGGAGAGGGGAGTGTGGCCGCTTGGAGACTGGTTCAGGGGCTGAGAGCAAGTCCAGTTTGATGGGTCTGGATTCTGAAACAAAAAACAGGAAAACTAATGAGCCAGATACAGTACAGACCTGTTATACCATGTTAAAGCTCGGATCTGTAAATTCACCTGTTCCATAACAACACATGAGTTTGAAGCTGGAGAGAAGCCTCATCATTCAGCTTAGATTTTATAAAACTGGTTTTAAATATTCATGAGTTAATTTTTGTTGTTTAAAGATAGTTAAATGATTTATCCAGAAATGTCCCTAAACCCCAAAAGTAGTCAAGTCATCGTGTGTTTTGAAACAGGGATGGACACGACCAGATGCCTGTAGCCTAAAAAAGTAAATCACAAACATTGTGGAGTGGAACAAAACCACTGGAATGCGTTCATCCTCCCTCGAACCAATGCGACGCGTTCGGTGGTTTTGAGTTGGTGCTACTCATGGTGCTACAGCTAAGCTAACCTGAATCATTAACTGCAGCTTTAAGTTTAACATTTTGTGTCCAGTACAAATGTAGCTTGCCCTTAACAACAGTCTTAGCAACACATCTGCCCTTGTTATGGCACAAAGCTAATGCAAACAGAAAAAATTCCCACACTGTGGCGATGTCACTTTCAGTCCACTCCTCATATACGCTTTATGCATTTCTCGAGACCAGGATCTCTGTGGAATCAGAGTGAGTGAATGAGTACTCACCTGTTCGAACGTCCACATTAGAATCTGCTGCAGCCATTTTAGTCCTGAACAGAAAACAAATAGTTTAAAACAGTGAAAGACTAGTGTGTACGGAGAGAGAAGCCTCCAGTCTCTTGTCCCTCATCCACAGCATGATGCTGCCCATACCCGTCTATGGTGCTGTCCATGGTAGATTCGTCCATGGTGTCAGGGTCGGTGTCGAGCCTCTCTCCTTCCTCTTCCTCGCTGTCTTCGGAGGAGGAGCCAGACGAGGAGCCAGAGGAGGATGACAGGCTCTCATCATCACTGTCTGCACTGAGGACTTCATCTGGGGACACAGCTCTGAGGTCAGCTCTGAGGTCAGCTCTAAGGTCAGCTCTAAGGTCAGAAAAATGTAGCTCACCATCGGAGTCCTTCCCGCTCTCCTCGTCCTGGAGAAACAAGATCTGGTTAAACTGAGAAACACATGCAGTTCTCAAATCAATGTCTCTGAATCAGAGTGAGACCAGAGAGAGAGCTCAAAGAGAGAGAGACCAGAGAGTGCTCAGAGAGACCAGAGAGAGCTAAGAGAGAGCTAAGAGAGAGAGAGACCAGAGAGAGCTCAGAGAGCCCAGAGAGAGAGACCAGAGAGAGAAACCAAAGAGAGCACACAGTGTTGAGGCACAGACCTTGTCCTCCTCGGAGCCAGACGTCTCCTCTCCCTCACTGTCCAGCTCCCACGGTTTGCGGCTCCTGGGCTTCTTTTTCCTGCGTTTGTTGTCTCTCTCTGCGGCATGTCGTTCCTCCGCTCGCCTCCTCTCAGCTGTCAATCACAATCACAGCTTTAACACACGCTGAGGAGGTTTCTGATCCTGTGTCTGACCCCGTGTCTGTACTAGGGATGCAACGATACCACTTTTATCAAAACTGAGTACCTTAATTTGAGTACTTCGGTATTTGGTATACCAATACCGAATACTGATTTGAGTACTGCATTGTTTTCCCTGGGAGTTCATAAAAACTAATACAACTGAAATTTTAAATGTTTTAAACAATCAGAAAATGATTTAACAATTAATCATTTTAGCAATTGTTTTAACAGTCAACAGGGATAGTCACAGTGTTTGTACTGTGTGTAACCTGCTATGTCTGTGTCTGTGCTTGTACCCGTGTCTGTACCCGTGCCTGTACCCGTGTCTGTACCCGTGCCTGTACCCGTGCCTGTACCCGTGTCTGTACCCGTGCCTGTACCCGTGCCTGTACCCGTGCCTGTACCCGTGCCTGTACCCGTGCCTGTACCCGTGTCTGTACCCGTGCCTGTACCCGTGTCTGTACCCGTGCCTGTACCCGTGCCTGTACCCGTGTCTGTACCTGTGTCCTCTGGAGGTGTCTGAGGCCGTGGTCTCTTCAGGTCTCCCTCCTGCAGCTCCAGAGGTTCTTTCCTCTTAACCTGAAACACAGATCACATGTCCCCTCATAGTCCTCTGCACATGTGTTCAACATCACAAGCGTGACATCACAAGCGTGACAACACAGGCGTGACAACACAGGCGTGACAACACAGGCGTGACAACACAGGCGTGACAACACTGAGTTGTACCTTGAATGAGGGCAGGCGCAGTGCCCCCCGCAGATTGAGACCCTCCACTCCCCCGCTCTTGGCCCAGTCCACCAGAGACAGGAGCGGCTCTTTAGGTCGACTCAGCTTTTCCTCTTTCTTCTCCTCATCGCGGAGAGCAGACACTCCACGCACCATGGTCTGGAACGGCTGAGGAGGACAACAACACCATTTACGATCTACACTCTCAGTCCTGGGTCCACAGCCTCTCCCTCTGGCCTCTCTCTGGTCTCACCTTGGCCATGGTCTCCTTGCGCTCCCACCATTCGTCGAAGGTGTTGAAGGCCACGTTCTCCACCATCTTGCGGTTGAGGTCTCTCTGCATGATGTTTTTCATCTCCTGGATCAGCGAGGCCAGCACCAGCTGCACAGTGGCCTCATGGGGGTGCTCCGTCTCCTCTCTGCTCTCGGTGAACTCTGACCCCTCCCCCGGAGTGGAAGCCGGGACGCTGTATCCCGGGGGAGGGACGAAGGGGAAGTGTGGGGGCAAGGGGGGCCAGGAAGGGGGAGGCAGAGGGGGAGGGAGGGAGGGGTCGGCGTGGTATGGGTACGGCATGTGTGGGGGGAGGTACCTGAGGAGCAGAGGGCACAGAGTGGATTCCTGCTCTGTGTGTCTAAGTGAACAGAGAGAGGTAAAGTTGGTCTCCCTCTCTCTGGTCTCCCTCTCTCTGGTCTCCCTCTCTCTGGTCTCCCTCTCTCTGGTCTCCCTCTCTCTGGTCTCCCTCTCTCTGGTCTCCCTCTCTCTGGTCTCCCTCTCTCTGGTCTATGTGAATGTGTGATATAAAAAGTTACTCACCCGTCAGTGTCGTACCTGTGGTCCTGGTCATAGTGAGTGCTGCTGCTCTCCTGCTCCATGAACGGAGGAGGCATCAAGTGGAAGGAGCTGTAGTCAGCTGTGGCGCCCTCTCCAGGCCCCGCTAGGAGAAACAACAGACGTTTTACCTGTGTTAGAGTTAGCCTCACACAGACCCTTACAGGTGTTTGCGTTAGTTACACAACCACACCCTTATCATACCCTTACGGGTGTTAGCGTTTGCCACAGACAGACCCTTACCTGTGTTAGAGTTAGCCTCACACAGACCCTTACAGGTGTTTGCGTTAGTTACACAACCACACACATACAGTACCCTTACGGGTGTTAACGATGCTACAGACAGACCCTTACCTGTGTTAGCGTTAGCATTAGCCAGCCTCATCTGGTGCAGCCGACTAAGCATGTGCGTCTGCATTTGGAAGGACATGGGCGCCCCACCGCTGTACTGACTCATCAGCTCCACGGACGAGGCATAGAGGGGGGGAGGTAGGGGCGGGTACTCCCCCAGGTGGGGGAGAGGCTGCAGGCTGTAGCCGGGCGGGGGAGGCAGGTGGGGGGGGTACGAGGGCAGAGGGGCGTAGTGTGAGGAGGAGGTGGAGTCTGGGGCCGTGGGGGATGAGGGGGGGTGAGGGGGGGAGGGGGAGGTGGGCGGAGCTGCGTGAGGCGTGGGGGGGGCGTCCTCCTCATCTGAGATCTCCATGTCCTCCCCTGACGACCGGGGGGAGGGCTGCAGAGGGAGGGGGAGAATACTGATGTAAGAGCAGTGTAATACCAGGATCATCCAGAGGGCAACACAGCACTGAGCTTACCAGAGAGTGACATCATCACAGTGTGACATCAACACAGCACTGAGCTAACCAGAGAGTGACATCATCACAGTGTGACATCAACACAGCACTGAGCTTACCAGAGAGTGACATCATCACAGTGTGACATCAACACAGCACTGAGCTTACCAGAGAGTGACATCATCACAGTGTGACATCAACACAGCACTGAGCTTACCAGAGAGTGACATCATCACAGTGTGACATCAACACAGCACTGAGCTTACCAGAGAGTGACATCATCACAGTGTGACATCAACACAGCACTGAGCTTACCAGAGAGTGACATCATCACAGTGTGACATCAACACAGCACTGAGCTAACCAGAGAGTGACATCATCACAGCGTGACATCGCTACAGTGACATCACCACACCTTTCTCTAAGGTGTCGATTTAAAAAAAAAAAAAGTCTTAAGGAGGAAAGGAAGAAATGCATTAGCTTGCGAAGCATCTGAATCTACAGACACAGCGGACAGTTTTTGTGTGGTATACGCTTGTAGTAGCCGAGGCAACAGGGAGAAAGAACTGTTAATATTAGGGCTGTCAAACGATTAATTTTTTTAATCGAGTTAATTACAGCTTAAAAATTAATTAATTGTAATTAATCGCATTTCAAACTATTGGCAAAATTATGCCATATTTTTCTGTAAATTGTTGTTTGAATGGAAAGATAAATGACAGCTTAGTGAACATATGTACTGTATTTGTTTGTTATAACAATAAATCCATTTAAAATGGAATTAACATCATTAACATTCTGACTTTCTGTTTAGACTCAGACCAAAACCATTGTTTGTTACAGATGAGGGACATTTCAAAATAGTCTGAAGCAGAATGTCTTTAAATCTGTTTGATTTGCTCACACCATTACTTTTTTTGGCACAACTAACATGAACTGGAACTCGAAAGGAAAATTAGGTACCTCAGCTTTAATTTAGCGAGTGCGCTTCAGGAGAAGACACGGAGGAGACTGAGGCTCCGCAGTCCAGCTTTAGCGCTGTACATATTGTATGCATCGGTTACGCAAAGACACGTACGCACACTAGAGAATAGTTCTGTAATGGTTCTGTGCGTGTTCTTGGATATGATCCCATTACGCAGCGCCGTTCGCCGTCATTACAGTCGCTGGAAGTGGTGCTGCTGTCCAGAGCGCTGTCGCGCCCGCAGCTCATCATGCAGAGTTCATACAGGAAACAACAAGTGCCCCGCGGTCACGCGTGTATTCTTTCAAAACTTGAATTCCCAGAGGGCCTACCTCAGGGGTTAAAGCAAAAAAAAAAGATTTGACTGAAAATTTTTGCATGGAAATTTATCACATGTAAATCACAGTAATATGCAGGACCAAGTTATATTTTTAATTACAATATATTATTGTATAATAGATTGTATATTGAATACAGCTCAAATGAATTCTTCAAAGATATACAGTGTATTTTGATATGAAATATAAGTGGATCAAGCAACGAGTCAACTTTTTGACAGAATATTAGTGAGAGTAGCTTTACTTGAGGCGATATGGAGCGTCAACACTTTGGCTCTGTCTTCGTCAAAATATCGCAAAAGGACGATAAAATTCTGTCCACATTTGTTTGTGGACACGTCAATATTTAAGAAAAAGGTTTCCCTATCAAGTTTGAGTGCACAGTGCACTTAGATCAACTGCAAATGATTTAAATAAATCTACCAGCGGTAGTGATATTCTGAACGTTATTTTCTGCGATAAAGCCACAGACACGGTCTGCCAGAGCAAGCCTAGTGTCAGTTGTTGCTGATGCACCAGGTAAAGATGAAGTGTGGGAAAGTGCACAAACAGCTGCCTTGTGCGCAGTTTTGAGCTGGTGGCGAATCAAAACTTTTTTCTCATTACTCCCATATATGCAATTTTTTATGGCAAAGTACGCACAAGAACCGGCCACTCTCATCTTTTCGCACCATGACTCATTGATTGGCTCTTTTACATCACGCTGAGTTTTGCAAGAAGATCGCAAACAAGACAATATCAAAAGCTCACCAAGACATGTTTGTCCCCATTCCCAGTTGCAGCAAAGTCCGTTTTGTACATTCCGTTAAGTAAAATAGCATTGCGTTTGGTAAACGTTAATTACCTTTCGTCTATTACGCGCCCAGCTTACCAGTCCGCGGATCTGCTGCTGTTATCCCTCCGTTCGAGATTCAATTTTCCTCCTCTTCTCCTTTTCAAAAGCTCCGTGCAGTTTCCAGAAACTTTCACCTCCGTGTTACCAATGCTAACTTCATCGCGTCTTCATTTGCGCGTGAGCTCAGCTAAGTCCCATTGCCTTGATTCATTTGCGGAGCGCTCATGTGGCCACGGCACGTTCAAGGCCCACTCGTCATTATATTACTTATTATTTCTATATACATATAAATACAATTATATTCAAATTATTATTATACATCAATATATATATATAACAGATTCACACGTATATGTATTACTATATATTATTTTTATAATCAATCATTTCATTGTGTGTATTATTATCATTATATATACATTTTTTTTTTTTTTTTCCAGACCAATTTCATTTGACGGAAATCCGTCACCTAGACGGAACTCTTTAATCCCTGGCCTACCTGCTCTGTCCCCATCTCACATCCGCGGCATTCTGAGTGTTATTATGGGACGCATGGGCATGCGTCAAATGCGTTTTTTTAACGCGATTAATGAAAAAAATTAATTAACGTGCGTTAACGCGATAATTTTGACAGCCCTAGTTAATATATATTAAGATGCCAAAGGTCGTCTCAAACCAATGTGCTCCTATTAAACAATTGAAAGTCTGCTGTATGGCCAAAGTCTTCTCACATAGAATCTAGCCATTGTGTTATAAAAGTGATTGCTCATTGTTATTTCCATGACTGTGAGGACCGGGGTCTGAATATCTTTATTCGTATCAGAGCTCAAGGACAGCTGCGTTCGTTGCAGCCTCCCGCTGTTAACGTACTGCTGTTACCTTAAAGCTGCGGAGCTTCCCCTTTTAGTCCAAACTTTATATTATTTAGCTCTCAATAAATCACCAAAAATGATAATAAAGGGTCATATTTCTTGCCTCAAATGCTGTAACCCTATTTATTTAAGTATTGATCAAACCGGTCATCATGTAAGTCTCTGTTGATCCCACTTTAACATTATCAATTATTATTAACAGTTGCTTAATCCTCCTCATTGTTGAAAAAAAAATTGACTCATTTTACAAGGCGTACGCTGCATTTAAAAATAGTCAAAATAAGAGTAATACTAAGCCACAAAAAGCTCCAATGTGTGCGTTTTCCTGCATCGCCCATTCTATCCAATAGGAGATTGAGACTTCCTCTACTACTGCCCCCTGCCATACCCCCTTTTGGTAACGTGGTTGTAACTCAGCAATACAGCCGGTGTTAGCATTGTACAAATGTAATTAGTGTATGGTTGGTACCTGGCTCTGGCCATTGTAAGGGGGTGTCTGTGCCCCGCGAGGCTGATGGTCCAGAGCTGAGGCCTGAGAGCTGTCGTCCTCTGAAGCCCTGGAGGCGGAGACAGACGCCTGGAGAGACACCAGCACAGTTTATCATCTTATATGCTGCTTTATTGTAATTACTTTCCGTCTCTCTCTGGTCTCCGTCTCTCTCTGGTCTCCGTCTCTCTCTGGTCTCCGTCTCTCTCTGGTCTCCGTCTCTCTCTGGTCTCCGTCTCTCTCTGGTCTCCGTCTCTCTCTGGTCTCCGTCTCTCTCTGGTCTCCGTCTCTCTCTGGTCTCCGTCTCTCTCTGGTCTCCGTCTCTCTCTGGTACTCACCTGTGCGTCCTCTGCTTTGGCTCCTGCGTCTGCATTGGTCGTGGTCTCGGTGGGTTTGGTGCTGGGACTCTTCCTACCCTCTCCTCCCCCTTTCCCCCTCTTCTTTCCCCTCTCCCCCCTCCTCCTGTCTCCCCCCTCTCCCTCGCCTCCCCTCTTGTCCTCGTCCTCCTCGTCCGATGCCAGGAAGCTGAACTTAGCCTTCTGTTCCTTGAGGAGCATTTCAATGCGTGAGTCCAGGCTGCTGATGTGGTGCACAAAGGGGAGGCTCTCGTGGGTGGAGTCCGGCTCTGGGGAGGCGGAGCGAGGAGGGGGGGTGGAAGGGGGAGGTGGCGTGGGGACAGGTGAGGCAGCAGAGGAGGTGACAGTGGTGACAGGGGGCGGGGTTTGGCAGGGCGGAGGAGGCGGGGTTTTGGGGGGAACGGGAGGAGTGCTGGGTCTGCGCTTGGGTTTGGTCCACTGCTCTTTGGGACTGTCCAGGGCCTAGAAGGAGAGAAGGAGAAACATTACAGAGCCAGTCCTGAGTCTACAGCCTCAGTCTGGGGGCTACAGCCTCAGCCCTGGATCTACAATCCTGTAATCAGTGTTCTCACCTGAGTGAAGTCCAGCGACTCAGCAACGGCAGCAGCCATGACAGCGGCCGGGGGCAAAGGAGGGGGAGGAGGGGGAGGTGCGGGTGGAGTCTGTGGAGGGTCTGCGGTGGTGACCTGTGGGGGAGCTGGAGGCAGTGCAGAGGGAGGGGGCGACATGCTGTTGGAGGAGGAGCGGCGGGAGTTGTGGCGTGGATCATTGTGGGAGAACTCGTCCCGGTCTCTGTCTCGGTCCCGGTCTCTGTCCCGGTCTCGGTCCCGGTCGTGGCTGGTCCTCCGCCGGCTGCTGCTGTGATGATTGTGGGAGTGGTGGTGGTTACGATGGTGTCTCCCGTGTTCACTTGACCTGAGAAAGCACAGGGTCAGGGGAACTGGCCTTAAAGTCTAAATAATTTATAAATAATCTGTTTATAATCATGATAATAAAAAAATCTGTTTTATATAGTGCTTTCTTGGAAACTCAAAGACTCTTCTCATGTCATTATTCTTTCACTCCAATCACAGTGGTGATAAACTACACTGTAGCCACAGCTGCCCTGGGGCACACTGCCAGAAGTGAGGCAACCAATCTGTGCCATCGGCTCCTCCCACCACCACCAACCATTCACACACACACCAGACTCATTCTACTGTGGGTGAAGTATCTCAGAAGTCTCTCATCAAAGCATAGAGGGTCTTCCCTTCCCTCACTCTGGTCTCCCCTCACTCTGGTCTCCCCTCACTCTGGTCTCCCCTCACTCTGGTCTCCCCTCACTCTGGTCTCCCCTCACTCTGGTCTCCCCTCACTCTGGTCTCCCCTCACTCTGGTCTCCCCTCACTCTGGTCTCCCCTCACTCTGGTCTCCCCTCACTCTGGTCTCCCCTCACCCTCCCTTACCTCTGTCCTGTGCTGTCTCTGCGGCTGTAGCCTCTCTCTTCTCTGTGATGGTGGGAGTGATGGGACGAGTATTTGGACGAGTTGGAGTCCTGCTGGTGGTAAGAGTTCCTCCTGGTGCTCGTGGGCAGTGGTCCTGTCCCATAGGCTCTCTCTCGCTCCATCTCGTACTGGTGCAGAGGGGGAGGGGGCATGCCGGGGTAGGGCGGGTAGCCAGGCGGGTATAGGGGGCGCCCGCGGTAGTGCACAGACTGGTCCTGGAGATCCTCCGGGTATCGCGGGAGTTTGTATCCTCCCACAGAGGACGACACGGCTGAGGAGGAGGAGGAGGAGGGCAGCATGTCCTGAGGAGGGTACCCACTGCCCAGAGAGGCCGAGCTGAAGCCGAGTCTGAACCAGAGCAACACATGCGGTTAGTGACACATCCAGAGACAGATAAGTATCTATCCATATTATATATACATTCTGTGCATCCACTCAATATGCTGTCATGGCACCTCTGCTGTTGTGACCTGCTTATTAGTACTATTTTTAGCCTTTTAGAATGATCAATTTAGTTTGTTATGATTTTTTTCTACGGGGATCAATAAAGTTTCTATCTATCTCGATTTAAAAATCAGCAAACTCAACACCCTGGTGGTGTTATATATAGTGTAGTATGTGGTTCTGTATCCCAACATATTACCCACAACAAACCAGCACTCGAGTATTTACGTAAAGTTAAAAGATAGATTGATTGGAAATTAGGAAGCAAGGCACACGGACCATCAACAGAGATGAGGGGGCTTTCACCTTGGATCACACTTAGCACTTAGGACTCACTTCTCTAGTCTGGTCAGTCTGAGGGATCTGATAGACCTGTCAGACTGACCAGAGACACGTCAACATCACATTCCATCTGGGCCCGAGATAGAATAACGGCCAAGAGGAACTAAAGAAGGACCTGGTACTGGTTAAATAGGACCAGAGGAAACACCGCCAATCAGGGGAGAGTAAAGTAGAGTAGAACAGAGCAGGACCAAGTCAAGCAAACAATTCCCCCTGTGCGACTTGTGACACTGTCTTAAGGTCTGACCTGTTCCCTGCGTATCCTGAGTCCTGGGAAAAGGGCGTCCCAGAGCGAGAGCTGAGAGGGGTCCCTGATCCCCCCTGAGACGAGGAGCTGGACCCTGGGGTGAAGGCCTGGTCCACACGAGGCTCCGTGAAGTCCACAGGGAGAGGAGCCGGAGGAAGAGGAGCCGGTGGGTGAGAACCTGTCGTGAGAGAGCCCGCTGTGAGAGACCCTGTCGTGAGAGACCCTGCTGTGAGAGCCTGGACTCCAGCCGCTAACACGGCCAGCTCACTGGAGAGGCGGCGACGGATTTCTGAGGACTGAACACAAACATTATACATTATTATTGTATGGAACAGGTCTGTAACTCCCTCTGCTGCCACCAGAGGGAGCAGCATCTGCAGTCAAAGCTCCCTGTAACTGCCTATGCTGCCACCAGAGGGAGCAGCATCTGCAGTCAGAGCTCCCTGTGACTACCTCAGCTTAATGGTGCTTTCAGACTAGATCATGCGTTGCGTCGGCTTTCAATGCAAAGTCTTTATGCAACTGCTTCGAGCGTGTTCGCCGATGCGGAAGTACTGTTTAATAATAAAATAAGCTTATTGCACACCTCCGTGAACACATATTACCGTTATATAAAGTTTGTGGAAGGTCTCTGAACAAAGACACCCTGCAAAGCTAAATTATTGGAGAAGAAATTTACACGAGAAGCCGCTAGCATAACTCTGTTAGCATCGGAGCCGGCCGGCTACTTCCGCGACTTCCGGTGCTGGCCAGGACGTTCTGGTGTGAAGACCCCTGCATCTGAAAACTAGAGAATGCGCGTCTGGTGAGCGAGGCTTCAGCGTTTGAGCGTTTGCGGTCTGAAAGCACCATAAGCCCTTCTCTTTGGTCTCCCAGAGAACCCCAGTTTACTCATCAGTAACTGTGTTGTATTCACCGTGTCAGCAGCAGCCAGAGTCGGGACAGGACCCTGGACCTGGGTCTGGGTCTGGGCCTGGCTCTGGACTTGGGTCTGGACCTGCGTCTGGACTGGTGGGGGACCTCTGTTTGTGTCGCTCAGAGCCTTTCCTCCCAGTGGAACTGTCTGAGGAGTGTAGGAGCCGTTCACGATCAGGTCGTAGTACTTCTGCCTCTGCTGGCCTGGAGGGGAACACGCATGGCATATTTGAGACCAGATAGAGACCAGAGAGAGACCAGAAAGGGAGAACAGAGAGAGAGACAAGAGAGAGAGACCAGAGAGAGAGACCAGATAGTAAGACCAGAGAGAGAGACCAGAGAGAAAAATCAGAGCGAGACCCTCACCCTTGATGTCCAGCTGGGCGTGGATAAGGTTTCCCATCACTGAAGTGTTGTGTAGCTGCTTCACGGTGTCTTTGGCTCCTCTGGTGCTGGTGAACAGGACTCGTGCCAGTCCCAGGTGCTTCCTGGTCTTGGGATGGAACAGGATCTCCATCTCCTCCACTTCTCCAAACTTACCGCACATTTCAGCCAGAAACGGCTCTTTGATGTTGTCGTTGAGGTGGGCGAATGTCACCTCTTTGAGCGGGATGGGCCCCACGTAGAACTCATCCAACTGCAGGAGAGAAGCCAATGTTACACTGACTATCAGCTCCTCTACTGTAGAGCAGAGCAGAGTAGAACAGAGTAGAGAAGAGCACAGTAGAGTACAGTAGAGTACAGTGCGGTCTCTTCGGTTCAAACGTTGTGGTGAAACTTGCCTTAAACTTGGGCACTGGGAGAGACATCTCTTTACTCCGAGACCAGAGTCTGCGAGGTCTGGGGTCACGCAGGTCTCCCACTGGAGGAAACCCTGAGTCCTGGACACAACAAGCAAATCCGGGCTATAACAGGCTAAAACAAGTCTAACGCAGGACTAACGCAGGACTAACGCAGACTAAAGCAGGTCCAAAGTGGGTCTAAAGCAGGACTAAAGCAGGTATATAAAGCAGGTATTCAGCAAATCTAAAGCAGGGCTAAAACAGGGAAAAAACAGGGCTGAAGCAGGACTAAGCAGGTCTAAAGGAGGATTTAAGCTTGTCTAGCAGAACTAAAGCAGGTCTAAAGCAGGTCTAAAGTAGCTATAAAGCGGAACGAAAGCAGGTAAAGCAGGACTTAAGGATGGCTAAAACAGGGCTAAAGCAGGTCTAAAACAGGTCTAAAACAGGACTAAAACAGGTCTAAAACAGGACTCACCGGGACACTGAAGTGCACGCCATCGTAGCGGTAGATCTTGTGTGTGACGCGGCGCGTCGCTGGGTCCTGGACCAGTTTGTAGCTTTTCCACTGGAGACTGACGGCTTTCTGACACTCAGCCCCAACATCAGGATCCATCCTATAACTGAAAGACCAGAGAGAAAGACCAGCGAGAGAGACCAGAGAGATACCGGAGGATAAATAGAGATATGAGGTCTTTATACACAGCTCCTTTATTATCCCTTTAAGTGTCAATACTTGAAAAATTACTAAATACTACATCAATCATTTTAAATGCTCTATATGGACATACATAATATATAACTTAAAACAACTCATTCAAGTTCCTCCAATACAGTGTAAAATTTTCATGTAATTATTTCTAGTAGCAATACTTTTTCTATTTAGTATATAATTTCAACACTACTTTTAGCACTCTATACTTTTAATACGTTTGAACCATAGACAGGTTGATAAAAACAATATCCATTATAACGCATACAAACCTCTATCTCCGGGGAAGCAGAAGTACAGATGTACATAAAATACAGATTTACTTTATAAAAGGTTTTATATACAGCCCCCCTCTCTCTCTGTAGTACACATATGTACATTATTACGCCTTCTAACTTTGGTGACGCGCGAGACCGCGGGACGCACGCAGTCGCTGTCAAAACAATGAGCCGTTACGTCACAGCGTCAGTTTGTTAGCACTATGTTAGCATGAAGGCTAACACACAACGAACACCGATAAACGGCTCCTTCTGACGCCCCGAGACCAGATTTCTGTTCCGGACACACACTGGTACACACCCGGCGGGGCACAGCACTTCTACCGCCCCGTAAACACTGGCAGAAAAACACTTTTGGTCTGTGCGAGGACGAGCTGTGAGCGGCTAACGCTAACTAGCCTCTCCGCTATGATGCTCCGGTTAAAATAATCTGTCGTAAAATGAACCAGGCTCTATCCGAGACACAAACAGCGGTTCTAAACACAAACGCGAACCCCCGGAGCCCACTCTAAGCCCGGTCACAACCCGCTGGGTCCTACACCTTGCAGCGACCTCCCGAAGCACCAGGCCCCGATGTAATCACCCACAACAGCGGCCACAAAAACACAGCGACCCGGGAGCCAAAACAAGCCGATCCGAGGAGCTTTCGCGCGGGTTAGGGGAGGTACAGAGACCCGGGTGGCATTCCGACACCCGGCAGAGGCTCTCGGGAACAGCCCGCTCAAGGTTTTCTCCGTGTTTTATGCTAAAATAGTGTAAATGTTGAGTGAGCCGCCATCAAACCGACCTGAAAGCCTCGCCTGTTCTCCATCCGTGTGGCGAATGTGCTCTGAGATTCGACTTGACACTTTCATCACGACCTGTTCACGAAACTCAAAAAGTAAAAAAGCAAGGACGTGCAAAGAAAAAAATAATGCAAAAAAAAACATATTAATTTTAATAATAACGCATGTATTTGGTGTTTGATTTCAGCGCATGGTTTGAGAAGCACGAATCTGCTCGATAAATTCGGACAGAACGTTTGAAGCGCGCTCTAGGCATGGATATGGCTCTAGGCCATATGATGATATTGCTCAATTTACTCTTGTATTTGTGCTTTTTGAGCTTCTTCTAACTTCACACTAACAGATGAATCCGGTTTAGAACAAATTGAAAACACAAAAGTTTCATACTTTAATGCAAAGATGGTCCTCAAACACAGACCCGGAAAAAAAACTTTTACTACTTCCTAAGTATGATAGTAAGTATCAATGATAATCATATTTTAACATTAAATTTATTGTATGACATTTCCCTAATGCCACTTTCAGAGACACCTCGACCTCTCAAGAAATCCCATAGAGTGGTGTCCGTGGTGTCTGGTCCACCCGGTCCTGCTGAAGCCATCGTGTGGAAAATGAAGCTAGCAATGACAGCAACTTTGTGACTATGACAATTTTTTGACTAATAAGGAAGAATTTCATAATAGATGGTTAAAATATTTCTTAATATAATCAAATATTTACCTGTACTGTTGGTGAAAGTTGTAGATGAAACAATGAACTGCATGCAGCCTGCCTCATGAGATTTTTTTTTATTTCATTTTTTATCTCATAATTATGAGATAAAAAATGAAAAAAAAAAATTCTATCTCATAATTATGAGATAACTATCTCATAATTATGAGATAACTATCTCATAATTATGAGATCTTTTTTTTTTTTAAGTGACAACAATGCTCTTCCGTACTCACACACCCAGACCTACACTCATACAAAAATGAACAAAAATAGAATGACATATATTTTATAAAACAATAGCATAACAAAAGGCAAATTTACAATCTCACATACACACCCAAACACACACACACATACACGCAGATGGGGGTGCCCTTGCATATACAGAATAATATTTATGAGCATCTGTAGATGTCCGCTTTGGTGTCTGCACCCCCATAAAGATGAGCTGACATACCTACATGTACATTCCAATTACGGTTTTCACATTCCAAATCTACTTTCAGTTCATAGCTCCCGAAGGGTCTCACTCAGAATATATCACCCGTAAGCATCATCCTATAAATGTATGTGATCCAAGAGCGGATTCCAGCTGAGCTCCCATTTGTGTATGTTCCCTGTGTTTTTCAAAGTCAATGATGTTTACTAGCTTTCTCAGCCAGTTTCTGAAGGATGGTGCTTTTGGACTCTTCCATTCATTTTCTTCTTTATCGATTGCCGGTCGCTGTGAACTTAGACTGAGCTCTGACGGCAGGCGCTGCTCCCTCTTCACCTCTGCCTCTAGAGCTGGATGTCAGGGTCTGATTTGTTCACATCTAACATTTACCAGACTCTTACTGTTGGACAAACTACATGTTAGTTATGTGGAAGTTAGGCACTTGAGCTTTAACAAACTCAAATGAACCCTTTCATTATCAGTTTACCTACAAACACGTTCATTCGAAAGTGTCTTTATCGATCCTTTGACCACTCCTCTGTAACAAGTGGTCAGTGTCTATTTTAGAGCAGAAACTGAACCAGCGCCAAAGGTTCAAATTACCCCCAGGGCAGGGACTGAAAACTTAGATCTCTGTCTGGTCTCTCTCTACTTGCTCTGGTCTCTCCCTTTCTCTGAAAACTCATGATAGAAGCCAAACGTTTTTTAAGTCAGGAACAAGAGATGAATTTCATTACAGAGTTCTAAATTTACGCATCCCAGCTTTAAGGCAATGTTTAAGGAATACTAAATGTCAATAGCAAAATAAACAGATTCTAGTCAGCCAAAACCATATGTAACACAATCAAAACACAAAGCTAATTTGTACAGATTCCAGTGCATTTATTCATTTGCTCAGATAGAAACAGCTGCAGATAAATAAAAAATGTTTTTTTTAAGTTAATTATGAGCATGTCAATACAAATCTTTACAAAAACAATAAGTTTAAAAAGGATTGAAAAGACAAACAGGACTCTGAAAACACGTCTCGGGTCTCTCACTCGGGTCTCTCACTCGGGTCTCTCACTCGGGTCTCTCACTCGGGTCTCTCACTCGGGTCTCTCACTCGGGTCTCTCACTCGGGTCTCTCTGGGTTATAGAGTGTAATGGTGCATGGTGAGCAGAGGGGGTAGCAGCGCTCTGAGCAGCACTTCCTGGTCGAGTCACATGGCCTTCACTTTGATCTGCTTCATCTTCATCTGCTTCTTCTCCATCTTCTTCTGCTCACGGCGCTGAGCGGCCTCCTGCAACAGAAACCAGTTAGAGACCAACCACATCCAGTCATTTCATGTTTTAAATATGAAATAACTTTGGTAAAAAAGATATGGAAAAACAAATGTGAAAGGTATAAAAAGCTCCCTATAACTCCCAATGCTGCCACCAGAGGTCAGAGCTCCCTGTAACCCTGCTCTCTCCGCAGTGTGCTCTCTCACCTCCAGGCGGCGCTGTCTCTCTGGGTCCTCCTCGTTCATGATCCTCTCCTTCTCTGCTCTCTTCTTCTCCTCTCGTCGAGTCTGAGCAGCTTCTTGTCGCTGAGCATGAGTTTGTTTCAGGAAGTTCTCCTCCACACGAGCGCGATTACGGTCCGCTTTCTGCTTCCCCTGGACAGCAGCAAATACACGTCAAGGTCCCCTCTCTCTCGCTGGTCTCCCTCTCTGGTCCCTGTCTCTCTCTCACTGGTCCCTCTCTCGCTTGTCCCTCTGGTCTCTCACCTCTCTGTTGAGTCTCAGTTTCTTCACTTTGTCGATGCTGTAGATCACCATGTTCATCAGCGGGAGCAGAGCGTCCATGTCTTTGGGAGAAGTGTGGCCCATCCCAGGCACTGGACACAGGAAGAGGAGTTAAAGAGAGACCAGAGAGAGAGGCCAAAGAGACTAGTGAGTGCGAGCAGAGAGAGAGAGAGACTCTATTGGATTGTGTTATTTATGAAACAGAAACATTTACCGTTAAATGTAAACAGCAGAGTCTTCTTGGTCTCGGGCAGCTTCAGCGGCTGGCCCTCCCTGCAAACACAAGGGTCAGGAGTCAGGAGTCAGACACACTCACAAACACATGTTACGTTCTCTTACTCTTGCATAATTTTTGGACCAGAAAATTGGTCCGAGAAATGGATGGACTCGATCTTCTCAGCGTTGTTGGTGATGTAGTGTACCATCTGTGGAAGAGAACGTTGAGTTATGAGCAGAGACTGGACAGGCAAGGCTTACAGACTGGGCTCTTGACTGCAGACGCTGCTCCCTCTTCAACACAACAGTTTGATACAGCGCCCGGACCTCTGCACCTGGAGAGGACCAGGACCTCAGCTCCATGTGGTCCAAAGACTTCCTCAGCTCCCTGTGGTCCACAGACCTCCTCAGCTCCCTGTGGTCCTCAGACAGGGACAGGACAAACAGAAGCCTCACCTTATTGTCCATCACCCCGTCTGTGACCTCCCCCATCTCGCTGAGGATGGAGAGGGCATCAGGCAGTCCGAACTTAGCCCCAGACTTGGGCTTGTCTCCGCAGAACTCGCTCTGGACACAAAGGGGACATAGGTCAGAATGGACACGGTCCAGAGTAGATCTGGTGTCGTTCTCACCAGGTCCTGCATCTCCTTCTGCATCCGCGCCATGGCCTTCTTTGTGCCCACAGCGAACACAAATGTGTCCATATCCTCGTCATTCAGCGTCACTTTGACTTGCTGCAAACAGAGATGCGAACGTTAGCAGGTCACAGCTGCTAGCATTAACCGGTCAGCTCAACATTTGAGCCCAACATGTTTGCTCAACATGAAGTCTGGGAATGTTTTATGGGAGTTTTTAAATCGGATTTTTAATCTGGTTCTGTAGTTCAGCCTCCAGTCTAGTGCACCTCTGCTGGTCCCTCCCTCTCTCCCTGGTCTTGTCGCCTACTAGAGGCCATTGTTAGTGAAAGAACATAGACAAACTCACCACTTGATCACACGCAGGCCTCATCATGCGAGCCAGAACATTCAGCAGGTCCTGCCTCTTCAGGAACTGGAACAGAAGCAGTCATTTTAACTCCGGTCTCCCTCTCTCAGGTCGGTCGGTCTCCCTCTCTCAGGTCGGTCGGTCTCTCGCTCACTGGTCTCGCTCACTGGTCTCGCTCACTGGTCTCGCTCACTGGTCTCGCTCACTGGTCTCGCTCACTGGTCTCGCTCACTGGTCTCGCTCACTGGTCTCGCGCACTGGTCTCGCTCACTGGTCTCGCTCACTGGTCTCGCTCACTGGTCTCGCTCACTGGTCTCGCTCACTGGTCTCGCTCACTGGTTTCGCTCACTGGTTTCGCTCACTGGTCTCGCTCACTGGTCTCGCTCACTGGTCTCGCTCACTGGTCTCGCTCACTGGTCTCGCTCACTGGTCTCGCTCACTGGTCTCGCTCACTGGTCTCACCTTGAGCTGTATGAGCATGCCTTCGCAGCAGACCCTGCCAGAGCACCAGAGGTTGTAGATGTGCTCGTTCTCCTGGTTTAAGGTGCCAGTGCTGGTCGCCTCTTTACTGGTGCCGTCGTCTCCTGAAACACAAAGCGTGAGTGAGGACAAGGAGGCGCAGAGTTGACGCACCTCCTCCAGGAGCCACACTCAGACTTCAGTCTCAACTACGAAAGCACACAGCTGCAGGACACACTATTCTCTTTGTACTATTTGTGAAACCATTTTTTTTTCAAATCAAAGTTTGATTCCAACTCCAGGACCTTTCTGCACGGAGTAGGATTCCTTTGGGTGCTCCGGTTTCCCCTATCACTAAATACTAAAAAAATGTACAGTAGGTGAGGATCGAATGAGTGTGATGGAGATTGATATTAGCTCTGGTCCAGTCCACACAAAGAGCCTCAAATCTGTCTAATCTAGCCGTCCAATCACAGAGCTGGACAAGCCATAGGTTAGCTGGTTGTTAGTTGTGGTTAGCTGGTGGTGCTCACCCACGAGGGCGAAGTTGCTCTCCAGTAGCTCTCTGTGGGAGTTGAACCAGGCGTGGGCCAAGCGACTGTTCTTGTTCTTCCCAATGATGTAGTTCATGATGTAGGCCAGCAGCCCAGTCACCATCAGGATCTCCATGTAGTAACTCTCCCAACTGTTCTGCAGGTGAGCAGGCACCTGGGGACAGCACCATGTAAGACCAGAGAGAGAGCAGAGAGAGAGGGCAGAGCGAGAGCAGAGAGAGAGAGGAGAGAGAGACCAGAGAGCAAGAGCGGAGAGAGACCAGAGAGAAAGACCAGAGAGAGCAGAAATAGGTAGAGCAGAGAAAGACAGGCCAAAAATGCAAACCAGAGAGAGCAGAGAGAGACCAGTGAGACCAGTTTACGTGCTTTAGAAACTCGATGGTTTTACCTTGTGGATGATCAGTGGGTCTTTCATGGAGTGTCCAGTCTTCTCCATGTCCCCGATTCCCTCAAACTCCTCCTGGTCATATTTACTGTACAGGTCCTGGTCCTGCGCATCACAAACACACTTTAGAAAGAGTCCTGGTCCTGGTCTGACCCGAGTCCTGGTCGTGATCTGACCCGAGTCCTGGTCTGACCTGGGTCTCTGCGTCTTCAAAGCCGTCGGGTCCTTCGTCCAGCTCGACGGTCGCCTCGTCGTCATCCTCCTCCTCCTCCTCCTCGGCTGGGGGGCTGGAGCGGGGGCTGGCTGTGCCCTCGGGCTGCGATCCCATGTCCTCGCTTAGCTCCTCAAACTCCGCAAAGTCGTTATCATCAAAGTCGGCGAGATCCTCACCATCGTCAAAGTCATCACTGTAGCGCCCTCTGGTGACGGGCAGCACCAGGAGGAAGACCAGCAGCAGTGGCAGAGCGCGCATTGTGCTGAGGACAGAACAGGACAGATACAAGCTGTTTTGTGTGGCTTCACTCTCTGGGCCTCTCACTCTCTGGGCCTCTCACTCTCTGGGCCTCTCACTCTCTGGGCCTCTCACTCTCTGGGCCTCTCACTCTCTGGGCCTCTCACTCTCTGGGCCTCTCACTCTGAACTGTTCCTTGAGAGTGTTTAAGACTGAGTGTAGTATTATCAGGGTTCTATTTGTTTACAGTGATGTCACATGATTTTAATCTCAACTGTAAATGAATGAAACACAAGTTAAACTGCTGAGAACAATAGTGACTGTTTACGGATCAACAATGAGACGTATACAGAAAGGAGACAGGGAGGAGACCATGAAGGAGACGAAAGAGGTGAGAAACCTTTGGTCTGATTTAAGATTAAGAGATCCTTTACTCGTTCTATACTGTTTACAATACAATGTTGCACAAAATAGGTGGATTATTTATTAAACGAACAAGTTGGGTACCCAAGATTTAAGGACCTCTACCCTAGTGTGACGTCACAATTTACCCTTCAAAACCAAGACCAAAGTGAAAAATCGTCAATAAAAAAATACTTTAGACGCATTTCTAACTAATACTAATAGTTTTATCAGTCATGGTAATTGGGAATAGGCAGAATAAAGTGATCATAGTCCAAATACTATCGTAAACTTAAGGTGTTAATACATGACAGGCGTGACTCGACTTCAAAATTAGCTTGACACAGATTTTGGCTAACCCTAGCAACGATAGCAACCCACTGTAACTTCAATAACAGCATTTAGCTAGAGTTTGGATGGTGTTAAACCCGTGTATTATACTTCTCGTGATGACATATGCAGGTTTAAATCCCACTGGAGGAGCTCCCCACCCCCCGGAGATGATTAGGTAGTTAGCCGTTAGCAAATCTGCATTAGCCCGTAAGCTAGCGCCGCGGATGGGGCAGAGTCGTGAGAGACGCGTGTGAAAAAGGGCAGAAATGTGGCAGAAATGTGGGGTAAATGTGGGGTGAACGTGGGGTCCTGAGAGCCGGAGTGAGTGTGGGTGCTCAGCCAGGGTCCGTACCTGTGTGTGGAGGCTGACAGCGGGGTTTGAGGGCACTTCTTGCGGCTCAGATGAGACCGTTTCACCAGCGGATCGCAGCGTTTACTATGAGGGGACCTGAGGGAGGACAGGAGGCATTAGCAGGAGGAGGAGCGATCCAGAGACCAGGGCTCTAAACCCAGACCAAACCCGAGACCAGGGCTCTAAACCCAGACCAAACCCGAGACCAGGGCTCTAAACCCAGACCAAACCCGAGACCAGGGCTCTAAACCCAGACCAAACCCGAGACCAGAGCTCTAAACCCAGACCCAAGTCCCATAACAAATACACATTATCTTATTCATTAGGATAATTATCACATTAAAATACAACAGACGAAACACAGCAGGCTAAGATTTAGTATTTAATAATATTTTATCTTTACAATCTATGGTACGGACTAAAGGATACACATACACATGTATATACACGTAATACATACACACACCAACACACAAACACACACGTACACACACAAACACTCAGAAAGAGACCAGAGATGTTTTATCACTAGATTTGATCTAAAGGCAAAATGTCTTAACTTCATTATCTTTAGATCAGTTGTTTTCAGACAGAAAAGCTTGACTCTCTGGGCTCACTCAACTCACTTTCTTTTGCTCTGAAGCACCAGTCTGGAGCCGGTGTCAGGTGAACAGCTGAAGTCTGAATTTAGTCTTGTGGCGTGGTTTAGAAATTGTCAAATCAGAAAGTTTTTAGAAAGAAACTAACGCTAAATACTATCTACCTATTTATATTGCTATTTAGCTGGTCTCTCTTGTCTGTTACTTTGCTCTCTCTCTGGTCTCTGGTCTCCCTCTTTATGTTAGTATTGTCCATCTATAAACAGCCCGGTTAAATCTTGGGGGTGGAAGCCTCATGTTATGGGGCTGCCTTTCTTCAGCGTGGACAGGGAGGTGTCAAACGGTCCCGTCTCTACTGCCCCCTGCTGTTCATTACACACAACTGCGTTCAACTTCTAGAGTCATTTTTTCTCGGAAAACACAACTGCGCTGTGTTTGGAGTTAGACAAACTCCACTCAATTTACGTTATAAAGACATCGAGGAAAGGTTTAAAACAGTGTAATCCCAAACGTCAACTGTTTTTATTGTGAAATTCGCGACCCGGACGCTGCCTCGGCTTGTGTCTCCAGTCAGTCCTGTCGCTGCGAGCTATGGCAGTCTTTGTCAGCTAATTCGTCATATTTCTTTTCCAAATCCACTATTTATTGAGGTCAAAAGTGCCACTGTCTCGGTCTGCACCTGTGCGCAGCTGAATACACAGAAGCAGCGTGAGAGGCCCCGGGAGGAGGCGGTTATTTTGGAGTTAGCCTGGGTTAGCGTGTTAGCCTGTTAGCTCCGCCGCTGCAGACAGACGTGGAAGATGTCGATGCACGGGAAAAGAAAAGAGATTTACAAGTACGAGGCTCCATGGACCGTGTACGCCATGAACTGGAGCGTGAGGCCGGACAAACGGTTCCGCCTGGCCCTGGGAAGCTTCGTGGAGGAATACAACAACAAGGTAAACAACAGCACTGGCTATTGTCTGCGCCGAGCTAATGCTAACGGGGCTAACGATGCGACTGTTATTTATTAAGATAACTAAAACTGTTATACATTTAATGAAATGAAAGTCAAGGCATTTGTAGCCGTTACATGAGACAGGCGGGTTTCGATTCGGAAGATTGTGGTTCGGCCTGTCACATTGATAACTAGCTGGGTTATATCGAGTCCATTGAACGAAAGTTACGACTGTAACTACGGTTCTATGAATCCTGGATGACCGCCAGAGGCGGTGCTTTAAGCACTGAATGATCATCTTTGAGCATGCGCAGTTCGAGAATTAAATGACAACAAAGTCACTTGTGACCTCCTCGTGACCCCCGTGAGTCTATATAGGTCACGTGACACGAGAGCCCAGCCCCTTTTCACCTCGCAAGCAGACCGTGGCCCTGAGGGACTGGACGCTCTGGCGGTCATCCAGGATTCATAGAACCGTAGTTACAGTCGTAACTTTCGTTCTATTTCATCCTTCCTGACCGCCAGAGGCGGTGCTTTAAGCACTGGATGACAAATACCAACAAGGTCCCGAGGGGTCAACGAGAGGTACACACCCACCTCATAACGTCGAATGGTGCCGCAGCACCCCCTCCAGCGGACCAGGGACCGCCACATTGACCCTGTAGTACGTCGCGAAGGTAGACTGCGACGTCCAGGAGGCGGCCGCACAGACGGCGTCCAGAGGCACACCGCTCATAGCAGCCCAGGAGGCAGAGACGCCCCTGGTCGAATGACCCCTCACCCCAGCAGGCAGCTGGCGCCCATGGGAGAGGTAGCACTGTCTGATCACCTCGACAACCCACTTGGAGAGGCGCTGGGACGACAGAGCCTGGCCCTTCCTGGGGCCGGCATAGCACACGAAGAGGCGATCCGACCCCCGCACACTGGCTGTGGCAGTTCGGTAAACCTCCAATGCCCTGACAGGACAAAGCGGTTCTACAGAGGCTCCAGTACCAAACCGGGCCAAACTAAGTGGAAGGACCGCACCAGTGAACACCTTTGGGCGGAAGGAAGCATCCGGCCAAAGCGTAACCCCCAGACCATTGGGATCCCATCTGCAGCAGGACTCGTGAAACGACAGAGCCTGCAGTTCACTCACACGCTTACCCGAGGCCATAGCCAGAAGAAAAGCGGTCTTAAGGGAGACCCACTTCAGGTCCACACGATCCAGGGGCTCAAACGGGGGAGCCCGCAACGCCTCCAGAACCAACGTCAGGTCCCAGGGTGGAACCATGGGCCGTCGCGGGGGATGAAGACGCCGAGCACCCTTCAGGAACAGGGAAATATCCCCGTTACTCCCCACCGTAGAACCGGCCACACCCTCATGAAAACAAGATATTGCCGCCACATATACCTTGAGTGTAGAGGGAGAGCGCCCCCGGTCCATGAGATCCTGGAGGAACTGCAGAATGGCAGGCACCGGGCAACGCACAGCATCATGTCCCCACGTCAGACACCACTTGTCAAACAGCTTCCATCGGTTGGCGTACTGTCGTCGAGTGGAAGGCGCCCTGGCATTGGAGATGGTGTGGGCGACCCCCTCACCATACCTCGGGACAATTGCACTGGACCCCGCAGTGGCCACACCCAGAGCTGAAGCCGCTCGGGACTGGGGTGCAGGAGCCTCCCCCCCAGCTGGGACAGGAGATCCCGCCGTCGGGGCAGCGGTCTCTGAGAGCCGCAGCAGAGCCTGTGCAGCAATGGAAACCAGATCCGGCCCGGCCAGAACGGAGCTACCAGGAGAAGGTGGTGCCCCTCCTGGAGAACTCTCAGGAGGGTTGGGAAAATCAGTGGCAGAGGGGGAAACGTAGAGCAGCGTACTGGGCCAATCGTGCGCCAGCGCATCCAGGCCCAGAGGGCAAGCCACGTCCGTCAGGGAAAACCACAGCGGGCAGTGGGTCGACGCCTCCGACGCATACAGGTCCACCTCGGCCTGGCCAAACATAGTCCAAATGCTGGCCACCACCTCCGGGTGGAGACGCCACTCCCCGGGCTGGGGGCGTTGGCGGGACAGAAGGTCCGCCACCACATTGTGCACCCCCGGAATGTAGGAGGCCCTCAAGCTTGCCAAGCGCAGGGCTGCCCACAGCAGTAGCTCCCGGGTCAACCGCAACAGCGTCACGGACCGGGTACCCCCCAGGTGGTTGACGTGATGCACCACCGTGGTGCTGTCGGACCTCATTATGACATGCCGGCCACGCAGTCGTGGGAGGAAGTGCGCGAGAGCAAGGCGGACCGCCATGAGCTCCAGGGCATTCACATGCAGCCGGCGGACCTCTGGAGACCAAGTCCCCTGTGCCATCCTGCCCTGCCACGTCGCCCCCCAACCAGTGAGGGACGCATCGGTGTGCACCACCTCCCTCCGAGACGGAAGAGAGCCCAGTGGGACACCTCTCTCGATCCAAGACCTGTCCCGCCAACAGGATAGGGACTCCAGGCACTGCGGCGAGAGCAGGAGTCTGCGTCGCCTGTGAATGAAGCGTGACGGATCTAAACGCAACCCGTTCAGCCACATCTGCATGGGACGAAGGGAGAGAAGGCCCAGCGGCACAACGGCAGAGGCCGCCGTCAACTTCCCCAAGAGGCTGAGGTACAGTAGGAACGGCAACGCCCGACCCCGCTGAAATCTGTGGAGCATGTCCACAATGCCATTGACCCGCAGAGCCGACGGACGGGCGGTCATGGCAACCGAATCTAGGTACACCCCCAAGAAAATCGTTGCCTGAGCCGGAACCAAATTGCTCTTGGCAACATTGACCCGCAGACCCAAACGCCCAACGTGGTCGAGGACAGTCTGAGTGTCCCGAACGGCCTGGGCACGACTGGAGGCGCACACGAGCCAGTCGTCCAGATAAGGCAGGACCCTCAACCCCCCTGCCTGAAGAGGGGCCAAGGCCACCGCAACGACCCGGGAAAAGACCCTGGGGGACAGGGACAGCCCGAAGGGGAGCACCCGAAATTGATAATGCCGCCCCTGGAAAGCAAAACGCAGAAACCGCTGGTGATGCGGGGCAATCGGCACGTGAAAATAAGCATCCTTCAGGTCGATGGATGTGAACCAATCGCCCGGAGATATTGCCTGCAACAGCTCCGGGGTCCTCAACATCCGAAACGATAGCGTCTTGAGGAACACATTGAGGCCCCGAAGGTCCAAAACCGGACGCAAGTCGCCAGTTTTCTTCGGAACTAGAAAATAAATCGAATAAAAGCCCCCTGGGTCCAGCAGGGGGTCCACAGGCACTATAGCCTCCTTGTCCAGCAAGGTGGCAATCTCTACGGACAGTGCCAGTGTCCTGGCCCGGTCGTGGATCACAGTCCACCTGACGGGGCCAGGGACCGCAGGCCGACGGTGGAACTGGAGAGTGTACCCCCGGGAGAGCGTGCCCAACACCCAGAGGTCTGAGGTGTGAGCGGTCCAGTAGTCCAACTGCTCCCGGGTAAAAGAACCCACCGTCAGCGGCCTGACCTCATCTCCGAGCCCCCCGTGGCCTGGAGACCCCGGGGGGGCGCCCGAGAGCCCGTGCGTTCTGGGGAGGCCGCCGGGTAGAAGGCCGAAATCCCCTATGGTCAGGCGGAGGGACACCTGGTGGCCGCGAACCCCTAGGAAAGGGCTGTGGAACACCATACACCCGCGGAGTAGCAGCAGGAGGGGCAACCCGTGGAGAGGCCCGCCGGTGCAGCCCAACCAGCTGGTCACGCGTCCGGGTGGCCTGCGCCGTGCGCTCCAGCGCCTGAAGCGCAGCCGCACCAAAGAGCTCCCCCGGAAGCACCGGAACACTCCGGAGAGTCCTCCTACAGGGCTCAGTGAGGGGTGACTGTGCCAACCACACCTGCCGACGTGTCTGAGTCAGGGTCGACAGCAGGCGGCCCAGTTCCCGCGACATAAGGGCAAAAGCGTGGAGGGACGCATCCAACAGTCCCTGGGTCAGGGCATCGACTGTAGAAACCTCCAATGCGTTCGAAAGGCCCAGTAACAAATGGGAAAGAGAGTTCCCCATGCGCCCCATTCGCGCCCCAGTATCGTACGCCCGACACAGCAGCACATCTGTGAGGCGACACTGGGGGTTAGGGCACCTCGGATCAGACCGGAGGGCCTCCTCCGGCGAAACAATCAAGGAGGCCACTGCCGGCTCGACGGGCGGCATGTGGCCCAAGCCAAATTGGGGGGCATCCTGCATTGAAGCCAAAGCCCGGCCATCGGACGTCAGTCTGGACATAGCCTTTGTATCCGTCCAGCATGCACGTAACTCCTTCACGTACTCCATCGAAGGAGGCACAGAGACAGAGGGAAGGGGCCGCTGTCGCTTAAAGAAGGCGCTACCAGACGGCACAGTTCCCTGCGGGACATCAAGCCCCAAGTGGGCGAGTGCAGAGCGGACGGCAGAGGACGCCCCACTCTCCTCTCCGTCCAGGCACCCCGTGGACGCCAAGGAACCAGCGTCAGAGGCCCTGGAATCAACCTCCTCAGGGTCAAGACGAAAATGAGTGTCAGATGCAGCCACAGACATCACATCGTCCTCCCACAACGGGGCCAGGTCCGGCACAGGAGGGCCCAGCACATGTTCCCCCGAAACCGGGCGAACATCCTGCAGAAGTGCCTTCATTTGGGCCATCTCGGACGCAAGGTGGTCCATCCGTGCAGACAACCCTGCAGGCACCCTACGCTTCCTCTGCGGAGCCGAGGAAGCAGTGGACACAGCCGCACGCTTAGACCCAGAGGGCTGGGCAGCAGGCGGCAGGCAGGGCGGCACCTCCGAAGAGCCCTCATCCGGATCCAGGGCCGCCAGGCGCTCCACGCGTACAGAGAGTGGCAGTACCGCACAATTGGAGCAGGCGTCCACCGTCAGGCCCTGTCTCAAATGCCCGATACCCAGGCACGCAGGGCAGAGGTCATGGCCATCCTCGCGGGGCATCGGTGCCATGCACCCACGGCAGCCCAGTGACTCGTGCATAACGAGCGCGCCTGAACTGGTGGAGCAATGTACGCAGAGTCGGGTCAAGCTGAAAACGCCACAGACGACTCAAGCACACAGAGAAAACCAAACAACCGAACAGAGGGCGAACAGTCTAACTGTTGGTAAAGAAAAACAAATGTTAGCATAAACTGAAAACAGAAGAGCCAACGAAAGTATACAAACACACAATTTGGGCCAACGAAAGAGTCCGGTGGGGCAGAGAACGCCACACTCGCCTCCACAACCAGAGCAATATCAACAAACTGAACAGAAATCGAACAGTATAACTGCTGATATAAAAATACGCTAGTACAAACTGAAAACAGAAGACTAGACGAAATAATGCACACACGCACCCAACGTGGGCCGAGTAAAGAGCCAGGTGTGGCAGAGGACACCACCCACGGCTCCCCAAACAGAGCAAAAGTAACACACTGAACAGAGGACGACCAGTATAACTGCTGATAGATGAAACAAAACGCTAGTACACACTGAAAACAGGAGACTAGACGAAATGTACACACAAACACAACGTGGTCGGGGCAGGGAACGCCACACACACGACTCAATTAACACCGGCCAAACAGAGCATAAACACAAACTGAACAGAAAACGAACAGTATAACTGTGGACATCAAACGTCAGCTCACTCCGAAAACGGAAAGCTCAAACTAAGAATCACACGCACACACGTGGACAGAACTCACCGGTGAGCCGGCGGAGCTTGCACAGCCCCTGAGGGGCGAGATCCCCCCGCTGCCTCGACGCGAGTCACGGAGCTGATGTGCAAGCAGGACGTATGTGGTAGGTAGGTAGCACAAACGCTCAACACACACGCACAACTCAAACCTGCGCTGCGAGAAGAAGAAAAGAGGCTGGGCTCTCGTGTCACGTGACCTATATAGACTCACGGGGGTCACGAGGAGGTCACAAGTGACTTTGTTGTCATTTAATTCTCGAACTGCGCATGCTCAAAGATGATCATTCAGTGCTTAAAGCACCGCCTCTGGCGGTCAGGAAGGATGAAATAGAACGTTCTGTTATTGGCAGTACTCGGGCTGATGCCAATCAACTCCTCATCCTTCCCAATTCTTTTGTGTGCTGTAAAATGTTCATGGCACGGGGCAGTTCCAGATAACACGCGTTTAACGAGAAGGGAAGGTTAGAATTCAGGTCCACGTTAAGTATGGAGCGTGTGCAGTGGTCCTTTATTGGATTGTTGTGGTGAAGAGGGAGCAGCGTCTGCAGTCAGAGCTCTGTGGCCCCTCCCTCATCTCTGGTCGTGAGCTTTGAGTAACGACTGGAAGGATGAGATTGTGGATATAAGCGCTCCACTTGAGATTCCTAATTATTTGGTTTTGCTTTAATAGAAAATTACAAGAATTAGATTGAAAATCTTTGAGAAAAATATTTTGAAAAAAAAAAACAATTATTTGTTTTCCACTCAGATTGCGCAGCTGTAATACTTATAGCATAATAGTTACATAGAATAGTTTGGTGTTACCAGTTTTGGCTGGTGCTTTGGCAAACACTGGTTCATAGCTTCATCCACAAATGTCTGGTACAAACACCTTCAAACCCAGTCTGTCTAAAGGCTTCTGTCTCAAACCCTCTGACTTTTGGTGAATCCTCATACTGTTGGGTCCTGCTCAGAGTTGTTTTCTTATTAAAGTGTGTCCCTGTGTGTGCCCCAGGTGCAGTTGGTGGGGCTGGAAGAGGAGAGTTCTGAGTTTGTCTGCAGAAACACGTTCGATCACCCGTATCCCACCACCAAGATCATGTGGATCCCCGACACAAAGGGAGTGTACCCCGACCTTCTGGCCACAAGCGGGGACTACCTGCGTATCTGGAGGGTGAGGCCCTGTTGTCCTCTGGGGCCGAGACATGTCCTCTAGGACTGGTCTCTCTCTGGTTCTGACCATGTGTCCTGTTTGTGCCACAGGTCAGTGACACAGAGACTCGGCTCGAGTGTCTCCTCAACAACAACAAGAACTCAGACTTCTGCGCTCCTCTGACCTCTTTTGACTGGAATGAGGTGGACCCCAACCTGCTGGGTCAGAACTCTACACACACACTAAACACATACACACACACTACAAACTGATGGACAATGCTAACATTCAAGCTCAATGAAGCCCAATACGTTAGTACCATTTTGCTCTGGCTCCTATTGACTTTCATATAGAAATAAACTCAGTAACTGTTTGTCATATTCACCATCTCTGTGATCCTGGTGTTTATATGTGATATTTCCATAAGTAAGTAGCCATACAAGAACTAACCAATCAGAGGCCTTCAATCAGAGGCCTTCTTTCAGGGGGAAACTCCAACATGTCTGCACCTGTTACAGCTCTACAGCTTTTGTTCAAATACTGTGTGTGTGTGGTACAGGCACCTCCAGCATCGACACCACGTGTACCATCTGGGGCCTGGAGACAGGTCAGGTCCTGGGCCGAGTCAACCTGGTGTCGGGTCACGTGAAGACACAGCTCATCGCCCACGACAAAGAGGTGAGAGGAACTCCTGATGTGGTCTCCTCTCTCTGTCTCGGTCTCTGTCTCTGTCTCGGTCTCGGTCTCGGTCTCTGTCTCTCTCTCTGTATCTCTCTATGTCTCTCTCTCTCTCTGGTCTCTCTCTGGTCTCTCTCTGGTCTCTCTCTGGTCTCTCTTTGACTCCTTCCTCTGACTCCGTCCTCTCTGACTCCGCTCCTCCCTGACTCTGCTCTTTTCTAACTCCACCCCCCTCTTTGTTAAACTTTTATACTTCTTTTTTATTATTTTCAAGATAGAGATTTTATACTTGTTATTTTGATGCTAGAGTTAAAGATTTTGTTTTATTTTTATTAGTATAGAGTTATTGTTCACTTATCTTGTGCTGTGTGCTCCTCTTTCCTACTGTTTTGTAACTTGTGATGCAACACTGAAATTTCCCCACTGTGGGACGAATAATCTTAATCTCTGACTGCGTCCCTCAGGTGTATGACATCGCCTTCAGCCGGGCTGGAGGGGGGCGGGACATGTTTGCGTCTGTGGGGGCTGATGGTTCTGTTCGAATGTTCGACCTGCGGCACCTGGAGCACTCCACCATCATCTATGAAGACCCTCAGCACCACCCTCTGCTCAGACTCTGCTGGAACAAGCAGGACCCCAACTACCTGGCAACCATGGCCATGGACGGCATGGAGGTGAGTGCGGGCCTGGGTCTGTCTAGTTCAGTCTGGTTTGACCTGAGTCGGTCCTGGTTTCGTCTGGTTTCGTCTGGTTTAACTTGGGTCAGTCTTGGTTCAGTCTGGTTTGGCCTCTGTCAGTGCTGGTTTAGTCTGGTTGGTCCTGGTTTAGTCTGGTTGGGCCTAGTTGGTTCCAGTTGGTCCTGGTTTGGCCTGATTGGACCTCATGTCTGGTCTCTGCAGGTGGTGATCCTGGACGTGCGAGTGCCCTGTACTCCGGTGGCGCGCCTCAATAATCACCGTGCCTGTGTCAACGGCATCGCCTGGGCTCCTCACTCCTCCTGCCACATCTGCACCGCGGGTAAATCTGCAGCTCCTCACTCCTCCCACATCTGCAACCCAACGGCTGTCTTGTGTCCTCTGTCTCAGTCCACTATCTTTGTCTCAGTCCTGTGTCTTTGGTCTCAGTCCTGTCTCCTCTCTGTCCACTATCCCTGTCTCAGTCCACTATCCCTGTCTCAGTCCTGTGTCTTCTGTCTCAGTCCTGTGTCTTCTGTCTCAGTCCTGTGTCTTCTGTCTCAGTCCTGTGTCTTCTGTCTCAGTCCACTATCCCTGCCTCAGTCCTGTGTCTTCTGTCTCAGTCCTGTGTCTTCTGTCTCAGTCCACTATCCCTGTCTCAGTCCTATGTCTTCTGTCTCAGTCCTGTGTCTTCTGTCTCAGTCCACTATCCCTGTCTCAGTCCTGTGTCTTCTGTCTCAGTCCTGTGTCTTCTGTCTCAGTCCTGTGTCTTCTGTCTCAGTCCACTATCCCTGTCTCAGTCCTGTGTCTTCTGTCTCAGTCCTGTGTCTTCTGTCTCAGTCCACTTTCCCTGTCTTCTGTCTCTGTCCTCTGTCTCAGTCCTGTGTCCTCTGTCCTCAGCGGACGACCACCAGGCTCTGATCTGGGACATCCAGCAGATGCCGAGGGCGATAGAGGACCCCATCCTGGCCTACACCGCTGAGGGGGAGATCAACAATGTCCAGTGGGCCTCCACACAACCAGACTGGATTGCCATCTGCTACAACAACTGCCTGGAGATACTACGGGTGTGAGGGAGGAGGGTCGGGGTCCTCTAGGTGTGCGGAGGAGGGAGGGAGAGGTCCCCCAGGTGTGAAGGAGAGAGATGGGAGGGGGGTGAGAGTTTGGGTTGGGGGCAGAGGGGAGGTAGGGAGACAGAAGGGAGACACGAAGGAGACGGGTGGGAGGAGACTGGGGAAGACACAGGAGAGAGGGGAGGGAGGAGACACGGGGGATAGGGGAGGGAGGGGGGTGCGGGGAAACCGTCCGGACTCTGGTTCAAAGACAGTTACAGTCACATTTCTCAGTCCTGAGTCCTCAGTCCAGTTTTCTCTGTAAAAACAAACTGGTCTGATCAGTGTACTTACTTCTTGTTCTGTTTCTACATGATGCAGTTTATTTATGTCATTATTTTTATGTTATTTAGTCTTTTATGTGAGGAGTTCTACCTCTGACTTCCAGAGCAGTCCTTTTGACTGGACAGTTCAACAGAAGCCATCGTTGGTCGGCATCACTCTATGGCAGTTAAAGGTCCTGGTTTTGAGGCCAGTGCTAGTTACCATGGCAACACACTGTTTATGGTTACCGTTAGCATAAGACTTTGTACAGACTGTTTGTGTGTTTGTTACCTTCACCAGTTTTAGCTCTTATTAAACTTATTAAATATAAACGGCTTCAATTTAATAAAACTACTGTCAAACTCCATTGATTTGACTGGGAGTCGTCAAAAGAACTGCTCTGAGAGAGAGACCAGAGAGAGACCAGAGAGAGACCAGAGAGAGACCAGAGAGAGACCAGAGAGAGACCAGAGAGAGACCAGAGAGAGACCAGAGAGAGACCAGAGAGAGACCAGAGAGAGACCAGAGAGAGACCAGAGAGAGACCAGAGAGAGACCAGAGAGAGACCAGAGAGAGCGTGTTTTGGTTTGCTCTGTTCAAACCAAACACAGTCTGGTTTCTCAGTCAAAGGAGTGAGCTTCAGGTTCAGCAGCTGTGGAGACTGACTTTTATCCAGTCAGAGACGAAACATCCAAACTTACGCTGGGCACAACGTTATTTATATAGGGCTCCGGTTGCCCTGGTTCCTGTTCCCATGGCGACCACTGCAGGTGCATGATGAAGAATAACTTTGTAATGATTGTTCTGATTGGGTCAAAGTATTTAAAACAAACAGAAGAATTGACTGCTTTATACAGAACGTTTATGAACACAACTCTGCAGTGTTTGACCCGGTTCAGTCCCGGTTCTGTCCCGCTGTATAATTCTTCTGGTCTTTGTTGGTTCAGTTTTGTGCATGTTTCTGTTCAAACTGCAACTGCTGATCGTTTTTCTGGTACCTGTCTGGTCTCTCTGCTCTGTCTGGTCTCTCTATGGTCTCTCTCTGGTCTCTCTGCTCTGTCTGGTCTCTCTATGGTCTCTCTCTGGTCTCTCTGCTCTGTCTGGTCTCTCTATGGTCTCTCTCTGGTCTCTGTCTGGTCTCTCTGCTCTGTCTGGTCTCTCTGCTCTCTCTGCTCTGTCTGGTCTCTCTATGGTCTCTCTCTGGTCTCTGCTCTGTCTGGTCTCTCTATGGTCTCTGGTCTCTCTGCTCTGTCTGGTCTCTCTATGGTCTCTCTCTGGTCTCTCTGCTCTGTCTGGTCTCTCAATGGTCTCCTCTCTGGTCTTTCTGCTTTGTATGGTCTCTCTGGTCTCTCTGTCTGGTCTCACTGAGAGTTTGTACAGCTATATTTACTGACTGGAATAAAACTGGGAAAAGCATTAAAAGGAGATTTTCCAGTTTTAAAAATGAAAAACAAATGATGGTTTTGTTTTGACATTTCTTTTGTATTTCCTCTAAAGCAGGTGTACTGTGTAAATATGAACTCTGAGGTCATGTGTTTTTCACTAAAGTTTTATTGGATTTACTCAAAATAAAGTGTGTTGGTTCATGATCTGTGTGCGTGTATGTTAAAAACACTGCATGGTCCTTTCTTATCTGCGGTGGGCAGGACAGGTGGAGGTGAAACATTTCTCACAAACTTAAGTCCAAATGTTTTCAGTGTTACAGTCACGTTAGATATCCTCCCTGTTGAGTCAATTTCTGCCTCTAGGTCACCTCATCTTTGGTAAAAAACGTAATACAGGTAGGGGGCACTCGGATTTGAACCGAGGACCTCTTGATCTGCAGTCAAATGCTCTACCACTGAGCTATACCCCCTGCGCTGATGCGTCCGTGGTGTTTTTTGGAAATAAAACATAACAGTTAGTCGGCTGTGGCCAAAAGGGGGCGACGTAAACACCAACAGCGCTTGTATAAAAAGTCGCAAAAGTGGTGTGAGATTTTAAGCAACACTTTTAAGCAACTTTTGTTAAAGTTAAACTCATCATTCTATCAATGTGCATAAGCCAGTACTTTTCCCTTGTTTTGTCTATCTGAAGGCCAAGCTACATGGCACCGTGGAAGCTGCTGATTGGAGGTCTCCAATACACTTGCATTCTATTGTATCTGTGTTCGTGTTCGTGCTGTCTCTACCATCGACAATAAAACATGTCTTCTGTCTGAATTAAAGACGCGATCCCAGACTATGCCATCTTCTTCAGTGGTTATCTCAGAGGACTTGACAATACTGTTGAAATTACCAACACAGATTAGTTCAAACACGGAGAATTTAGAACACATGCTATTGGTCCATCTACAATAACATTTAAAATAGTGAGAGACCAGATAGAGAGACCAGAGAACGAACAGAGACCGGAGAGACTTTCCTCCAGGTCTGTGATGTCAACTGCGATGGGAGATGAAGTTCTTGTGGGTGTTATTTCTGACCTCTAAATGCTCGTGATTCCTTCAGTCTCTGGTGAAGGACGATGTCTTGTTTTTGAAGCCGTTTGATTTTCATGTTGCAGATGAAGTTTGAACATGATTTCACCTTTTACAATAATAAATTGTTCATACATATATATATATATATATATATATATATATATATATATATATATATATATATATATATTAGCTACTGAAAAAGGTTCCATTAACAAACGCATTTTGTGCAGTGTGTGGTGCAACTCTACTTCACTGAAGTCAAAACATCAGTAAATTTGCCTCTAGTCCATGTGGATTCAGGCTGCAGTACCGCGGGTGGCCTCTAGTCTGATTTATACTGAGAAAGTGTGCTCAGTATAAATGAGTCTCCGGTCTGTGTTTTATTATGAAGGCTTGGGGCTGTGTGTGTTTTATTGTGAAGGCACGGGCTCGCGCGCCGGGGCGGACCGCTCAGTCTCGCGCCGCTGTGGAGGATGCTCACGGGGCCCATGTCTCTGCTTCCACCGATGGACCACACTGTCACCCCCGGCTCGGAGAGCGCATACACAGCCCGGGTGAGAGCCTGTGCCCTGAACAATGGACGCAGATGAGGAACGGTACAGCAGTCCTCGCGAGGAGGAGAGAGGGGGGAGATGGGGGAGATGGGGGAGGAGGGGGGATGGGGAGGGCTGGGGCGCGGTGCAGACGCGCAGGAAAACCGGCTGTGATTGTAACGCGATGACCGCATGAGATCTGCCTTATCACCGATGGATGGAGGAGGAGGAGGAGGAGGAGGAGAGGAGGAGATAGGAGGTTGATAGAGAAGGAAAAGAGGAGAAAGGAGGTGAGAGAGGAGGAGAGGAGAGAGGGAAGAGAGAGGAGGTAAGAGGAGGAGGAAAGAGGTGATGGGAGATGATTGACACGTCCTCCTCCAGCCATAGTGCCAGCTCCATGCGCCTGTTTTACTGTGTGTGTTCTAACTACTCTATACTCTACTCTACTCTACTCTACTCTACTCTACTCTACTCTACTCTACTCTACTCTACTCTACCTGGTTATGTTTCCATTGCACTTTAGTACAGGGGTGTCCAAACATTATAGTAAGAGGGCCACATTAGTTCAGTCCAGGAGCCGACGTTTTGACTGGCATCGAGCTGTTCTGAGCTTTAAAATGATCTTAAACGAGCTGAAGTTGGCTGAATGACAATTGTTACCATCTCATCGCTACAGTAGGACCATTAACAGAAGTTTGTAATAAAAAACCACGTCAGAACAGTACGGACACGTAAGTGGGGCTACTTTGGGTTAGCAAGGCAGAGGGCCACATGTCATGACACTGATGGCCGCAATTGGTCCCAGGGCCTGAGTGTGGACATGCCTGCTTTAGTATATGGTACTGTATCCTATAGCAACCAACCCACAGGAAACCAGTACCCAAGAAAATTCCTTGGTATCCATGGCTTTAACAGCACTCTGGCCATTCACTGTCAGTTAGAACACGTTAGTACCAGCTCGGCCTGGAAAGAACCAGGACCAAGAGGGACTAAAGAAGGACCCAGTGGTAACACAGGACCAGAGGAAACACACAAAGAGGGTAGAGTAGAGTAGAGTAGAGTAGAGTAGAGTAGAGTAGGAGTGTGAGCTAATCGTTATCGTGAGCACATCGTATCGTATCGTGAGGTAACCTGAGGTTCCCACCCCTAATGTAGAGTAGAGTAGAGTAGAATAGAGTAGAGTAGAGTAGAGCAGAGTAGAGCAGAGCAGAGCAGAGCAGAGCAGAGCAGAGCAGAGTAGAGTAGAGTAGAGCAGAGCAGAGCAGAGCAGAGTAGAGTAGAGTAGAGTATAGAACAGAGCAGAGCAGAGCAGAGCAGAGCAGAGCAGAGCAGAGTAGAGTAGAGTAGAGTAGAGTAGAGCAGAGCAGAGCAGAGCAGAGCAGAGCAGAGCAGAGCAGAGCAGAGCAGAGCAGAGTAGAGTAGAGTAGAGTAGAGTAGAGTAGAGTAGAGTAGAGTAGAGTAGAGTAGAGTAGAGTAGAGTAGAGTAGAGTGGACTTCAGGACAGAGACCAAAAACCAAGTCCAAAGACCAGAAAGAGACCTGAGAGAGTGAAAATGAGGAAATATCCTCACAGCCTGTGTATCTAGGCTGCAGTACTGCTGGTGGCCTCTAGTCCATGTGGAGACAGGTTTAGGCCTTAGCACCCTCCACATAGTACCACACACCCATGGTCTGTGTCTAGTCTGTGGTATGGCTCCACATGTTGTTAGGTGTAGCGGTTCTTCTGGCGCCCCCTCCTGTTGCCTGCATCGCTAACACTGTTCTTGTGTGTTCCAGGTCTGGCCTCAGTGAAACCCACCGTGGAGACCCGAGCTCCATGCACAGTGTCTGCCCCTCCTCCCCCTCACCCCTCACCCCCTCCCGCTTACACACAACCTCCCCCTTTCACACCCCCTCCTCTCTCACTTCAACCCTTTTTAAACTTCACAAAATCACAAAAACAAAATTCTCAGAGTGCACAAATGTAGCCTGACTGTGAGACAGAAGGAAAATGACAGGAATCATCTGCACAATTCGTTCACAAGTTGAATGAGAGTTTTATGGTTTGTAGACGACACAAAAAAAAGTAGTTTAGAAGTGAACCGCAAAGATGATGTGTGAAGTGATGCCCACCATCTCTGAGGGCGGGCAGGCCTCTCCCGGGCTTGGTGGAGGAGGAGGGGGAGGCTTTGCGGGGGGGAGGGGGGCAGGCGAGGAGGCCAGCAGCACGGGGAACCTGGAGTCTCTCATGGTCAACATGCTGACGGAGCGAGAGCGCCTCCTGGAGAGTCTCCGCGACACACAGGACAGTCTCAGCACGGCCCACCTGAGGCTGCGCGAGCTGGGCCACGAGAAGGACAGTCTGCAGAGGCAGTTGTCCATCGCCCTCCCCCAGGTGAGACCCCGCCCCAGGTGAGACCCACATTCTGACCTGGACCCGAGCAGTCCGGAGATTTCAGGGGATTTTGCGAATGAATTGTGATATTGTTTCTCTGATTGTAGATTGTTCTATGATGTGTCCAGTGTTAAAGTCCTCAGAACTTTAAGGGGAACCTCTGATGCGGTTCACCTTTTGAGGCTCTTTCTGGTCTCTCTCCCTCTTGTTTCTCTCTCTCTCTGGTTTCTCGCCCTTTCGTCCCTCTCCCTCTGATCTCTCTTTCTCTGTCCTCTCTCTCTGGTCTGTCTCTCTGGTCTCCTTCTGGTCTGGTGTCTCTCTGTGGTAACTGTGTGTGTCTGTGTGTGTGTGTGTGTGTGTGTCTCCCCCTGGTGGCCGTGCAGGAGTTTGCCGTTTTGACCAAAGAGTTGAATATGTGTCGAGAGCAGCTTCTGGAGCGAGAAGAAGAAATCTCTGAGCTAAAGGCGGAGCGCAACAACACCAGGGTGAGTTAGACCTGCGTTAGAAAGACTTTAGAACCGCTTTAGACCTGCTTTAGACCTGGTTTAGACTTGCTTTAGACCTGCTTTAGACCTGGTTTAGACCTGCTTTAAACCTGCTTTAGACCTGCCCTACACCTGCTTTAAACCTGCTCTACACCTGCATTAGACCTGCTTTAGAAATGCTTTAGACCTGCTTTAGACCTGCCCTACACCTGCTTTAGACCCGGTTCACACCTGCTTCTCTCTCAGCTCCTCCTGGAGCACCTGGAGTGTCTCGTGGCTCGTCATGAGCGCAGTTTGAGGATGACGGTGGTGAAGAGGAGGAGCCCTGGCGTCTCGTCTGAGGTGGAGGTGCTGAAGGCTCTGAAGTCTCTGTTCGAACATCACAAAGCTCTGGACGAGAAGGTCCGAGAGAGACTCAGGCTGGCACTGGAGAGAGTCTCTGCCCTGGAGGAGGAGCTACAGACCTCCACACAGGAGGTAAGACCTGGACCAGGACCATGGCAGGGCCAGGATCAAGTGTTGTGTCTTTAAAATGCGGACCCCAAAGCAGAGTTGAGACAGCTGACAAAGAACAAAACATTTATTTACAGTCCAAAACAAAGTATATTTACAAGCGGGCAGCTGTGGTGACAGAGGCTAGCGAGGTGAGGCAAACCAGGATCTAGAAAAAGACCGGGGAAATTATAGAAATAGAAAAAAACACAGGAACAAGAGCTCAAGAAAACTACTGCATGTGACGAAATTATCTGACACTGACGAGCAGTCCAAACTGAGCCAGGTGCAAAAGGGCTGCAGGTGAGTCTGCTGCATCCTCCAGCCACGCCCCATCACCACAAGCTCTGCAAACACAAACAAGAAGGGAGGGGGAGAGACAGAACAGCATAACCCCCACACCAGCGACCAGGACCAGGACAGGACCAGAGAGAGATGAGAGACCAGGCCCAGAACCAGGACCAGAGAGAGACCAGGAACAGGACCAGGACAGGACTGAGACCAGGACCAGGTGTAGTCACAATCCTGACGCGTGTTTTCACAGGTGGGGAGTCTCCGGGAGCAGATCAAACGCCGACAGCAGGGTCTGGACAACGGCAAAGAGGTGTGACATCACCACCGTGTGACATCACCAACATGTGACATCACCATCGTGTGATGTCCTTATAAATACTTTTATTTCATAGTGTTAACTTAGTGCTGTAACAGCTAACGGTTGGCATGATGGAGTTTCCCTCATGAATGAAGGCCTCTGATTGGTCAGTCCTTATGGCTCATATCTGGATTTACAAAGACAATATCACAATAATAGTATACAAATAATTGCATTTTATTTATAATTAACATATACAAACACATCTCAAGGTTCTACAGAAACTCAATCAAAACAAAACAATGTAAGCACCAGGATCACAGAGAGTGGTTTACTTTCACATGGAAGTCAATAGGAGCCAGAGAGAGGAGCCAAACTTCACCACAAGCACTTCCCTGTTGGGCTTCATTGAGCTTGCGGGTTAGAATTGTCCATCTACATACAGTCTGTGTTAGCATTGTCCATACAGGTGGTTTGTACAGTTGATGGCGTCTGTGACTCACTTGCGCCCCCTGTGGTTGTCTCAGCGCCTGCCGAACGGACCGTCGTCGCTGCTGGACGATGGAGAAGTGGAGCGACAGAGAGAAGGAGAGATCGAGAGGCAGAGGTCAGAGCTGGGGCAGCTGAAGGAGAGACTGGCCCTGATGTGTCGACAGGTGAGAACTACACAAACATTTATACTGTTCACATGTACATACTGTACAATAGACACATGTAAATTGTACTATGAAGGCACTCAGGCTCTGGTCTCTCTCTCTGGTCTCTCTGTGGTCTCTCTCTCTGGTCTCTCTCTGGTCTCTCTCTCTGGTCTCTCTCTGGTCTCTCTCTCTGGTCTCTCTCTGGTCTCTTTCTGGTCTCTCTCTGGTCTCTTTCTGGTTTCTCTCTGGTCTCTCTCTTGTCTCTTTCTGGTCTCTCTCTCTGGTCTCTCTCTGGTCTCTTTCTGGTCTCTTTCTGGTCTCTCTCTCTGGTCTCTCTCTGGTCTCTTTCTGGTCTCTTTCTGATCTCTCTCTGATTTTTCTCTCTCTGGTCTCTTTCTGGTCTCTCGCTGATCTTTCTCTCTGGTCTCTCTCTGGTCTTTCTCTCTGGTCTCTCTCTGGTCTCTCTCTCTGGTCTCTCTATGGTGTAGGTTGGAGAGATTGAGGAGCAGTTGACGTCTGCACGCAGAGAACTTTCAAGATCTGAAGAAGCAAACCATAAACTGCAGAGGGACGTGAAGGAGGTACACACACACACACACACACAAACACCCACATAGACACACACACACACACACACACACACACACGCACACGCACACGCACACGCACACAGTCTCATGTGTGTGTGTGTTCAGGCCCTCTGTCAGAGAGAGGACATGGAGGAGCGCATCACAACACTGGAGCGCAGGTCGGAATCAAATTTTATTTTTTATTTTTTTTATTATGAAAATTATTGAGAAACAAAATGGTGTCGTCTTTGTATGTATGTGTGTGCGTGTCTGTGTGTGTCTGTCTGTATGTGTGTGTGTGTGTGGGTGTGTGTCTGTGTGTGTGTGTGTGTGTGTGTGTGTGTGTGTGTGTGTGTGTATGTGCAGGTACCTTGCTGCCCAGCGGGAGGCGACTTCGCTCCACGACATCAAAGACAAACTGGAGAACGATCTGGCGAGTAAGGACTCCCTCTACAGGCAGGTGCGGGAACTGCAGCCCACCATGACACTGTTACAGGGACATGATTCTCTGATCTGTGTTGGCCAATCGACAACTTTGTCCTTAGAGATACCTGTGGGATTTAGGGCAACACACAAAAATAAATTATATGGAATGTGTGTTCCAGCTTAAACTCTACTACAACTACTATCATTACTATTATTACTACTACCACTACTATTACTACTACTATTACTACTAATGCTAATATTACTACTACTATAAAAATATTATTATTACTACTACTATTACTATTACTGCTATAACTGCTACAACTACTATTACTACTACTGCTACTGCTACTGCTACGACTACTCCACTACAGTACTTCTATGACTATTACTACGACTCTTACTCCTACTACTGCTACTTCTCTCTCCCTACTTCTAATCACTAAAATGATTTGGGTTTCATTTGAAATAAAGATTTTCCAATGGATGGAGTGACAGACAGTGTGAGACCAGAGAGTTATGAGTCACAGTTGTGTGCGCTATAAATAAACTGTTGTGTTTCAGAGCGAGGAGAAGAACCGCGCGCTGCAGGAGCGACTGGACGACGCCAAACAGAAGCTTCAGCAGACGCTACAGCGAGCGGAGACTCTGCCAGAGGTAGAGGCTCAGCTGGCCCAGCGGGTGGCAGCACTGAGCAAGGTCTGAACAACACGCAGGTCTCACTCTGGTCTCTTTCTGGTCTTTCTCTGGTCTCTCTCTCTGGTCTCTGGTCTCTCTCTGGTCTCTTTCTGGTCTCTGTCTGGTCTCTTTCTGGTCTCTTTCTGGTCTCTTTCTGGTCTCTCTCTGGTCTCTCTCTCTGGTCTCTCTCTGGTCTCCATCTGATCTCTCTCTGGTCTCTCTCTCTGGTCTCTCTCTGGTCTCTTTCTGGTCTCTGTCTGGTCTCTTTCTGGTCTCTCTCTGGTCTCTCTCTGGTCTCTCTCTGGTCTCTCTCTGGTCTCTTTCTGGTCTCTCTATCTGGTATCTTTCTGGCCTCTCTCTGATCTCTATCTGGTCTCTCTCTGGTCTCTCTTTGATGTCTCTTTCTTGTCGCGCTCTGGTCTCTATATGGACTCTCTCTGCTCTTTCTGGTCTCTCTCTGGTCTCTCTCTCTGCTCTCTTTCTGGTATCTCTCTGGTCTCCCTCTGGTCTCTCTTTCTGGTCTCTCTGGTCTCTCTCTCTGGTCTCTCTGCTCTTTCTGGTCTCTCTGCTCTTTCTGGTCTCTCTCTGGTCTCTCTCTCTGGTCTCTCTGCTCTCTTTCTGGTCTCTCTCTGGTCTTGGTATTTCTTCATGTTTCTTGTTTAAACGTTTCGCTGTTAGAACAGAAAGTGCCACATTTTTGACTCAGAGCCAAAATAAACACAGTATCAGCATCAGAGACTTGGATCAGACACAGAACCACAAAGGTTTCTACAGAGGTCTCCACAGAGGTCTCTGAGGTCTCGACAGAGGTCTCTACAGCTGTCTCTACAGAGGACTCTACTGAGGTCTCTACAGAGGTCTCTGCTGAGGTCTCTGCTGAGGTCTCGACAGAGGTCTCTACAGCTGTC